AAGCGTTGGCCCGTCACGCCGCAGACCAGGGTTCGAATCCCCACATGGGTACAATGTGTGGAGCCCATTTCTGGTGTCCCCCGCGGTGATGTTGCTGGAATATTGCTAGAAGCGGCGTATAACCAAACTCAGTCAGTCAACCCATCTTCAACTCCTCGCACATTCCATTCGACCAACAGAGGGACAACAAAGAAAGGCTTCACACACTGTACCCATGTAGAAACTTGTATCCAGTCTTTGGCATGGGGTGCCAACTCTCTAATGATAGCACTCGAGCGATAACTAAAGGCTGAAAGACCTGAATTATCACGCGACCTAAATACGCCACATTGGTATTTCCTCACTGAACACGAAACCAGTGCCAGTTCTGACATGTAAATACTTAACGCTAGTTAACATAGAAATATGATAATCACTATTTTTGGAATTTAACAACCAACAGGAGTCAGTGTTTGATGTCTACGTTTAATAGTGGGCGTGTGGTGGGAGTGTGGATGGGTGGGTGCTGATGGTTAGCCTAATGGTTAAAGCGTCTGTTCGTAACGCCGAAGATCTGGTTTCGATTCCCGGTTGTACCCGGGTACAATGTGTGAAGCCAATTTCTGGTGTCCCCTTCCGTGATATTGCTGGAATGTTGCTAAAAGCGGCGTAAAACTAAACTCCCTCACTGCCCCTCAGGTATCGAAATGCTCACCGTATATAACCTGTTATCACATATGATTCCACTTCGTCAATAATGCCCATATAATGGTAAATATGGATTTCTGTGAGTTGTCAGCCATTTATAATACGCCTTCACCTCTCCCATAGTCACGGAGCACGCTTCCTTGCATCCGGATAATTCCAAATCCAATATGGCCGCCGGTGTCGTCTGACATTTTCGAGCAGGTGATGAGCATTGATTCGGGGGTATCGATTCGTGCTCTTTCAGTAGAGAGCACGCGTAGCACAGAAATAGTGCCACTGTTGACTTGCAATAAGGAATGGGAATACTTTGTTCTACACAGGAGGGGGAGCACGATTAGCCATCAAAGAAGGGCCACCTTTCCCAGTGCATTGTGGGTCGGCATATTTGGATCACGCGTGATTATACGAGACTTTGTGGAAATAATGGTGTTGTTGCTTAGATGGAATGATAACCCTTTGATGTTTGGCAAATGTTCAGCTATCAGTGATCCCTCGGATTACATTGTGTAACTTTTAAACAAAGGTAGGTTGTATTTTTAGTTAATAACCCAAGACGACATTGTGAACATGTACACGAACAATATCATAAAGTCATATATTGAATCAGAGAATGTCATTTTCTATAAAGCAAGTATTATTTAGAAGTTTCCCGCTTATTCTAAGCATCAGCCATCTCCATGGGAACGGAAGGTAAAGTAATAAATAATCCTTGGTGATTGTCCACCGTGATATTTTCACAATCGCTCATAACGAGGTAACGGATATAACGAACGTTTTTCCCCGGCCACTTGCTATATATTTTAGTCGAAATGCATAAAACGAACTACGATTGTTAGTTATAACGAACTAAGATTGGTAGTCTCTTTGAGTTCGTTTCAACCGTTGTTTGCTGGACATACAATGGTAATCAGAAAGCCGTCATTAGTATTATTATGCAAAAGGTCATGATCTAAATGTGTAGGGTGTATGGCTGGAACGCTCTACCGAAGTATATTTGACTCAAGTAAGCAGTAATTACGCGCTATTTGCTCAATGTGACGTTCTACCTGTGGCATAAGACGCCAAGCAGTCTTTTACCTGGTGTCATCAAGGTATCTAACGGGTAATTAACAGGTGAATGCCTACCCTGCATGCCCTCGCTGTTGGGATAATCGCCCCATTTACCTGTAAGGTTTTGTTGGAGCGTCATCAGCAGGGTGCTTGGGCTTCCGTCAATGGCGCTGAGAGAGGAGATCACTCATAAAGACCTCTACAATAGCACACCTTCGATAAATACGCAAATAAACTTTGGAATTTTGTTGTGTTAATGGCCCTCATAGGATTATGTTGAGTTTAAGCATACGAATTTTGTACATACTTTCACGAGAGAAGGGACCATTCTCATAAAAATTAGTTTCCAGGGAAAACATGTTCTGAGTTAGCGGGTGTCGAGTCAGACGAGCTAACACTACCAACGCACGTGCAAGCGCGCTGACGGGGTGATGATATTGGCAAGTTACAAGGTATGGACATTATATTTGGGCGATAATAATATTGCACGTGTCATGTTTATATGCACATTTGTATGGATTTGATTATTCGTTGTTCATGTATTGATTTGGAAGTTTTGGATATGAATGGTGCAAAGGTGCTCGTGTTTTCCGGATGCATGCTAAGTCCATCACAGTCTCTGATTCGATTTTGTGATAAATTATTTAGGACATTTCTGATTTATTGATGGTCTTTTCATGGAAAATGATGATTTATTATGGCCAAAGAGTGCTCAAATAACGAATAAACGAGAGTAGACGAACAGAAGAGAACGATTTTTACGATGTGTAGGAACAACTATGCATATGGTCTAGAGACCTATTAAACACTGGTAGCACCATGGGTCTCACAGGGAAAAGGGTGCAAATACCTGAATTCGTGGAGGAATATATATAGCGGTGAATCAATAGTAAATTATGTTTTTTGACTAATTCATATAAAAAATATCATTTCCGAGATTTCACTCTCCAAGTGAGACCTCGGTGGTTGAGTGGATTACATTGCTGACTTTCTATGCTGGCGATGTGTATGGGTTCGAATCCCATATTTTAAAAGAGGGTGTTTTTCAAGATGCACAACAATGCACAGGGTCTAGAGACCTATTAAACACCGGAATCACCATGCGTTTCACAGGGAAAGTGTGAAAATGTGAATAAAAGACTATAAAATTGGTGAAAGAATATTTGGCAAAGAGAATTAATAGTAATTCTTGTTTTGACCAATTCATTTATAACTAATATTATTTTGGGATTACACTTTCCAAAGCGGCAACTTTGGTGGATGAGTGAATTACATTGCTGACATTTATGCTGGCAACTGGGTGCCTGATTCTGCTCACAGAGCGTTGGTTCGAAGTATGAAACTCAGTATTGCGCTAGAATCTTTACTTTACAAAGATGGTTTAACCCCAAGTAAACATTCGTTACATTTCACCACTTTCTAAAATCTATTGTGTATTGTGATACATATATAGCTCAGAATACACAAAGAAAGGAGAGGGCAGGGGTTAGAAATGATTCCCTTTCATCAGAAAGTGACCGTGAGTTACGACAACAATGTGTGTTCTCACCCGCATGATCCCCTTAACGTCATTGTCTAGACGCTGTCTAGACCGCTGTCATCCCACTGTGATAAGGTACTGACTGCTACGTTACTAGGCAATAACTTACCTGTCAGGTAAATGGCTAATTAACAAAAAGGTAATTAGACAGGTGAAATATAGAACCGACTCTACGGTAGGTATGTTGGTACAACCTTTGACCTCTAGATGTTGCCTGTATGTTGTTTGTCAATATCGTGGCGAGGACGTGGTTCACGGTAGTTGCGCCAAAAGAACAACAGGTAACGGTCTATTTCCTATATGCTCAAGGTTTAAGTAAATGTCAGTTCATTCGAGATATTTCATGGATGACAGCGTATTTATTCTATTGTGATGCGATGTTCCGATACTGGCCCTATTACAAATCAGTCTTGCTTGACAACGGTAAGGATCTTCAGTAAGATACGGTTATAACGAACTCAAAGGGATCTATACTTTTAGCTCGTTTTAAAAACAGTTCGTGGAAGAAGAGTGTTCGTTATAAACGTAGATGACTGTAGACCGAAACGTCGCCTCATTAAAATATAAACAGAGTTATCTATCAAATGTCTTGCCTTTACTCTAACCTACCAACATTTAAAAACGTCAATAAATCTGTTTTAAATATATATACTGAGGGAAACAAATAAGGGAACGCCACTTCAAGGCAATGTTTCTTTATTCATTCTAAGATCTCCTCCCACAGCGCTATTCAAAGCAGGTGATGAAAACTGGAAAATATTACAGGAACGCTTGAATTTATGTGTTCCTTTATTTGTTTCTCTCAGTATATGTCACTCACTGGAAACTGAAAGTTACTTTAAGTTAGTATTTGGTGATGTTACAATACGATGTTAATAACTCGGTAACCTCTTTGAGTGGCATTTAGAAGTTGGTGTGATGACTGATTGAGTTTGGCTTTACGCCGTTTTTAGCAATATTCCAGCAACATCACGGCGGGGGACACCAGAAATGGGCTTCACACGTTGTACCTATGTGGGGATTCGAACCCGGGTCTTCGGCGTGACGAGCCAACGCTTTAAACACTAGTCTACCCCACTGCCCCAGTTGGTGTGATGAACAACGGGGATAGTTCAATGGATATACCAGTTATATATTTTTAATATGTGCGACATTTTGGTGTAACTACAAACACTAATCACTTGCTTGATAACGGTGTTAGTAGCTACACCGAAACGTCGCTCAAATTAATGATAAATAAGTTGTATATATCCATAGAACTCTCCCCGTTGTTAATACATGTAACTGTAGAAACCAAAGCACCTTTCAAGACAGACAGGGTTGCTTTGGTGCCGTTACAAACTGTACGGGTGAAAAGGTCTCATCCCAAAATGTTTTCAACTGCTGTTATTGAAAACGGGAAGAACCCACATTTCGCTATAATTCGTTGACTCAAACATTCGTAGGTATAAATTTAAACCTTTTTAACTTTGGAAACACAATTCAGAAAGTATGTGATTGTATCGCTTACGTTGTATTGCTTAGGTTAGGGCCATGCAATGAGAGACATGTCATCTCCGGATATGATGTTGAGTTGTATACATGAATTACCTCAGTTTTATCGATTTTTCTATTTTGATCAGCTTGTTTTGCTTTAGTTACATTTTCCTACGACGCAATGAAGAGATAATTAAGAACTTGTTTCAGTATTCATCACGATCTTCATCTTTACATATTTCTTCAGAACGAGCACCGGTGCCAGGAGCTGAGACTGACCGTTCGCTGACCAGATCGGAGGTGCTGGTCAACCTATACCGGTGTCTATCGTTTCTAGCTGACAGGCAGGTGGACACCGCTGGACTAGATGCTGAAGGTAAGATATTTAAATATCTACATACAAACTATTTAGACTAGATGTGTACCCAGAGAATAAGATGAATCAATGCCCAGACATTTATCTATTTGGAGACGGAGTACTATTTTATGTTCGTGTGTAGATTGTATGGGAAGCTTTTCAAAATATATGTCACGAATAATGTTTTGTATATCCATCAATCTTAAAATTTAATATACGTCTTATTCAAGTGTAACAGTTTTAAGAGATCCGGCTACGTTTATCTACTATAAAAAATGAGGGGCGGTGGGGTAGCCTAGTGGTTAAAGCGTTGGCTCGTCACGCCGAAGACCCGGGTTCGATTCCCCACATGGGCACAATGTGTGAAGCCTATTTCTGGTGTCCCCCGCAGTGATATTGCTGGAATATTGCTAAAAGCGGCGTAAAACTAAACTCAGTCAGTCAGTACTATAAAATGAATGTTAGACAGTATAAGATATGTTAAGCAATAACCAGATAACCCGGTTAAGCCAACGTTTTTGAACTGAATAGCACATTACTAGAGTGCCAATGTATACGTACCATTAGCCTGCTGTTTACATCACTGCTGAATAATGAAATAAGCTGGATTACCTAAAACTGGCTTCCGAGGGGATTATCACTTCGGTGAGATAAAGCGATGCCACGTACAGCTTCAATAAATCGTTTCACGATACTTTACAAACCAGGGTGGTGATAGGGGGTTGGAGTGTCATCGGTCACTATGACGTCACACACAAATGACGTCACACTCAAATGACATCATTATTATCGTTGCCACTGAAGCGTGTCAGCTGTATTCTCTGTATTCTGTACGCTCAAAAAGAATGACAAGTACCTTTTGCAAACTGAGAAATCTGTAGGAATTATTTTGGACGATAAATAGAATATAAAACGGTTGTTGGAGTAAATGAATGGATGACACCAGCTGTTCACAGACACTATAAGCACTTCCTGTCCTGCCGAAGACCATCCACAACTCACACAATGTACATGGGGAATCATTTCAATGGCACCGCACAGCGGCACTACCGTACAACATCGGCATGTAAACACAACCAACAGTCAGTCAGGAAATCCAGTAACACCACAGCGTATTTCCTGAGATTTAGTTTGTTATCGATTGGTGTCGATATGTTTGATATCAAAAGAGTCAAGGCTGAGATTATCTATGTGCACATCAATGATATGGCGTTGGTTTACCCTGCATAAGAAGAAATACGTTGATTAATATGTTGTTTATTTTGTTTTCTTAATTGGGGACATGGGTACCACAGCGCTTAAGGGCGTTTCAATTAGCAGTGCACAGTTGTTTACCAGAAGCCGTGGTATGATCCCCGGTATTTCAATACCGCACCTGTCCTCGTTGTTTCACCAACCCGTGAAGATCCGGGTTAGAATTGGTCTTCGGCAACACATGCCTGTTTAAGGCGGTGACTAACGGGATCGGGTGGTCAGACTCGCTGACTTGGTTGACACATGTCGTAATCTCAATTCCGTAAATCGATGCTCATGATGTCAATCACTAGATTGTCGGGTCCAGACTCAATTTTTTAAGACCGCCGCCATATTGCGGTGTTATGCAATAAGAAACAAAAAAACCCGTTACTTCACCAAAGTTAAATATCTGGCCTGGGTTACCGAGGACTTTACACACAATTTAAACTAATAGTGGAAGATATACCCCAATACTAATCCAATGGCTTAAAACCAGTTCACTCACTCACTCTAAAAATGATTGGTGAGTTTGTTTCGATTTACATGTACACGATTATGTACTAACTTCATTATGTTTCAGATTTAGCAAATGGGGACTTAAGGTCGACGCTTGTGTTACTCGGTAACATTAGAAAGAATTATGATGTAAGTACAAGGACGGTAAAGACTATTTAATGCCAGAAAATAGGCGGCAACAATTGTTTTCCTGTTTACACACACATGGCTAATTCTCTCCTAATATATCTACAAAAATATCTGTTTTGTTGATTTAATTCGCCCCCAAATGGCAAACTACCTTTTCAACACACATTTACTCAAAACAGTTATGACTGAAATGCAATGAAACTAGGACTCATCATTGAAGCGTCACCTATATAGGCTACGGTGTTGGCAGTGTGATTAACAGCTGGGGAATGTGCTGTTAAATATTTTGTAAAACTGTCTGAATGCTTTTGTGAAAATGAATTAATAGACAACGACTGTGAAAAACAGTGAAAAGTGAAAAATTGGAGTATATGAGAAAAAAGCAACCCAAAACACCCCAGCTATACTGATTCATCCCTGATGCAGCTATACTGATTCATCCCTGATGCAGCTAAGCTGATTCATCCCTAATGCAGCTATACTGCACATTTAGAAGCTGAGAATGCGATGTATTCTGACTGCTTGTATCTCTTATTATCTGCGTGACCTCTCAGTAACGACCTATATAATTAAAGGAATATATTTCGTATTAGCTAAGTATTCATTAGTCTGATGTTTTTATGCCTATTCTGACGATTACCCTACAATGAGAAGATCAGATAGCAATGTTTGTTTTACATGCAGAACGGTGATTTGTGATAGTTATAAACAGTCAAACACCGTTGTGTCGAATTTTCGGTTTTCTCGAAGTAAAAACCCTGTCCTTGCGAATTCCACATTTAGTCCCCTATTTGCGGTTGTGTTGAACGTGGGATAACTCGAAGTACACTCAAACACCGTTTAGGCAAACTTTGATGTGTCGAATTTTCAGTTATCTCGAAGTAATAGCTCGATCGCTGGGTGTACCTAATTTTGTCATCTCTTTGTGGTTGTGTGTTAACATGGAGCGTGGAAATGTGGGTAACTCGAAGAATTTACGTACGTCGTTTCAACTTCGACACAACAGTGTGTAACTGTACTTCGAGTTATCCAAGGTTTATATATTCTGTTCCAGAGTGGGTACGGCCACCGCTCCGAGGGAGACGGAGGACTGAGTTCCCCGAAACAGGAATCAGACAACGCTCCCTGGCTCAACATGCCGGGGAGGCTTTCAGTGGAAGGGGGGCAGAATCGAGGGCAGCCCCCACCCATTAAAAAGGGTAAGACAGAGCATAAAGTTTTGTTACTTATATGCCATTAGTTGACACTGATTTTATTACGAGCTGCTAATATTTCCATGTTCACATTGATGGACAGTGGCCTGATTGCTATTTCAGAGAAGCCCCTTCCACCACAGCGGAGGTCAGCTTTCGGCGTCCCCATCCCTGCTGCAGGCATCCCGGGGATGATAGGAAGGGATGAGGCAGAACAACCACGCCCGGCCTCAGCTCAAAATATAGTTGTAAGTTGCGAAATCACAATAGCTGGAAGCTCTCGTAAAATCTGCATATGTTAAGCATACCATTTTATTTATTTATTTATTTATTTATTTATTTATTTATTTATTTATTTATTTATTTATTTATTTATTTATTTATTTATTTATTTATTTATTTATTTATTTATTTATTTATTTATTTATTTATTTATTTATTTATTTATTTATTTATTTATTTATTTGACGGTCTTGATATTGTTGCAAATGAAGCTTTGAAAGAGATGTGGGATGAAATGGAAAATGATCGAACTTTGCGGTTAAGAGAGTCGTCTGATTCGCAGAGGCAAGCATACTCTCAATAACCGACATTGTTTAAACAGGTGGCAGTTTCTGAAGTATACCTTTTAATGTGGAGTGGAGCTCTGTAACTGTGAACAGAAATACGAACACTGATGGACTGTGATCGTTTCAGTCGACGACGGAGTTGAGCAGCAATGGCGTGTCGCAGTTCGGCGTGGAGGAGAGACGCCAGTTCATGTCTGGCAACCCCTTCCTCCCAACATCGAGGGGGCAGGGACATGCCAACTGGGAGGGGGGTCGTGCAGGGCAGGACAGACCCCCTCAGGCTGTCAGTGCGTGGAGCTCGGGAGGCCAGTATAACGCACAGGTAGAGATGTATGTGATGCCGAGGAGCTGTACATTCACTGACCACTGACATCCATTCGTCACCACTCGCTCCTTTCCGTAAACTCGCTATTCGGCTTGTCCCGGAATAACACGAGTTGGTCACGAATGCACTGACATCGCGTCGTAGGGATTATACTGACGCTTCTTTTAATTTCTTTTTAATATTCCACGTTCATTAGACGAAAGACGTGGGGCCATCCGTTTCATTTTATGTGTTTATCTTCTCCAAACTCTCGCTGTATGAAGGTGAATAGACAAAGAGAATAATAAAATTATAGAAGCATGAAAAATGTTTTCACTAATTGTATAACTTATTTTATGATTTGTGTAATATTGGGAACACTTGGTAATTTTTTTTATTAATTTGCTTTGGAAACATGGTTTATAATAAAAATAGATAAACAAAGATCAATGCTAACCTGTTATTGTTATAACTGTGCAAAGGTAAGAGTATTTCTTTTATAACATCAGGACATAAGTGTCCACCGCCGCGTGGTAAGATGAAGTCAGAAAACTTTGTTACTATTTTACATGGTAAACACAGAATAAAATACGGACAGTACTAAATATCAAATAGGAGATAGTTATTCTTAGTTCAATAATCTTCATGGTTATGTTGATATTCTTTAATCATTACTGTTGTTGTTGTTTTGTGATTGACTATTATTATTATCATTATTATTGCAGCATCAAGGTCACTTTAACCCTCCCGTGAGTGTGGAGGATAGATTGAAAAATCTGATTGACAACAAACCCCATGCCGCTAGACCCGCCCCTCAGGTACAGCTGTCTCTTCGTGACCTCAGGTCTATCTCATTGAAATCTACCATTTCACTCCGAAATCAAACATTTCACTATTAAATGCACCTGCAGTTTATGGCGTTCATTGGCTCCTAGTCTGTCTCACGGACGGTCGGTAGGGTAGCCTAGTGGTTAAGGCGTTCGCTCGTCACGCCGAAGACCCGGGTTCGATTCCCCACATGGACACATTGTGTGAAGCCCATTTCTGGTGTCCCCGACCGTGATATTTGCTGTAATATTGCTAAAAGCGACGTAAAGACGTTCTCATTCACTCACTCATGTGGGAGTGAGTGAATGGTTTTACGCCTCTTTTAGCAATATTTCAGCAACATCACGACGGGCTCACTCATTTGGACACAATTCGGGTATTGGAGGACAAAGGCCATGTTCACTGTGTTTTTTTGCTTCTACAGCACGAGGAAGGTGAGCTGCTCGTGCCCCCTGCCCCCACACCCCGAGGGTACGACGAGACCGTCAACAGTGGGTACTACAGGGGGTCCTACCCTGGGCCGGGGCCGTCAGGCTACAACCAACAGGGGAGGTTCCATGGTCAGCCTGTGGGTTATGTGGTCAGTATATCAGTTAATGTCTCACACCGACCTGTCTTACTATAAACAATTACTTAATCAGAATCTTAATAACTGTTTTATGGCTTTTTAGAAGTTGATGCGTGAAAAGAAAAACTTACAGCTTTATATATAACAACTTCTGCAGATTCTCAGACTGGAGTTAATCAAAGTTTGGTTGTTGTTGCTCCAGCTTGATAACAGTGTAAGAATCTACATCGAAAAGTCGTTAAATGCGATAAACCAGAATTCGTTATTCATAAATTTAGCTGCATGTTTCCTTATCAGAATTTCAATGACAAACCTAAGAGAGTCAGGGCCGGAGAGCGGCACCTTGGGGTTCGATCACAAGGCCGCTCCATACTAAGATATGGTAGTTATTGTTACTCTAGCCTGCCGCTCGGCAATACGGGGATAAAACAAAGAGTGACAAGAAGGGGTCAATAGGACAAATAGCCTATCCCCCACAAATACAAATAGCCACCCACAGACGCACATGCATATATATAAATGCGATAGTCTTGACTGCAATGGTTTCATTTCACCTCAGATGACGCAGGATCCGCTGATCATGGGTTTGAATCCATGGTTTGCCGGCACCATGCCTATGCTTGCAGAAGTCTTGCAAATTTCACGGTGAATGTGCACGACCTACGTCATTCTCCGAAATACACGAAAAATACGGTTCTACCATAAACCCAACTCACACTTTCCCATTTAATGATGGAACTTTTAACTTTTGGAAGAAGTGTTTCAAGCTCGATTACGGCCCATTTAACAGATTTAACGATATTTTAACCAACATTTTCAAAATTCCCATCCAGCCTTCCAAACCCTCCGAGAGACGCCTTGGTTCCCGGGTAGACAGCATCATCGACAACAGCAAGGCCAAACTCCCTCCTCCCTACCCTAAGCCGACCCCTTCTCCCCGCCAACAGTACGAGAATCCAGCCTTCACTCCCGACGAGCAAACTGTCAAACAAGGGTAAGTCAAGCTGCATGCATGATTCAGCATTCAACCTCTCCGACCCTAAAGGATTGGAATGCAGAAAATATTGAAATACCCAAGCCTGTCAAATCAGGACGACGGGTTCTCTGTTTCGGTAGGGTGGAGTATGCCCGCTCTTTGTACTAACAGGAGCTGTGAGGTAGCCTAGCTGTTTGCGTTCACTCGTCACGCCAAAGGCCTGGGTTCGATTCCCCACATGGGCGTTAGCCGCCTCGGTTAGTAGTAGCAAATATTCTTGTGTATCCCGCCGTGATATTTCCTGTAATATTGTTTGGGCGACACAAAACCATTCTCAATTACTTACTCGTTTGCAAACACCGGTATGTCTGTCTACATATCCATGAGCAGCCCAACTGAAGTTTAGTGAGAGAGTGAGTTTAGTTTTACGCCGCTTTCAGCAATATTTAAGCAATATAACGACGGGGGATCCCTGAAATCGGCTTCACACATTGTAACCATTTGAGGATTCAAACTAGGGTCTTCAACGTGACGAGCGAACGCTTTAACCATTAGGCTACCCCACCGCCACTGAAGTCTAGAATGAATGGCAAGTCTAGATTGCCTCAGCCGAACCGAACTCGCCACAAGGGCGATGGCATAAATACGAATTCATTTGCGTCTATTGGTGTGATTTTCAGCTGCAGTTAGAAAGCTAGATTGCTGTTTGAATACAAAGAGATTCATGATTAATGTCCAGTTTTTCCATGACCAGTGTGTCCAGTGCCCGTCCAGTTAAAGTGGGCGGGGATGACCTCCGCTCTGCCTGGAACCGACTGTATGGAGCCCCAGAGTGGAGACCCGCCAGCAACCAGCCGGCGTCACAGAACCCACAGAACTCCTACTACGTGAGTACTCTTGTCAAGTTTTTACACCAACATTTTGAAGATCCGGGTTAGAACTGGTCTTCAGCAACCCATGCTTGTGGTAACAGGAGACTAACGGGATCGGGTGGTTAGGCTCGCTGACTTGGTTGACACATGTCATCGTATTCCAATTGCATAGATCGATACTCATGATGTTAATCACTGGATTGTCTAGTTGAGACTTGATTATTTGCAGATCGCAAATATAGCTGGAATATTGCCTAGTGCCGCCTTAAACAACAAACAAACACAACAACAACACAAATATTTGATGGTAAACAGTACTTAGTGATTCATTGGTGATGCATTTCTTGTGGGTAACCTAGATATTTTAACCTTAAGTTTGCAGTGTTTAAGCTACTGGTTTAAGCCTGGAACGTCTTGATAGCTTTGGAAAATGTTTGGTCAAATGCTGAGTGTGTACTTCAGTTTATGTTGTGTCTCTTTGATACATGCCTGGAATAAATCGCTGTTTGAGGCCACATCTCACCTCTGGTATAAGTAACTTACAAAATGTCTACAAAATGATATCGTAAACTGAATGGTTGATTATTTTTATATTATGCTCAAATGGAGTGGTAACTATTTCACCATAGGCATTTTTAATATGAAACACTGGATTATCGAGAATGGATTCGTGATAGAACTCATCAGATCAACAAATCAAACTTCAACTATACAGAGCTTCCATCCCCAAGAGAGACATATATGCAATACCCGTCTCAGAAACGTCACTGAAAACGATGTACAATGTATTTCAGATTTATTTGTGTGATGTTTATTTGTATTTTTCAAATGAACCCAATTGTGTCAGTTTTGTCGTGACATGAGTAATTACGGGGGTGAGTGAGTGAGTATTGCTTATCGCCGCATCAGCAATTTTGCAGCTATTCGCAGCGACGAGACATAAAAACGTGAGACAGGTATGAATATATCATCCCGAAAATTCATTGCGTTGATGCGCCCATATCGGTTGATCGTATAAACCCTTACATGACTAATTACGTTTTGTATTCAGGGGGTATTTGCATTAGGACCAACACAGAAAGAAAAGCAACAGGAACATCTTCAGCAGTATCAACAGCAAAAGCAACAGCAGCAGCAGCAACAACAACAACATCAGGAACAACAGCATAAACAACGAAAGTCAAGCCTGGACCAGTTGAGTACCACTGTCAGAATTAGCCCTACAGGTCAAAGTTCAAGTACTCAAGGTCAACAGTCAGGGTCAAATTCAAGCTCCTTCTCTGGAAAAGAACACCGGCTTCAGCACGTTTAAACCAGAAGAAGATGACGATGACAACGACGAAGTCAGAGACGACACTGCCGACAAAAACCTGGACGCTTTGTCAGAACAGGCACTGGGACCCTCTGCCAAATATCCAGAACAACCCGGAAGTCGTCCTTCAAGTGCTACACAAGGTCAAGGGTCGTCAAGCAACAGGCAGACGACAGACAGCCGTCATGAACAGGACATTGCGAGGTCATTAGAGCAAAGGCTTTCGGTGCAAAGGATTGGTGACAGTGAAAACAATAACGTGTTTTCCAGATTAAACCAGGTACAACGGAAAAATGATGAAAATAGTGTGTTTTCTAGGACTAATCCTGTGCCAAATAGAATACCGCCGGAAATATCCCCACGGACTAATATTGCAGCTCAAAGACATTTTCAAGCCGAACATTCTTCCCAGCATAAAATTCATCCTTCCAGACTCTCAGAAACAAACCCGTCTCCTCACGTGAACCAGGGTTTTGTTGATAGCGATGATGAAAGCGGTCAATATCATATAGGGGCCGCAGAGAGTATATTTGACTATGCAAGCGAGTCTTCTTCCCGCTCTGTGACCCCTCCCCTTCCTCCCCTGTCCCCCGACTCAACCCCTAGGGGAGGCCTTGAGCCCCTCTCCAAGTACAGCCGATCCTACAGCGCCAGTAACGTGTCCCCACCCAAGACGCCCGATCTCCTGTCATCCACAGCCAGACCCGGGTCTGTGTTCGACAAGCGAGACCTCAGGGCGTCCAGTAGTCAGATTGACATGATGGGCGTCAGTAGGCATGGCAAGAAGGCACCCAGGGTGAACCCAACACCCAGGCAACACCACAGAACTAGGACCAATCTTACCAGAGGTGAGAAATTGTTTCAAACTGCCGGACAAAAAGACGTATACGCCCATGTTTGACAAATTTTCAAGTGTATACTTTCTTATCCGGATAGTCTACACCAACATAATTCATCGTGTTTGAAGATATAATATCATACCTTGATTTTGGATACTAAAATATCTTCAAATTTCCCCAATTTTTTTACTACATTCACTGTATTTAAATATTGCATATTTCTTATCTTTTCTCACATTTTGGCTTTGTTACAATTTTGAATGTCAAGGCACCCAAAAACTACTCACAAGACTGTGTGACATTAGAGATCCTAAACTTTTTATTTATGTCAAACAATTTTAGGCGCCCAAGCATTTCGCAGTTTCCGAGGTATAATTGAGCATGCACTTTCTGCGAAGACGTCTTATGACTCTTGCTGAAGGGTTCTTTGATGGCATTAAATGCCTCAGTGAACCTTTCAGAAGTTTTATGGTAGACATGTGTACTGTTCCAAATTTGACTCATCAGCGACCAACTTGATTTCTTACGCCCTCTTCTCAGTATGGAACGGGTTTGTCCCTTTCTTTCTTAAGTGGGATATTCGTTTTGTTGAAATAAATTATACTTGTAGATATTTCGGGGAGGGTATACCCTCCAATCTCCCTCTACTTGTGAGGATCGAAGGATCATTATAGTGCAATGCCTGGCTGCATACATACTCCCCAGGGAGTTGAGAATGAAATTATAGTGCGCGCTGATCCATTGTTGGGGGTTATTAAAGTACCACTCTGAACAAGCTTCGGTGAGTGGATTTGGAACATGATTATGTACATTATTCTTATCGTTTATTAGTGAATGAGTATAGCTTTATGCCGCTTTGGCAATGTTCCAACAATATCACCGATGGAAACACCAGATATGGGCATGACTCATTGTTTCCATGTGGGGAATTGTATTTTGGTCTTTGGCGTGACTAGCAGACGTTTAGCCACTAGGCTACCTCACTGGCCCTTATCGTTCATTACATGTAGTAGTGCTTGGTGTATGATAGGATAGGATAGGATATTTATATAGCGCTCATATCCACGCAACTAGTACATGCTCAAAGCGCTTGAGTGCTCCCTTGATCAACGCATGTTTTTTTTTCTGACATTCTTTTAACCAACTCAACTCCCTGGGGAATATTCAACTCTTGCAGCCTGTTAGGCGCAGCGAGTTATCACAGCCTGTAGACCTGCATGTACAACTGCGGTTTACCCACAATAACGATATCGCACTCACGGAAGCATATTAGTTGAGTACAATCAAATCACTGTAGGATGAATAGTTTAAAGAGGTTCCTTTACATTTTCCTCGTGACATTTTAAATCCTTCAGTCCAAGCCCACAGTCTGGAGGATCTGCGAGAGTCTGGTAACGAGAGTAATTTGTCCTTCGACGTGGAGAACACGATGTTGATGGTGGATCCTGAGAGTGAACAGTTCACAGACAACGACAACATCTCACCCAAGGACGCCAGGGCTCTCCGACAGAAGCTGCAGGGGCTGGAGTCCGTGTACCATCAGGTCCTCCGTCAGGCGGGGGCGGACATCCCCAGGACCTCCTTCAGAAGGAGGTGGAGCATCGGGAGCTCAGACACCAGCTCCATCAACAGAGGGAAGCGCTTCCGGTCCAGCGCCTCGCATAGGAACTACTCCCGGGATATCAAGTAAGTCTTTGTACCGTTGTAGTCGGCGGCAGTTATGACGCCTGTTATTTGCATTCAAGATGTTTAACAAAAATCAAGATGTTCACGGAGAAAGTTAGTGTCAGTAGTTCTAAATGGTTCTAAATGACATTGACTTTTTTAAAGTGAATGAGTGAGTGAGTGGGTGAGAGTTTAGTTTTTTAGCAAGATTCCAGCAATATCAGCGGGGGACACCAGAAAAGGCTTCACATATGTACCCATGTTGGGAATCGAACCCGGGTCTTCAACGTGACGGCCGTGTATTTATAACAGATATGTCATCTTTGACTATTCCCCTTGGCCGTGAGAGTAGACTGGGTATGAGAATTTAGGGGGTTTGATGTCATACTATCAGGAAGGGATTGATTGATGGGTTGTTCATACTATTAATCACTTTTTTGTATTCTAGACTCATTTGTTAACAGAGTGCTTTGACCTGTCTATGATATACAGCACACGTTCACTCGTTCATTCAAAAGTGATTTTTTGGTATTTAAATATATAGTTAAATGAAATAAGTACTTTCGTTCCGGGATATAAGAGTATGATGTAAATTAGAAAGCCTACTTCGAGACAGGCATGCACTTCGATACCGTAGGGTTAACCATTACATGTGTCGTCACGATATGGCTGAGATATTGCCGATGTGACGTTGAATATCAACTCACTCACTTACTCATTACATGTGTTTTCAGAGCAATCCAGCGACGCTTCCAGAAACTTGAATCCCACGTGGTGACGTTGGCGCGGAGCGTGGCGCACCTGTCGTCGGAGCTACGAAACCAGACGTCCTTGACCCACGAGATGGACACAGTTAAGAAAGAACTACGTGAACTACGTCAACAGCAACATGTACACAACCTCAACAATACACCTTTCAACAACAACGTCACTGACTTTGAGCGGTTCAGGGGGTGGATTCCTTCACTGACCAACCCGAAGCGGGTTAACAAACTTACCAAGTAAGGGTCATTCCGACCGCCGTAACAGGCGGTGTCTTTGACATTCTGATATTTAAAATGATTTCACAAGTCTACTGTGCTCCAACTTAAATTATGCATTGTTCTTGGCTCCATTTGGATTTGATTTTATATATCTGGGCCCCATTCCACAAAGCGGTCGTAGCGCTATGGTGACCGTATCTCCCATACTTTAACATAGACTTACGACAGTCGTAGCGCTAAGATGATCGTAACTCCCATACTTTAACATAGACTTACGACAGTCGTAGCGCTAAGATTATCGTAACTCCCATACTTTAACATAGACTTACGACAGTCGTAGAGCTAAGGTGACCGTATCTCCCATACTTTAACGTAGACTTACGACAGTCGTAGAGCTAAGGTGACCGTATCTCCCATACTTTAACATAGACTTACGACAGTCGTAGCGCTAAGGTGACCGTATCTCCCATACTTTAACATAGACTTACGACAGTCGTAGCACTAAGGTGACCGGATCTCCCATACTTTAACATAGACTTACGACAGTCGTAGCACTACGATTGCTTTGTGAAATGGGCTCGGAAACTTAATGTTAGTCAGTTTGGTGGACTGGCTAGATACCCAAGTGGTTAAAATGTTCACTTGTCACGTCCCTAACTAGGCAGTATGTATTGCCCAACATTGTGTTTCCTTCCCTTGCGTCCCAGGATCTGCTGCTGATGAGTTGGAATCGAAATGGCGGTCGCGATCCCAAATTCGCGGTCGGCCAGCATGATTTCATGCTCATGTTATTCACGAAGTGAAGTAGTTAGATTAGACATTTCTACTTAGAAAGGCCAATTTGATTTGAAGCCACGTTCATTTTCTTGCTCATTCTCGGGGCAGATAAACAGATTGATTTGATATTAAGATGAAAAGAACATATTCCTATTGTGACTTGTTTACAAATGAGACATTGTCTTTGATGTTCCTATTTGATGACTTTTTTCCCCATTCTACAAAAGCTGTGTTAAAACCTATATGCTGTAATGGATTTCAGTATCATAAACAGGACCTATGTTGAAATATTTGATCTATCAATGATTCAATGTCTAAACTAAATTATTTTTCAGATTCTTTGGCCAGGAACCTCCACTGTTAGAAATATTTTTACAGAAACTAGGTTACGAAGTAAGTATGAAACTCCGATTATTAATAAAACTGCTATTTAAAGTATCACGGGGCGATCGGATAGCCGATCGTCACGCCGAAAATCCCGATCGGTTCCGTTCATGGACTCGGTGTGTGAAGCCCATTTCTGCTGTTTCTCCCTTTGATTTTGTTGGGACATTGCAAAGAGCGGCGTAAAACCATACTCACGCACTCATTCGCTGACTCACTCAATACTAATGTTGTATTGTTTACACATCAGAAGAAATAGGCTCGATTCCAGGAATGTTATGATATATCACTTTTCCCCCCTATTGATTATTTTGCAATAAAAATGTGATCTAAGGCCACGCAGTTGTATCCCTTATATATGTCAGAATCTGCTAGTTGTGGGTTCGAATCTGCTTATCATTATTGTTGTGGGTACTACATGAATCGACGTTCTTCCTAACGAGGTAATGCAAAGCAGTGCTTATCATTATTGCGTTGCTCGTCATATCACGATTCCCCACATGGGTACTACATGAGTCGACGTTCTTCCTAACGACAGGCGAAAAACTAATCACTCACTTAAAAGCAGAGAAACAACACAGGTAACCACTTTAATGCTTCTGGTTTTCCCTTCAGAGATATGCGAAGAACTTCTCAAACGAACACATCGGCATGATAGAGTTACCCTACATGACAGAGGACCGTCTGCAGAGCATAGGGATCCCAATGGGACCAAGGCTGCGGATCCTGCAGGAGGCCCAGCTCTGCTTCAGGCAGGAGAACTTCAACATTTACATCGTGTGACGAGACCTGTAGAAGGATACCTAAGACAATATTGTAGCAGGACTTCAACATTTACATAGTGTGACGCTACATACCTGAGACCTACAGAACCATCACTTAAACATTTACATCTTGTGACATGACCTATAGAGAGACGTATAAGAAACATTACTTCAACATGTACATCGTGTCATGTCAACTCTTGTGAAACACATTATACGTGCGAGAAGCTACAACATATATATATATATATGGATATCTACGGAACATATGTCGTGAAACTATGTGAATATCGCACATGAGAACAAGACAGCGCATATGCTAAATGACAGTGCTGTTCTTATTGGCAATTAATTGCCATGTGTCATAATCAAATCTCAACTGAGAACCTGAAAGGCATTGAGAGGATTCCAGCGTGAATTGTGCAGCCCATGTACCCTAGAGATGAACGACCGTTGCTATTTCGATCACCTCACCAGGTCTGGGAACTTACTTGAAAGCTGTTCATAGGTAATTCATGGATAGCACAATCCCCCAACATAATCAACGCTAGTGCTTCCTTGGTTGTGTGCAGGAAGACATGTCATGGATATAGTGCTTATTTACCAACAGGGTGTTGTTTCAGAATCTTGTGTTTGTGGCAATAGCTGCATGATAATCAACACTGTTTTGTATAGCATTACTGATAGCTGAAGTGCTGAAACTTGCTGAAAGAGCATGCTGAAATATGTAGCGAATATACATATCAACTCCACAGTCAAAGAAAAGGTATCCCTGTTCAAATATTGTGCTATTTCGGGAGATACTTTCTTATACCGTTACATGGCATGCTTCAACATTCTCGATTATCCAGCTTTTCAATAACAGCATTTTGACAATTGAACACATGTCGAGTCTGGATGATGGAGGGTTGTCGTCAATTTGGTGCAAAGTATCATTGTTTTCCTATTGGATTATTATGATTAGTGTTATCTGTGTCATTTGTCAGGACTGGAAGAGATGTTTGAAAGAGCAAAGGCTTCTGAACGACTACCAGATTCACATCGGGAAGACAAGAAATGTCAAGAAGACATAAACGACTTGTCACAGAGTAGAGCTCTACAATCAACCAATATTCGACACAATCATCATTTTGTTCACTTTTTTTTTAAATCCTGGTTGTGTAAACCTCATTAACGGCATCTTCCCTGAGAAATCGTTTATCCAATATTGACGTGCCCCAACTACCTAATGTTTAGGCAGTGGTTAATATTAGGTATATCTTTCCCTTTGAGAATGTACTTCGATCATACAAAACGCAATACCTGTAGACGTCTTTCTGTAGTTTGTTGTGTGTGTTTCGAATTTGAGAACTTTCCTGTCACTCCGCGATCTATAGTCACCCTTAGCCAGCGCCCATTCGTCACCACTCGCCCCGTTCCGTAATCTCCAAGAAGACCGGAATAATATGAGTGGGTCACGAACGCTCTAGGTCTTTTCTGTAGCGTGTTTTTACTTTCATCGAAATGGTAAAAGAATGCTGGCGTTGGTTCCATGTCGAAATGTTCAAAACACTGTCAGGTTCGATCTTTTGTCGTTTGAAATTACTATCGTATGACATTACATTACCGGGAACATGTCTGAGGCGTTAACAACACTCGGTAACTTCCGTCATGATAATTGTGTCGTGGCCATTCGGAACTTCTCGGTAAAACTGAGATCTTCCTTTCGAAAATAGTATATGAGTATACAGGATTATATGATGTATTTCTCGGTGAGGATTGCAAGCACTGTGTACACGACTCTTACCAACATACGAATGTCACGTGTCATTTACATCACGCCAATGTAGACGAGGTAACAAAAAAAACCACGTAATCGAAATGCCTTTACATTTTGAATGATTCTTGAAAGGGGCGGCCATTTTGTTTGAACTGCTTTTGTTAATTTGTTATTTTTATCACCATTTAAAAAAAAAGAAAGTTTAATGTCATTGACCAAATGTGGTTATGGATTTATGAATGATTGCGATTACATCCGGCGATTTATTCATTATCAAAAGAGGGACCTGGATAGGTTATGTTTACTATACAATTATTGGCCCCTAAAACCATATTGGTGAATCTTAAACATGAGAAGGGGAGTATATATCACGACTCGCATGTCAATTTAATCAATATGTTCAGGTTTTTGTGACATAGTTGGTATTTGGAAAGATAATCATTAATTTTCCTGAATGAGCCACAACATGCCATCAAGACAATCAACCTGTTGTTTCCACAGTACCATCCCCCACCCATTTCGCCGCATCCTTGGTCTATTGTACGTCAACGTCTACGATCTTGCCAACACAGAACAGCATGTGCTTATGCGGACGATTTCGTCCATATTGATGAGTTTTTGGCGGCTCAATTGTTGAAATATAGTAGTATTATTGTTAGCTCTGTCTTCAACATTATGATCAAAATACATTTGACTGAATTTGTTTCATTAGTTCGAGTATGCAACAATTTAAGATTCATTTGCAGGATCTGTCTTTATTAAGTTCCGTTTAACTTGATTTGTGATTGTATTCACGAAAGCCATTGCTCTTAGTAACCTGTGTATTAACAGTTTTCGTGACTGTGCACTCTAACAACACCTTTCGAATACAGGTTGATAGAATGCCGCTTTACAAAAAGCCGTTTCGTGCAAGGCAACATTGGAAAGTGCAGTCAGAGAGCACATAACATAATAATTTCAACCATATTGTTTGCCACCACAGAACATTCTCAAAGCATATTTGTGATATTGTGACGTTCAGAATCTCCAACCATATCTGCCAACTTTGTGAATTGTACATTGTTTGTGAATTATCATTTCATATAGATTCCACTGACAGCATTGAAATATAACTTAGAGCTTCCAATATCCTTCCCCACGCGTGTACAAAATGTCCCTACAATGTATCACTTTTATGACGTTTACCCTATAGTACTCTTTTTTACGACAATCTCCCGAATTTCCGCCAAATGCACGTGATTGTCCATCTCTGAATGACCTTCGCCACGTGACTATTCGTTGTTTACAATCTCCCCATGCATGTGATTGTCCATCTCTGAATGACCTTCACCACGTGACTATTCGTTGTTTACAATCTCCCCATGCATGGGATTGTCCATTTCAGAATGACCTTCACCACGTGACTATTCGTTCTTTACAATCTCCCCATGCATGGGATTGTCCATTTCAGAATGACCTTCACCAGGTAACTGTTCGTTTGTTATGACCTCTTCATGTATGTAATTGTCCATTTTTGAATGACCTTCACCACGAGACTATTCATTTCTTTTTACCTACCCATGCATTTCGGAATGATCTCCCCCACGTGACCCACTCTACATATGTACCTGGTCATATCCTTGGTACCCCCAATCCAACAGCCTCCGATCTCCTTCCATTCCCCATTACGTGTCTCCTTCTTTACGACTTTCCTCATATTCTTCATCTCCGTCCCTTCATGCTGATCAGGGCCGCGTTTCACAAAGCTTTCGTAGCGTTACGACTGTCGTACCTCCTGTACAGGGCCTAGGTTTTCGAAGCTCTCTTAGCGCTAAGATCGTCGTACGTTAATGTTAATGTATGGCAGTTACGACTATCTTAGCGCTAAGAGAGCTTCGAAAATCTAGGCCCTGCAATATAGACTTACGACAGTCGTAGCGCTACAACAGCTTTGTGAAACGGGCCCAGCACGGTAATTCCAATTCAGGCCGCAGAGTGGCCAAGTCATGATGTTATAGGGTCCGCAAGTAGGTCACGGAACTTCGCGAGACCTTAGTACTTCCGGTGACAAACAACGTTTCATACTTCTTCGAATGGTCTCATGATTGTCAGTTGACAGTGAGGAACCGATAATCCTTGCAGGAATAACAAATTTCCGATCTAACCATCCCCGAGGAACCGATGATCCTTGCAGGAATAACAAATTTCCGATCTAACCATCCCCAAATTAGCCAACTATTACGACTGTCAACAGCTGTGACAGCCAAGAATGGTTGTATACTTTGTCCGGTCTAGTAAAGTCATATTATATATCGCGCAATTTGGAACCAGAATATACTCTTGTCACCGCAAATCTGGTACCGGAAGTAAGCTTGGTCCCGTCTCGCATATCGCAAAATGGCGAGCGCATAGGGAGCCGGGAACCAGTTTATTACCGGAAGTAGCGCCTCGCGAGACTTACAGGCCCTGTTATGCAGCATCTTAAGTTAAATGTGTATGTTAACCACATCATACAAGCACTTTCGTCTTTGATATCTTGTTGCTTTCCTCCACAACATAAGCCCAATGAAGATCTAGTTAGAATTGGTCTTCAGCAATCCATACTTGTCATTAGGGGCGACTAACGTGATCGGTAGGTCAGGCACGCTGACTAGGTAGATGCTTGGTGCCATCTTCCCAAACTGCGCAGATCGATGCTCATGATATCAATCACTGGATTGCCTGGTCCGTTCTCGATTATTTACAGACTGCCGTCCAACAACTTGAATATTGTGACTGCGACGTAAAACAAAATACAGTGAATCCATAATAAAATAATGATATCATATTCACCATATTTGTTTACAGCACTTTATGCTTAAAATAAACGATTTCAATTTTGTTAAAGGTTATTCAACAACAAATTGAAACAAACATGGTTTTGCATGTGCAGGGTACAATTCATCATGATCTTGAATTTGACGGCATTGTAGCATTGGTATACAATGCTTGTTCGTGTTGTATTTATTTAACATAATTTCCTTGATACTCATATGAGTGGTCCATTCCTATTCTATGCATAACTATGAAAGTCTAATGCTGCTACATTTTTCAGCGAAGTTTCTCGTTATTTTGATTTTTTTTAAATTGAAATTTCAAGTTTTTTGCTTCTTACTTCAAGGTTCTTTTAAAAACTTGAAATTTCGTGTAAGTATTCGTTGCCTCGTGTATTTTCTCTTGGTTCGAATTATTTTTTCGTTGCTTCGAGTATTTGCTTGTTGCTTCAGGTTTCTTTCAAAAAAATAAATAACCAGAAATTAATCGAAATTTCAAGTTTTGAAAGAAGCTTGAAATAACGAGAAAATACTCGAGGAAACGAGGAAATAATCGAAGTAATGAGAAAATACTCGAGGAAACGAGGAAATAATTGAAATAGCGTGAAAATATTTTTAAGCACCGACAAAATATTTGAAGCGACGAGAAATTTTGCTGAACAAATATTTTATGATACGAAAGTTGCAGCAGTAGGTTTTCGTACATAAAAATCACTGTGAAAATAATCAGCATTTACACATTGCCAGACGCATACGTCAAGACGTCCGTCCAAAGATGATCTATGCACTTCAAACATTGACTCGTCGGCTTGTCAAGTCAGTATTTGTATTTGAACGTTTACTCATTCATGTTCAGCTTATGATGATCTTACTTGTTTTAAGTTGGAAAATTTGGTGACATTTTGTCCGTGCAGATACGACTAACGGGACTTTATCCCCTGAACATCATGTCCCTCGTTGCCAGAAGACCCCTTAATTAACAAATGGGAAAGTTCACAAGAAATATATTGCTATTTTGTTTTAATCCAGTTTTTATATAAACAAAGGTGTTTCGGCATGATTTGAAGCTATGTTATACCTGTGTGTTTATATTTCCAAATTTTTATATTTCCAAACATCTGTGTCCGACAATGGTGTGTGATGCTGTTTTGGGTCGTTCCGGGTATTTTTCGGGTATGCTGTTGCCTTGACTTTGCATGTGTTGAAGTATGCTCAGGGTATGCTCAGCTTTCCGAAAACACCTGGTATCATCACTATTTGATAGTGGAGCGGCGGGTAGCCCAGAGGTGAAAGCGTTCGCTCGTTACGCCAAAGACCGGGTTCGATTCCCCACATGAATACAATGTTTGAAGCCCAATTCTGGTGTCCCCCGCCGTAATGTTGCTGGAATATTGCTAGAAACGGCGTAAAACCATACTCAGTCACTATTTGATAGTGATCGGCACATGCTTATGAAATAGCCGTAGTTGAATTATGATTGGCTGTCGTGGCAGCCCGTTCGTGTGACAATTTCTCACCGGCCTAGATGTACATGTCTACTAACAGATGCTTCAATATTTACATTTTGAGAACTATTTTGTCATTTATTGTACATGCGTCGTGGTGAAGCATTTATTTTGTATAACATTTAGTTAGCATTGTCATTATAAATGGCTTCTAATTTATATGAAATAAATGTTAAATGACATTTGACTAAAGGATTTCATGTTATTGCCTCTGACGTGACGAAGTCGGATTTGGATATCACGGAATTCATCATTCCTCTTCAAAACTAAAAAAATATGATTGTCCAAGTTCCGGGTTTTTATTGGCCATCTGGGTCATCGACGTCATGTGACAGAAGGCATTTGGTTATTCATGTACAAGGGGGTAGCCTAGTGGTTATAGCGTTCGCTCGTCACGCTAATGACCCGATTCCCCACATGGATGAAGCCCATTTCTTGTGCCCCCCGTCGTGATATTGCTGGAGTATTGCTGAATTCACTCACTATTCATGCACGAAGTAGTCACAGGTATATATAAAAAGAGAGAGAAATTAGGAATCGAAGACCGATGTGACCAAGGGGAGATAACTCTTAATCACATACCCGGCTGGAGCGTCCGTAATGCATCTCAACTGGAGAAAGTATTTTCGAAGTTGAAGTGAGTTTCGGTGCATGTTCATCCAGGAAGTGATAATAACCCTGATATCAGAAACGAAAAGTTTTTATGGCTGAATATTTATGTCATTTTATAAATTGCAAACTAGAGACCGATTGTGAGAGAATGTTGAAGACCATAGCATACGTCACATATCGACTTGTCCCACCCAGAGGGAAGCCATTGTAGTCAGCCGATACCTGCAGGTACAAGCTTATAAAACAGGAAGACAGCGATACATTCATACAGCGACACTCTTCTTTACAATTTTATTGTTTCAATGGCTCATCATTAATGAGTCATCAACTATTGCTATGTACCAGGTAGCTGTCATCTGGGTACACAGGGGCCTAGAGGTTAAAGCGTTCGCACGTCACACTGAAGACCCGGGTTCGATTCCCCACATCGGTACAGTATATACATATAAATCAGAAATTCAACCATGGGTCAGCGGCGGTGGTGTAGGCCAGTGGTTAAAGCGTTCGCTCGTCACGCTGAAGACCCGGGTTCGATTTACCACATTGATACAATGTGTGGAGCCCATTTCTGGTGTCCCTTGCCATTATATTGCTGGAACACTGCTAAATGTATGCAAGCTGTCTGCGAATGTGATGAAAATCAAGTTTCAAACATAAGTTCATTCGAACAGGTCCACTCAAAGACAAATCATACCTGCACCATACATAAGACGAACTGACGGATATAACGAATTGTATGTTTGGTCCTGGCCACCTGCAGTCTATTTTTGTCGACATACGCAATACGAACTTAAACTAGTGGTCCTTTTGAGTTCGGTATAACCGTAGTGTTCTGTATAAAGGCTACATTTTTTTATATTTATGTTTCCCATCGCCCGACCCACTGTACTTTGGCAGAGGACCCGAAAATTTAAAAAATGTTTTAATACTTCCCCAGACGCGACCTTAGGACCTACCAAGTGCTCATTCAATTACTTCGTTCCTGTGTCAGTGCTGGGAGGACGGCTGTAGGTAGAGGACAAGTGAAAAATATCATGAAGGCTAAAAGGCTAAGTATTAACTTTATTCGTTCTTTGCATTTCATCCATTACAGACAAACAGACAGACAGACAGACAGACAGACAGACAGACATTTTATTTCAGTAATGTAGGCCATTGGCCCATAATACAACATAGAGCAAATATAAAGAATACATACATGCTGGATATAGGATAACGATTGGAATACAGGGTCAATTAGTTGTAGTAGTGAATTTACTTCTTAGTTTTAATACAGTGGAGAGGAATGTAGTTAATGGTTTTAGATAATTTATGTTGTTGCAAGTAATTAAACGCACAAAGGTTTCATTCATTACGCTATCACATTAAAGAGAAAAGAGGTGTGAAGTTTGTAAAGGTAACATCAGATAGAATCTATTCTAATGTTCTCTGCTCATGTTCTTTGTTGTTCTCTGTCGCTTTTACTCCGTGTTATGAATTCGAAATCCACAGATTTGACAATATCTTGAATACCAAAGAAAACAGAATAAATAATTTTTTAAAACAGTTCTTTTCTTTTCCACCAGATGCAGATTTCCCATAGCCACGGCTAAACAGGCAAAATATAGCAGAATAAAGGTTACTGATGGCTCTGTCGTCTTTTCTTTCTTTTTTTTATATTTAAAACCGACCAAACTTAGATCACGTTGGGTCCGTGAAAGACATAAAATAAATACTGCCCTAAGTGTCAACTAGAATGGTCTACTGTGATGTGGGGTAGCCTAGTGGTTAAAGCGCCCGCCCGTCACGCTGAACACAAGGTTTGATACCCCATATGGGTACCATGTGTAAAGTCCGTTTCTGGTCTCCCACGCGAGATATTGCTGGAATATTGCTAAAAGCGGCGTAAAACCTTACCCACTCTATGATGTGACACAGTATAACATGACATGGATGGTGAACCATTTTCACTAGAACATAGAATAAAAGGAATATTGCTTTCCTTAGTACAGACAAGCAAACACATCAATATTTTACGTTAAGTTGTTTACTCAAGTTACGGTCTTATAAAGTTCAAGATTCTCAATATACGTGCAGCATCATTTCGAGAGGATATTTGTTCACCTACAATACAATTGGTGACCTAAGTACGGTAATACCTTTCTTGATAAGTATAATTTTTCAAATAACACATAATAAAACAAACAAGAGCAAAATACAAGTCGGTAAGCGTGATGTGGGAAATTACTGAGATTTTCCTTTGTTTTAGGAAAGAAGCTTAATTACACGCTGACAGGACATGAAGTTAACTTATAATCAGTACTCATTATTTCAAGTTTATTTACATGTCAGAATTGGCATGACTTCAAATCGTTGTCATGGTTGTAAATTTATTATATATACTACGCCCTGTTAAATAACACATGGTTGTTTTGTTAGTGTATTTGCTCTACATCGCAAACATTTCACGAAAAGACACAATTTGCATAGATAGCATATCCATGTCACTTTCCAGTTCAGTTATAGTGAGCTAAATGACTCGTTATATTGAACTCAGTACAGTCATACGCCAAAATGTTCTGTCACAAACCCCGACCTCAGAACTAATTAACGCTATCAGGGCTTATTCTCTATCCTCCAGATCATTGACTACAGTCTTAGCATGTTTTCCGACAGATATGTATTTACAAAATCACGGTTGATTTGTTGAAAAATATAAAGAAAATGTAACTCAATACACATCGATCGGAATGTATACGAACCCAAATAAAGACTTTGGCGTATCAGAAAACATTCATGTCAATGAACGTCTTGTTTAGAATTATTGCATAGAGCGACGTTTCGACGTAGCCGAAGGCTTGATAACGGTGTAAGAATCTACATCGAAACGTCGGGCTATGAAATAAAAAATAAGTTATCATCCATAAAGGTGTATGCTTTATTTTTGACTCACAAACTTCTAGAATGCCAATCAGGTAATTCTTAGAGAGCTGTCAAGATAATTTTTTGCGAAGCACGTGGCTATGGTTCATATGTCCAATAATTTCTCAAGGTGCTTCAATGGCATCTTTCAGAGCAGTCCAGAACGTGTCCTGGTCAACTGAGTCCTGTGGGTACTCCAGGAAGGTCTGTGTGTGCATCATGTACAACAAGTCTCGTGGTACAAGGTTGGGCAGGACCTCCTTGTATTTCACCAGGACTACCATGTTCCGTTCTGTGTATAGTCCTTCCATCCGGGCCATCTCAAACTCGTACCTGCACCAGTAACTGTCCAGGAAATTAGGGGACAACACAATGACAACAAATTGACTCTTTTGGATGGCTGACAGGATGTTAGCAGCTATTGGCTCACCTGGAATGAAATCTCGATGGTGAAGACACAGTCGAAGATTACCTTCTCTTTCAAGCTTCTGGATGAACATGTGCAGAGCAAAGTCTCTGTCCTCATCGGCATAGGAGATAAAGGCATTATATTCATAATCATTCCCATGTTGAATCAGGTTAACGTTTCGGTAATGTCTTCGGGCTACGTAATACAAGTATCTCAGCTTCCATCGATACCTGCAGAGGATAGATGCAACTAAGATGCAGATAAAACTTGTTACGGAAATCAACAGACCCATTGCTAAACCAAAATGAGAAGTGCACTTTTGTTGCAGTTGTAAGAGGATCTCAAACACGTTTTCGTTGTTCAACCATCCAGATTGTTTGGAACATTTATACAAATGTTGGTTGACAAACAAACCCTTTCTCTGTGCCATCCATTGTATAAAATCTAAAGAATCACAGGAACAGAGTAGAGGATTGCCTGACAGATCGACTTTCAAACCAGAGCTCTTGTTGATTAGGTCCAGTTGAGACACAAACATGTGATCAAGAGATGAAATCTCATTTGAACTTAAGTTTAAGAATTTCAAATTGTTCATGTGACTTATCTTGATTTCCAAGTTACTGATACTGTTCTTACTTAGGTTCAAGGTTTTTAGATTGACAAGGTTTCTAAACACATTTACTGGCAACGACTGGATTCTGTTCAAAGACAGATCCAGAAATTCAAGAGTTAATGAATAAGCAAACGCCTGTCCTGTTTCATCTTTTCGTAAAAAGTCCCCAAGGTAATTACTATTAGCTCTTAGTATCTTTAGACTTGTAAATCCTTTCAGACAATCATCGTCAATACGTTCACAGAAGTTTTCTGATAGGTCTATTTCACGAAGATGGTTCAAACCATACATTGGGCCAGCCCAGTGAGTTATGACATTTTTCCTATAACTGATCTTCTTTAGGTTGTTGGAGGTAAAGTTGACATTGTCAAACGCAATCCTAAACGTGCTCTCTTCACAGAAGAAATACTCCAATTTAGGAGGAAGGCTAAATTTTACGCCGGGAATGTTATCAACTGTGGAGCTTATAGTTTCGCTTAGGTCAATCATCCAGACGTTTTCCAGATGGATCAATTGTTCAAAGAAAGTTCCATACACAAGTCTACTTTTCCTGACGGATAAGACCTCGAGGCTTTTTGGAAGAAGTGACAATACTCCCATTTCAACAGAAACAATATAATTATCATTAAGATATAGTTCCTTTAAATTGGTAGTGTGAAGATATTGAGCAAACAATTTATTGAAAACAGTGCATGTTGCATATTCACTCACCATTGAATTTAGTTTCAATATTTCAACCGAGGAATTTTGCAGTCCATACGAAATATTTTCAACATGCTTCATGTCCATTCGTGAATTTTTGGACATATCTAGAATTGTGACGTTATGTAAATTAGTTAAAGCCTCCCTTCGAATATGAGATATGGAACATTGTGTCATATTCAGATAGGTCAGATGCTTCAGATTTAGAAAGTAGTTGGCCGTGATGTTAGGAATTGTACATGTACCTATTCTCCCAGACAATGTTAGGTTTGTAAGCTTCCTGAGAGAACGAAACTCTTCACCAAATTCACCTGAAGGCATACCATCAATAAACAATTCCTCAAGGGCAGATAACTCCGCTAGTACATATCCTGGATAGTCCATATCTGAGGTCAGATCCAGATCTTTGACATTGTTGTTTATCTTCAATGACCGAAGGTTCGGAAGACCCTGAAACGTGGCATTTGGATATGCCAAATTGTTCAGCAGGAGGTGATTTCCTTCTAAGTTTAGCGTTTCGAGACTCTTAAGATGAATGAAAGTTCTTGGCTGTAAAACACTCAGTTGATTGCTGGACAAGTCAAGATGACCAAGATCATAGAATCGGGACAATCCAGCTGGAAGGCGTGTTATATTAAGGTTGTTGTCTCTGAGAAGCAAGGTGTTGATGCTCGCTGGGAGGCCATTGGGGATGTCTGTGAGATTCCTGTTACGGCAGTCGGCGATGTAGTCGTGTGACTGATGACGAAGCATACAGGAATGAGCCGGTGTAAGCTGGTCGGTTGGCACGAAGGACCAAATAGATATCGCGTACATCAATCCAAGATGAAAGGCGTTGATGTTTCCCATTCTGTGAAGTAAACAGACAAGAAAGTACTAAAAATTAACATTGAGAACAATTTCATCAATTTTCATTAACACTTAAAGGCCTGAAGTACTGAAGGGATACCTAAATTTCAATCACTATGTACAAATTAACACATAATGCAGAGTAATAGTGCAGCAGAGTTTGATGTCAGTTGAGACATATCAGATTTTATTGTTTTTATGTGATGGGGTTTTATGTACTTATAAAAGTATGCAAATAGAAAGTATAAACTGTCATTCGCCAAGCCTTTATTAATAGAGAGATCACAAGGTAACATAAAGAATTTCCCATGTCTTATGATGTATCATGTACTGCTCAAAATATCTATTTTCAACATTCTAAGCTGGAAATGAATAAACAAACAAACAATTAATATTTCCAAAAAACACTATTACACAACGATTCATTTCGTCAGTTACCCAGTCATCGCGTCTGTTCGTGCATGCAATTCAACAACATAATACTTCGTACAATATCATGTGTAATCCATTTATGGAGGTTCAACAAGTGCTTATAACTGTGAATATACATAGGAAATGCACCACATTCGCCATGAATCTTTGGACTCAACCTCCATACATCTTATGTTAAATAAATTGTAACATCTATAACTGCACAGATTGTCGTTTCGCCTTAGCTAAGACTGACTGACTGAGTTTGGTTTTACGCCTCTTTTAGCAATATTTCAGCAACATCACGGCGGGGGACACAAGAAATGGGCTTCACACATTGTGCCCATGTGGGGATTCGAACCCGGGTCTTCGGCGTGACGAGCAAACGCTTTAACCATTAGGCTACCCCACCGCCCCTCTTAGATAAGAAGAAAGTGCATATTTTTCATCATCCTTGAAACGTGGGTTCAATTGTAGCTTGTCTGTTTAATTAATGTCAGCCACCACACCTTTCTATCTGGCTGCTTAAAGGCGACCCCAGTTTCCCATATGTGTGTGGATAGACACTTCCTCACTGAGACCGCCTCCGTGGTGTAGTAGTTAGAGAGTCCGCCCGGAGAGCGGAAGGTCGCGGGTTCGATCCCCGACCGCGTCATACCAAAAGACGTTAAAATATGGTACTTGTTGGTCCCTGCCTGGCGCTCGGCATTAATGGGTACAGCAAGGATTGGTCGGCTCGGAGTCAGTATAATGTGTCTGAGTGGGGTATTCATGCTTCACTGCGGCATGGTATTTCAGTGGGCTAGCACTATAAAACCAGCTTCAGTCTGGGCTAGTACAAGCAGCCTCACTTACACATACACACGCATGCCCGTCGTCATATGAGCGAAATATTTTCAAGGACGACGTTAAACCCAATTTCACCTCACCTCACCTCCTCATTGAGTAAAAGAGGACAGTTCGTAAACTCTTTAAATCTAGTTATAATGTTTCACATTGATGACATTAACAGATCAATCATCACTAAACATTGATGACATTAACAGATCAATCATCACTAAACAGTACCGTATCATTGATACACAGCAGACAAATCACAAACACAACAATCACAAACTGTTAAAAGCATAGGGCAATACAGTAATAAGATCCGGGTTAGAACTGGTCATCAGCAACCCTCGCTAACTTGGCTGATGGAAGTCATTGTATCCCAATTGCAGAGATCGATGCTCATTATATCAATCATTGGATTGTGTGGCCCAAAGTCGATTATTCCAGACTGCTGCCATATAGCTGGAATATTGCTGAGTGTGGCGTTAAGCACAAGACAGACACCCGTCGTTCAGCGTGATGGAAATTACTGAGATTTTCAGTCTTTTAAGAAAAAGATAAGATACACGCTAACAGGTCATGAGGTATTCTTATTATCAATAATCATTATTTCCTGTTTATTTGCATGCAAAACTACCATGACTATAATTAATGTCGTGGTTGTGTATTCATTAAAGGGCCACGCGCTGATAAATAAGACACACATGCGTTGTAAGTGTATTTGCCTTACATTGCAACAGTTTCAGGAAAAGATATAAATTATCCTCATTTTGTACTGACAGCATATCCATGTTAATGACATGTCTTTCCAGTTTAGTCATAGTGAGCTAAAATATACGTTATATTGATATTAGTTCAGCTGTACGCCAAAATGTTTAGTCACAAACCCCGACCTCAGACCTTACGTTATCCGGGCTAACTTTCTATCCTCCAGACCACTGACTACAGGCTTAGCATGTTTTCTGACAGATACACTCTTCAAAAAAGAAAACGCATACGCATTTTTTGAATAATGTATTGTGTTAGTTTTAGAGCAATTATTTAATGTAATTTCAAGGGTAAAATCTACACGTCTATAGACAAGGAGTTCGCCAACACAACAGCAGCCTTTGTTGTATTTCTGTTTACTTGAGTCTACAAGATGGCTTCAAAGACACTAACTTGTATGGCCACCATTGGCAGATATTACTGCTCGGCACCGTCTCCTCATAGATTAGATAAGTCGACGTTGTAGCCCTTGTGGACTTTTCCTGCAATGCGATGGACAGTTGTGGAAGTGTCTGAGGCGTGTTTTGACGTTGACATACACGTCGATAGAGTTCATCCCATAGGTGATCTATCGGTTTAGATCTGGTGATAGGGAAGGCAATTGGCAAGGTAGCGGACCGTGACACGTGTTGTATGTGAAGTAGCGTTGTCATGCTGGAACAACTCCCTCTGTCGGTCCATCATCGGAAGCATGTGACGTGCAAGGACTTCGTTGATGTACCGATTTGCTGTCAAATTCCCCGGAATAAATCAGATCTAAATCAGATCTTTGTGTGCTGGATATCGCCCCTCGACTCCCCAGCTTCAAGGCGGCCTATGGAAGTGTTTCAATTGGCGGGACTCAGTCGTGGCATGATGATTTCCTCTTTTCCAGGCAAAGCCGAATGACAAAATTAAACACAACGTCATCGATACCGCATGCTTTTCCGGTTACGTGCACGCGCATTTGGTTTTGAATCTTTTCTTGGAGAATATTTCTTCAAACGCTTCTAAAACAAGGGAAAAACTTGAAATGGTCACGTTTTGGCGCTGAAGCTCTTTACAATTACAGAAAGATTACGTTTTGGAAAGAGAGAGTGTGTTGGGTTTTACGCCACTATCAATAATAATAATAATAAGTCATCTTCTATAGCGCACAGTCTCCAAACTGATTCAACTGATTCGTGACCTGAGCTCTGTGCACAGGCCACACTCAATATTTTAGCAATATTCTAGCAATATCACGGCGGGGGAACACAAGAAATAGGTTTCACAATTTTGTACCCATGTGGGGAATCGAACCCAGGCCTTCGGCGTGATGAGTGAACGCTTTAACCACTAGGCTACCCGACCGCCCCGTTTTGGAAAGAATGACTGAGTTTGGTTTTACGCCGCTTTTAGCAATATTCCAGCAACATCACGGCGGGTGACACCAGAAATGGGCTTCACGCATTGTGCCCATGTGGGGATTCGAACCCGGGTCTTCGGCGTGACGAGCCAATGCTTTAACCACTAGGCTACCCCACCGCCCCGTTTTGGAAAGAAAAAGTATATTTGTATTGTTTTTGCTGCAGCTACATCCAATGTTATCAAAATCACCTATGCGTTTCTTTTTTTTTCGGAAGCGTGTAAACTTATTTACTAAATAGGATTCACACTTTTGTTTAATTTAACATTATTTTACATGTGGTATTGTTGTAAAATAAAAGAAGATTCATCTCAAAACACATCGGGTTGTATATGAACCGAAACGACTTGGGTGTCTTTGATTAGTTCATATCTAAATAAAGAAACCGTTCAAAATTAAAAAATAATAAAAGAAATAGACAACGGAAAAGATACAAACAAACCTACCTTGACTGTGGTCGTTTGGCTCAATGGTAACCTTAGGTTGGGACCTTTTTCGACTTCAGCTTCACTACAATGGAGGCCTTGCTTCTTGCTGTCGTGATGGTTACTGAATAAGGCTGAAACTGGAATATTGCTGTTCTGCTCTGGAGACTGACTGACTGAATTTGGTTTTACGCCACTTTTAGCAATATTCCAGCAACATCACGGCGGGGGACACCAGAAATGGGCTTCACACAGTGTACCCATGTGGGGATTCGAACCCGGGTTTTCGGCGTGACGAGCCAATGCTTTAACCATTAGGCTACCCCACCGCCCCTCTCTGCTCTGGAGAAGGTAACAGAGGGGAAGGACATAGAAACAAGATTTTGTAGACAAGATTTGACAAGGACAAATTGTTGTTTGTACACTTGCCGCCGTCTCTCACTTCCTTGATCATAGCTTCAGTAAATTGACATTATGATATGTATGGTCACAAGTCATGTATGTTCTAAAGCGAGTGAGTGAGTGAGTGAGTGAGTGAGTACTGTTTTACGCCGCTTTTAGCAATATTCCAGCAATATCACGGTGACACCAGAAATGGGCTTCACACACTGTACCCATGTGGGGAATCGAACCCAAGTCTTCGGCGTGACGAGCGAACACTTTAACCAATATGTTACCCCACCGCCCCTGTTCTAAAGTAAATATTGGGTTTCATAAATGGCGATAACATACCAGTTTAATCCACTCAGTTTCAGAAAAGGATGTGTTTTTGTTTGTTATTTAACGCCGTACTCAGCAATGTTCCAGCTGTATGGCGGCGGTCTGTAAGTAATCGAGTCTGGACCAGAGAACCCAGTAATCATCAGCATGAGCATCGGTTTACGCGACTGGGATACGATGGTGTCCTCCCATTACGCAGACAGCCAGTTCGCAGACACCTTAAAACAACAATATTTACGGTTCAGTGAATAGATTATTTACTACCTGTTACCTACACTTTATAATGGAATAGTCCAAATATAAACACAGGAACAAACTGAAGCTATATTATTTATTTTGAAGGGTGGACGAAAAGTAATTTGAATTTTTATTGCTGCAATATATAACATAAGAACAGTTTATTTTCATAAACATTTCGGTTTAACCTTCTAGTCTAACGGTAGTAGGGATCATCATATTGAAAACATTAGCTTAGCTATTAGAAATTGCGACACTGTTGTATCATATAAATCAAATGAAGACAAATGTGAACCTAAATATTATTCATATGGAATAAAGAAGTTATATGTTTTGCACCCAATATTAAGATATATGACGAGTGCACTTAATTACGATTTATTTAGAATAAATATTTAAAATATGACGCATCATGCCAATAGTGGCCATGTATGTGAGAATGTTTTTCATTACTTCCTTGAATGTCCATTGTATACTGCTCAAAGACATAAACTGTTACAATCTTTAGAAAGTATCGTTGAAATTAGAACACTGATTGGTATTAATCGTATCTTACATGGCAATACAGATGTCTCATTTACTGCAAATCAAAATGTTTTCAAATATATACATATCTATATCTCTCCAACAAAACTTTTTCTCAGTTAACTTCGGTTGTACATATGCTATTATTGGGAGGGGTCTTTTCTATCAATAAAAACAATCAAACCTCTCTGTGACAAACCTGTTTATATATTCGATAGTAATTGATAGTAAAATCAATTTTGAGAAGAGAAATCATTTATCATTTAATCACAAGAAAGTCCTAGCTATTTACACACAATCAAACTTCTCAGTAACGAACTTGTTTCAGGCTCACCCTGCTCTACTCACTAGACAGTGGACTGTTCCATTATACCCGTAGGTGTTACCCTAATTAACCTTCTAGTTCAGTTTCTGTCAATTGGGTGTCTGTCAATTGGGTGTCTGTCAAATGGGAGATAACCGATACGATGACATGTGGCAACTAAGCCAGCGAGTCTAGCAGTGACCATCCGATCCCGTTAGCTAGTGTCAAGGAAATTTATTTTTATAGTATATGCATATTATTATGATCATTTGTGACAAGAATTTATACATGAAGACAGAGATGTACAGAGCGCCGCCATATATTATACAAGAGTGCAGTGTGATTATTTTATAACGGCCAGGATGTCCAGACTCGAATATTCACAGACCGCCGCCATAAAGCTGTAATATTGCTGAGTACGGTGTTAGACAACAAACAAATATGGATGTGGCATCTGAACTGTTGTTGCAACACCCAGTAGCCAAGTCGTCTCAGGTGCAATAAATTCGCTGTGTAGAGTTGTCGCCCTTAGGGGTAACAGTAACCTATGATCATACGTTTGGTTTCACTAAACGCCTGACACCTGCAAAACTTCGGTCCTTGTTCCTACATCATGCGGCATTGTACAGCGTGAGATACTGTTCAGAGTGGCGTTAAACCCAATCTACTCACTCACTCACTCAATTTACTCACTCACTCACTCAACTTACTTACTTACTCAGTATAAAACCTCTACTTAGGAACGTGGTTATCACTATGTCAGATAACGATTTATGCACCCGGATCTTTGAAATGAAACACTTGAATAAATATAAAACTGAATGGTTTCCTGCTTCTGTGACTCACAGACCAACCCACTCTTTATCATTGATAAAACCGCCTCCGTTGTGTAGTGATAAGAGCGTCCGCCCGGGGAGCGGAAGGTCGCGGGGTCGATCCCCGACCGCGTCATACCAAAAGACGTTAAAATATAGTACTTGTTGGTCCCTGCCTGGCGCTCGGCATTAATGCGTACAACAAGAACTGATCGGCTCGGAGTCAGTATAATGTGTCTGAGTGGGGTATTCATGCTTCACTGCGGCATGGTATCTCAGTGGGCTAGCACTATAAAACCAGCTTAAGTCTGGGCTAGTACAAGCAACCGCACATACACATACACACGCATGCACGTCGTCATATGAGCGAAATATTCTCAAGGACGACGTAAAACCCAATTTCACCTCACCTATCATTGATAAAAACAGTCTGTTCAGTCATCGCAGTTTTACAGACACACTATGGGCAACATAATGTGGACACCTACCATTGATGGTAGTTGAAAATGAAACAAACATGAAATAGTTAATCAATGGTGTATTTGTTAGTGGAACCATGACCCGTGAAGATCAGGGTTAGAATTGATCTTCATTAACCCATGCGTGTCGTAAGAGGCGACTGACGGGATCGGGTGGTCAGGCTCGCTGACTTGGTTGACAAATGTCGTCCAATATCAATTGCGTGGATCGATGTTCATGCTGTTGATCACTGGATTGTCTGGTCCAGATTCGATTATTTACAGACCGCCGCCATATAGCTGGAATACTGCTGAGTGCGGCGTAAAACTAAACTCACTCACTCAATGGAGCCATGGTGGTGTTTTGAACCAAAAGCATGTTAACTTAGGAGGACTGTTTTTTAAAGTGTAACGTTATGATCATATTTGGAAAGTTTTGATCAAATCTCATTTTCAAGAGTATATGGTTTTATGTTCCTAACATATTGGGGCGGTGGTGTGGTCTTGTGGTAAAGACGCCTGAGACCCGGATTCGATTCCCCACATTGGTACAATACTGGATGTGAAGGCCATTTCTTAATGTGGTATTGATGTAAAATAAAAAGAAGATTCATCTCAAAACACATTGGATTGTATACGAACCGGACTGAAAACTTTGGTGTGTTTGTTTGGTTCATGTCAAAATAAAGCAAACATTCATTTCATTTTCATGACCATTTTGCCAAAGATGACAAAACTATGGAATATGCGTTTTCAAAGCATACTAAGTAAATCTTGGTTTATTCAACAAGAGATGTAGGCCATCGGCCCATGACACAGCAGTTGTACAGCAGCCACAATACATATTGCTTACATTAACATATTTGTCCTCAATTGCTTAGACCCCTCAACATACATAGCCAACTTTCTAATAAGATCATTGTTATCACTGGACATTAAAAGATTAAATTTAGCTAATGTAGGGAAATACATAGTATTTCCTTGGAATAAACTGTTCACGTAAATCGACATACGCCTTGCATACAAACAAGAAGTGTACTTATCTTCGACATAGTTCATTTTACAAACATCACAAAATCTTTCTTTTCTTGGGACATTTGAATATCTACCCATTTCAAATTTAATTTCTTGAGAACTACATCTAAACTTAGCTTAAGAAACACGAAATTTCTGAATAGTTATATGCTTAATATAATGCTCTTTGATATAAGTTAGACTTATACAAAGAATAATTATATGTTTTAGAACCTTCTGACAAAGATACTTGCTGATACATACAAATTTTAGCTCTATCCATAAATTCTGATAATAACGACTGAATATAATGCACTTGTTATCCCAAACATAGCCAAATCCCAGTTTAAATGCCACATTTTGAAACCCAGTTACATTTACCATGACCCATTTCTAACATAAACATGTTATAACATTTCTTGGGTAAGCGAGAGTTTGGCACGGATAACAGTTTATACCAATACTTTATACAACGCTTGTAGGCAAATATATATACCGGGTATCTCCCACACTCACCACGAACGACATAGTTTGAAGTTGACGTTTTCACACCAAGAAAATATATACATGCTTGAACATGAACTCCCTTAAGTAACACTGTTAATCTTACATTCAGAATCAAAGTCTAGCCTATATTTCAGAACCATATAACAAAATTAACATAACTTTACTATCAAAAGCTTGAAGACATCATCACGTGGTAATGGTCTAAGTTTCGAAAGACATTTTACAAAAGAAATACTGCTTTCCTACATTGCAACGATGAGCTAATAAACTGCTAATAAAGTTGAATTCCAAGAAAATATCACACTTAAAAATCCTATAAGATGAGACACGTTCAATGAGATTGCCCTCAAAATACCATTTTTCGCCCCTCGAAAGAACTTCGCCGTTTTTGAAGACAACCACCTCAGTTTTATCTAAATTTACGGTTAAATTATATTGGTGACAATACTGTGGTAACCTGTTAATTCGTTTTTGTCACCCTCCATCAGCAAGATCATTAATGAACAACGAATATAGCAGGGGGCGTAAGACACATCCCTGTCGCACTCCCACATTATTTGAAACTAAAATATTAAATTTAACACACGATTTTACACTTTCATAGATAGATTTAATACAGCCTAACATTTTTGGCGAAACTCTCTTGTGTTGTAAAACTGTCCACAGCTTAGAACGATTAACAAAATCGAAAGCCTTAGCAAAGTCCATAATAGAACATACACTTTAACTTTCTAAGAGTCGACCGACAACAGACTGCAAAATGAAGATATTATCCATAGTTGAATAACAATGTCAAAATCCGACCTGTCATTCCGAAACCTTTTCATAGGCATCACACAAAAATTTTAATCAAGCATTCAAGACTGAAATATATATTTTACTAAAAACACCTCAAAATCGTTATACCTCGATAATTAGAAGTAGTGTTAAGATCTCCCTTTTTAACTTAAAGAGCTTCAAAATGAAGCATACAACTTTATGGACGACAACGTCTTGTCTATTGCTTGTAGCAACGTTTTGATATATCCAAAAGCTTGATAACGGTTAAGAATCTACAGCGAAAGGTCCCTCTATACAGTAAGAAAAAGGTTGTCATCCATGCCGATCAAACAATTCTTAGAGAATGTCAAGATCATTTTTGCAAAGCACGTCCCTTTGGTTCATATCATGTCCTATATTTTCTCAAGGTGCTTCAATGGCATCTTTGAGAGCAGTCCAGAACGTGTCCTGGTCAACTGAGTCCTGTGGGTACTCCAGGAAGGTCTGTGTGTGCATCATGTACAATAAGTCTCGGGGTACAAGGTTGGGCAGGACCTCCTTGTATTTCACCAGGACTACCATGTTCCGTTCTGTGTATAGTCCTTCCATCCGGGCCATCTCAAACTCGTACCTGCACCAGTAACTGTCCAGGAAATTAGGGGACAACACAATGACAACAAATTGACTCTTTTGGATGGCTGACAGGATGTTAGCAGCTATTGGCTCACCTGGAATGAAATCTCGATGGTGAAGACACAGTCGAAGATTGCCTTCTCTTTCAAGCTTCTGGATGAACATGTGCAGAGCAAAGTCTCTGTCCTCATCAGCATAGGAGATAAAGGCATTATATTCATAATCATTCCCATGATGAATCAGGTTAACGTTTCGATAATGTCTTCGGGCTACGTAATACAAGTATCTCAGCTTCCATCGATACCTGTAGAGGATAGATGCAACTAATATGCAGATGAAACTTGTCACGGAAACCAACAGACCCATTGCTAAACCAAAATGAGAAGTGCACTTTTGTGGCAGTTTTAAGAGAATCTCAAACACGTCATCGTTGTTCAACCATTCTGGTTCTTGGGAACATTTATACAAATGTTGGTTGACAAACAAACCCTTTCTCTGTGTCATCCATTGTATAAAATCTAAAGAATCACAGGAACAGATTAGAGGATTGCCTGACAGATCGACTTTCAAACCAGAGCTCTTGTTGATAAGGTCCAGTTGAGACACAAACATGTGATCAAGAGATGAAATCTCATTTGAACTTAAGTTTAAAAATTTCAAATTGGTCATGTGACTTATCTTGATTTCCAGTTTACTGATACTGTTCTTACTAAGGTTCAAGGTTTTTAGATTGACAAGGTTTCTAAACACATTTACTGGCAACGACTGGATTCTGTTCAAAGACAGATCCAGAAATTCCAGAGTTGGTGAATAAGAAAACGCCTGTCCTGTTTTATCTTTTCGTAAAAAGTCCCCAAGGTAATTACTACTAGCTCTTAATATCTTTAGACTTGTAAATCCTTTCAGACAATCGCCAATACGTTCACAGAAGTTTTCTGATACGTCTATTTCACGAAGATGGTTCAAACCATACATTGGGCCAGCCCAGTGAGTTATGACATTTTTCCTATAACTGATCTTCTTTAGGTTGTTGGAGGTAAAGTTGACATTGTCAAACGCAATCCTAAACGTGGTGTTGTCACAGTAGAAATACTCCAGTTTAGGAGGAAGGCTAAACGTTAAGCCGGGAATGATGTGCACCGTGGAGCCAATAGTTTCACTTAGGTCAATGATCCGCACGTTTTCCAGATGGTTCAATTGTTCAAAGAAAGTTCCATACACAAGTCTACTTTTCCTGACGGATAAGACCTCAAGGCTTTTTGGAAGAAGTGACAATACTCCTATTTCAGCAGAAACAATATAATTATCATTAACATATAGTTCCTTTAAATTGGTAGTGTGAAGATACTGAGCTATCAATTTATTGACAATAGTGCATGTTGCATATTCACTCACCATTGAATTTAGTTTCAATATTTCAACGGAGGAATTTTGCAGTCCATACGAAATATTTTCAACATGCTTCATGTCCATTCGTGAATTTTGGACATATCTAGAATTGTGACGTTATGTAAATTAGTTAAAGCCTCCCTTCGAATGTGAGATATGGAACATTGTGTCATATTCAAATAGGTCAGATGCTTCAGATTTAGAAAGTAGTCTCCCCTGATGTTAGGAATATTACATGTACCTATTCTCCCAGACAATGTTAAGTTTGTAAGCTTCCTGAGAGAACGAAACTCCTCACCAAATTCACCTGAAGGTATACCATCAATAAACAATTCCCCAAGGGCAGACAACTCTGCTAGTACATATCCTGGATAGTCCATATCTGAGGTCAGATCCAGATCTTTGACATTGTTGTTTATCTTCAATGAACGAAGGTTCGGAAGACCCTGAAACGTGGCATTTGGATATGCCAAATTGTTCAGTGGGAGGCGATTTCCTTCTAGGTCTAGCGTTTCGAGACTCTTAAGATGAATGAAAGTTCTTGGCTGCAAAACACTCAGTTGATTGCAGGATAAGTCAAGATGACCAAGATCATAGAATCGGGACAATCCAGCTGGAAGGCGTGTTATATTAAGGTTGTTGTCTCTGAGAAGCAAGGTGTTGATGGTCGCTGGGAGGCCATTGGGGATGTCTGTGAGATTCCTGTTACGGCAGTCGGCGATGTAGTCGTGTGACTGATGACGTAGCATACAGGAATGAGCCGGTGTAAGCTGGTCGGTTGGCACGAAGGACCAAATAGATATCGCGTACATCAATCCAAGATGAAAGACGTCAATGTTTCCCATTCTGTGAAGTGAACAGACAAGAAACTATTACTGTGACAAATTAACATTGAGAACAATTTCATCAATTTTCATGGACACTTAAAGGCCTGAAGTACTGAAGGGATGCCTAAATTCCAATCATTATGTACAAAATAAACACACAATGCAGCGTGGTATTTATCCTCGATAATCTCCAGGCTATATGTTACGATAAATCTCCACTATATCCTGGATGCATCTTCGGCTCGGCCCCCATGCATCAGAGTTTGAGATATATCAGATTTTATTGTTGTTGGGTGATGGGGTTTTATGTACTTATAAAAGCATGCAAATAAAAGTATAAACTGCCATTCGCCAAGCCTTGATTAATAGAGAGATCCCAGGGTAACATAAAGAATTTCCCATATCTTATGATGCGTCATGTACTGCTCAAAATATCTATTTTCAACATTCCAAATTGTAAATTAATAGACAAACAAACAAATAAAGGTTTAAAAAAACCCTATATTACACTAACAATTCATTTCGTCAGTTACCTTGTTATCGCATCCGTTCTTACATGCAATTCAACAACATAATACTTCGTACAACATCATGAGTAATCCATTTATTCTTATTATCAATAATCATTATTTCCTGTTTATTTGCATGCAAAACTACCATGACTACAATTAATGTCGTGGTTGTGTATTCATTAAAGGACCACGCGCTGATAAATAAGACACACGTGCGTTGTAAGTGTATTTGCTTTACATTGCAACAGTTTCAGGAAAAGATATAAATTATCCTCATTTTGTACTGACAGCATATCCATGTTAATGACATGTCTTTCCAGTTTACTCATAGTGAGCTAAAATATACGTTATATTGATATTAGTTCAGCTATACGCCAAAATGTTTAGTCACAAACCCCGACCTTAGATTTTATCCGGGCTAATGTTCTATCCTCCAGATCACTGACTACAGGGTTAGCATGTTTTCTGACAGGTACACTCTTCCAAAAAAGAAACGCATAAGCCATTTTTAATAATGTATTGTGTTAGTTTAAGAGCAATTATTTAATGTAATTTCAAGGGTAAAATTCAAACGTCTATAGACAATGGAGTTCACCAACACAACAGCAGCCTTTGTTGTATTTCTGTTTACTTGAGTCTACAAGATGGCGTCAAAGTCACTGCTTTGTATGGCCACCATTGGCAGAAATTACTGCTCGGCACCGTCTCCTCATAGATTAGATAAGTCGACGTAGTAGCTCTTGTAGAATTCTTACCCACTTTTCCTGCAATGCGATGGACAGTTGTGGAAGTGTCTGAGGCGTGTTTTGACGTTGACATACACGTCGATCGAGTTCATCCCATAGGTGATCTATCGGGTTAGATCTGGTGATAGGAAGGCAATGGCAAGACATTGACGTTAGAATTGGCAAGGTAGCGGACCGTGACACGTGTTGTATGTGAAGTAGCGTTGTCATGCTGGAACAACTCCCTCTGTCGGTCCATAATCGGAAGCATGTGACGTGCAAGGACTTCGTTGATGTACCGATTTGCTGTCAAATTCCCCGGAATAAATCAGATCTAAATCAGATCTTTGTGTGCTGGATATCGCCCCTCGACTCCCAAGCCTCAAGGCGGCCTATGGAGGTGTTTTAATTGGCGGCACTCAGTCGTGGCATGATGATTTCCTCTTTTCCAGGCAAAGCCGAATGACAAAATTAAACACAACGTCATCGATACCGCATGCTTTTCCGGTTACGTGCACGTGCATTTGGTTTTGCATTTTTCTTGGAGAATATTTCTTCAAACGCTTCTAAAACAAGGGAAAAACTTGAAATTGTCGCGTTTTGGCGCTGAAGCTCTTTACAATCACAGAAAGATGACGTTTTGGAAAGAGAGAGTGTGTGAGTGAGTTGGGTTTTACGCCACTTTCAATAATAATAATAATAAGTCATCTTCTATGGTCTCCAAACACCAAGTGATTGCTTGCGGCGCTTAATCAGAATTTGATTATTATTACCCCGGATAACCCAAGCTGCCTGTTAGGCGCTAGAAGGTTATAGTCACATGAAATTATCCAACCGGGTACCTATTTTCTGCTGGGTGAGGGGAGGCAATTTTGAACAACTCACTTGCCTAAGGTGAGACCACATGTATCACATGTGCTTCGTTGTGGGGCAGAACTGAAGTCGTAGAACCTCTCAGGAGTCAAGCTGCCGAACACGGTCACCCATCCAAGGACTGTCCGAGCTCGCCGTTGCTTGACTTCAACTGATTTGTGACCTGAGCTCTGTGCACAGGACCACACGCCACATGCAATATTTTAGCAATATTCCAGCAATATAACGGCGGGGGAACACAAGAAATAGGCTTCACAATTTGTACCCATGTGGGGAATCGAACCAGGGCCTTCGGCGTGATGAGCGAACGCTTTAACCACTAGGCTACCCCACCGACCCGTTTTGGAAAGAAATAGTATATTTGTATTGTTTTTGCTGCACCTACATGAGTCCAATGTTATCAAAATCACCAATGCGTTTCTTTTTTTTCGGAAGCGTGTAAACTTATTTACAAAATACGATTCACACTTTTGTTTCATTTAACATTATTTTATATGTGGTATTGTTGTAAAATAAAAGAAACTAGATTCATCTCAAAACACATCGGGTTGTATATGAACCGAAACGACTTGGGTGTTTTTAGTTCATATCTAAATAAAGAAAACGTTCAAAATTAAAAATTAATAAAACAAATAAACAACAGAGAAAAGATACAAACAAACCTACCTTGACTGTGGTCGTTTGGCTCAATGGTAACCTTAGGTTGGTACCCTTTACGACTTCAGCTTCACTACAACGGAGGCCTTGCTTCTTGCCGTCGTGATGGTTACTGAATAAGGCTGAAACTGGAATATCGCTGTTCTGCTCGGGAGAAGGTAACAGAGGGGAAGGACATAGAAACAAGATTTTGTAGACAAGATTTGACAAGGACAAATTGTTGTTTGTACACTTGCCGCCCTCTCTCACTTCCTTGATCATGTATGGTCACATGTCATGTATGTTCTAAAGCGAGTGAGTGAGTACTGTTTTACGCCGGTTTTAGCAATATTCCAGCAATATCACGGCGGGTTACACCAGAAATGGGCTTCACACATTGTACCCATGTGGGGAATCGAACCCAGGTCTTCGGCGTGACGAGCAAACACTTTAACCACTAGGCTACCCCACCGCCCCTGTTCTAAAGTAAATATTGGGTTTCATAAATGGCGATAACATACCAGTTTAATCCACTCAGTTTCAGAAAAGGATGTGTTTTTGTTTGTTATTTAACGCCGTACTCAGCAATGTTCCAGCTGTATGGCGGCGGTCTGTAAGTAATCGAGTCTGGACCAGAGAACCCAGTAATCATCAGCATGAGCATCGGTTTACGCGACTGGGATACGATGACATGTGTCAACTAAGTCAGCGAGTCTAGCAGTGACCATCCGTTCCCGTTAGTCGCCTCTTACGACAAGCATGGGTTACTGAAGACCAATTCTAACCCGGATCTTCACGGGTCCACTAGTGTCAAGGAAATTTATTTTTATAGTATATGCATATTATTTAAATAATTTGTGACAAGAATATATACATGAAGACAGAGATGTACAGAGCGCCGCCATATATTATACAAGAGTGCAGTATGATTATATACTGACGGCAGGATGTCCAGACTCGAATATTCACAGACCGCCGCCATAAAGCTGTAATATTGCTGAGTACGGTGTTAGACAACAAACAAATATGGATGTGGCATCTGAACTGTTGTTGCAACACCCAGTAGCCAAGTCGTCTGAGGCGCAATAAATTCGCTGTGTAGAGTTGTCGCCCTTAGGTGTAACAGTAACCTATGATCATACGTTTGGTTTCACTAAACGCCTGACACCTGCAACACTTCGGTCCTTGTTCCTACATCAGGCGGCATTGTACAGCGTGAGATACTGTTCAGAGTGGCGTTAAACCCAATTTACTCACTCACTCACTCACTCACTCACTCAACTTACTTACTCAGTATAAAACCTGTACTTCGGAACGTGGTTATCACTATGTCAGATAACGATTTATGCACCCGGATCTTTGAAATGAAACACTTGAATAAATATAGCACTGAATGGTTTCCTGCTTCTGTGACTCACAGACCAACCCACTCTTTATCATTGATAAAAACGCCTCTGTGGTGTAGTGGTTAGAGCGTCCGCCCGGAGAGCGGAAGGTCGCCGGGTCGATCCCCGACCGCGTCATACAAAAGACGTTTAAATATGGTACTTGTTGGTCCCTGCCTGGCGCTCGGCATTAATGGGTACATCAAGGACTGTTCGGCTCGGAGTCAGTATAATGTGTCTGAGTGGGGTATTCATGCTTCACTGCGGCATGGTATCTCAGTGGGCTAGCACTATAAAACCAGCTTCAGTCTGGGCTAGTACAAGCAGCCGCACATACACATACGCATTCACACGCATGCCCGTCGTCATATGAGCGAAATATTCTCAAGACGCGACCTAAAACCCAATTTCACCTCACCTATCATTGATAAAAACACAATCCGTTCAGTCTTCGTAGTTTTACAGACACACTATGGGCAACATAATGTAGACACCTACCACTGATGGTAGTTGAAAATGAAACAAACATGAAATAGTTAATCAATGGTGTATTTGTTAGTGGAACCATGACCCGTGAAGATCCGGGTTAGAATTAATCTTCATTAACCCATGCACGTCGTAAGAGGCGACTGACGGGATCGGGTGGTCAGGCTCGCTGACTTGGTTGACAAATGTCGTCCAATACCAATTGCGTGGATCGATGTTCATGCTGTTGATCACTGGATTGTCTGGTCCAAATTCGATTCTTTACAGACCGCCGCCATATAGCTGGAATACTGCTGAGTGTGGCGTAGAACTAAACTCACTCACTCACTCAGTGGAGCCATGGTGGTGTTTTGAACCAAAAGCATGTTAAGTTAGGAGGACTGTTTTTAAATTGTAACGTTATGATCATATTTAGAACGTATTGATCAAATCTCATTTTCAAGAGTATATGGTTTTATGTTCCAAACATGTTGGGGCGGTGGTGTGGTCTTGTGGTAAAGACGCCTGAGACCCGGATTCGATTCCCCACATGGGTACAATACTGTATGTGAAGGCCATTTCTGGTGTCCCTCCGCCTCTTTTAGCAAAATTCCAGCAATATCACCAGAAATTTGCTTCACACTGTCTACCCATGTGGGGAATCGATCCCGTGCCTTCGGAAAACCTGGGTTCGATTCCCCACATGGGTACAATGTGTGAAGCCCATTTCAGTCGCCCTCCGTTGTGATATTGCTGGAATGTTGCTAAAAGCGGCGTAAAACTAGACTCGCTCACTATAAGTTATCTCAGCTTCCTGGTCATTCAAGAGCAGCATGACAAATGTGGTGTCCTGTTCATGAGGATGTTTGTTGAAGGACTCTATAAATACGGAAATGCACCCACTTTCATTGTGGGCGTTTGTTTTATACACAACGGAAATCAATAAAGATAACGATAGAAATTATGCCCTTAGAAAAGAATTGCATTTCAGTTGGAGAGTGGTCAGCTGAGTGAGTGAGTTTAGTTTTACGCCGCACTCAGCAATATTTCAGCTATATATGGCGACGGGCTGGAAATAATCAAGTCTGGGCCAGACAATCCAGTGGTCAACAACATGAGCATCGGTCTACGCAATTGGGATACGCTGACATGTGTCAACGGTCAGCTGAGATATATATTTGGTAAGGTACCAGGCTACAGAGACAGTATCAGTGGGGACAATCATACAGAATCAGGGTTCCGATCCACAAAGATGTCGTAGAGTTACGACAGGTCGTAACGTTACTAACGCTTTGTGGACAGGGGGGAGCCAGAGTATTATCAAAAGCATTGTGAAGCAATTTAGACTAATGCACATACATATACGGACAAAACATGCATGTGTGTGCGTGTGTACGTGTGTGCGTGCGCGCGTGTGTGTGTACTCATCCGGATTTGTGTCGGTTTTATAACGCCAGCCTTGTGAGATTTAGTTTAACATAGCCCACTCAAACACAGCATGCTGACACCCAGCCAGTCAGTGCATGAAGGAAAACGTGATTGGTTTAACGCGGCAGGGGATCGAACCACATTCCATTCTCAGGGCACTGTCCACTGCACCACGGATCCCGATCCCGGGGTCGTTTATATGATTAAAAAATATGAAACTTTGCAAATTCGGAACAGTATCGTGTGGATTGACGAGGTTTCACTAGTTTATGCATTTCACAGATTCCACGGTGTTGAATCTGATACACCTGTATATGAGAAGCTTACGGTTTACATAGACTCAAATGTACTGGGGCAAGCAGTTACACATGCTCCGCTCGAGCAGGAAGACTATATAACGTTGTAGAGTATCCCTGGCTCGAGTGATGTTTCAGCCCTTAGGCAATCCATATGTGTTTCTCATCTTCAACCCCACCAAGCAACAGAGCGGACGGGGGAAAAGAGAAAAATAAATGTTTTTTCCAAATGCGCATATTGTATCAAAGTATTACCTTTATTTGCTGTGCAAGGGTAAGAGTATATAGTTCTTTTCTTTTTATTATTCAGTCAAATGTTACAGAAAACACATTTCACGAGTTACAGTATATACATTTTCCAGATTCAAACATTTTTTAAAATTTAATGTGGAAGCCTGTATTCTGCTGTTTTCTTTTCTTTTCTTTTTTATATACTCCTCAGATAAAAAAGAGTATATATAGTTCTTATCACACGAGGGCACTGAAAATTGAGATAAGAAAACATTATTATATTTTCACATCGGACTGAAAATCAGAGTGGTCAGACGATGGGAAACGGTGGGGAAAAGAAGCAGTGTCTGATGCAGCCGTGACCGCACTCACATACATCGTGTCTGTTGTTACACTAGGATTCGCATTGACTGTGTTGCTTTGTCACATGCACTTTCCTGCCTATACTGATTAACCCCACTACTGCAGTTTCGTCCTGGGTCCATTTTCAGATAATTTGGGAATTGTTGTTTTCTGGAAAATATGTTCAGTTTAGAGACTAGATGTCACAGTGAGATTAAGTGACCATGCAGTGGTGGTCTGATGCGAAAAACACGTTATTCATCAACGAAAACTCCATGTGAATAAATAGTCCTTTCCTTGGTCTAGCTATTATTTGTTGTGACCACTTTTTGTATGTAGAAAATGTGCGTTCGTCTTTCATATCGATGTACTCTTTGACATATATGTTTATTTTGTTGGCCGTAGTCTATCGTTGTCTACAATCGTTGTCCAAACTCAGTAAACTTGCCAAACTATTTAATCCAATCGAACACACGCATAAATTCGCGGGATGTGGTGATTATAAAGTCTGTAAGTTTATCTGAACACCGGTAGTGTAATTTTGTCATTAATGAAATCTTATTACCACTTTGCTAATTTAAAAAGTCTTACCACAATCTTTCTTAACAAGAAAATGTAATATTTCATTACACAGACATTCAATGACTTGTTAAATAAATTGGGAATGCTAATTTCGACTCATTCTCCGCCGCATGTTTCAGTAACAACTCATTCCTCAAAGGCGGGGTAATCAAAATGGCTACCGTGCTTCAGCTTCTGCTGAATAATCAAGTGTCGGCAGAAGCACTCGTTACCTGGCTGAAGAACAAATCTGACGCTGTAAGAACCAGACTAATATATGACTCTGGAACACGCAAAGCTTTGTTTGTCGTTAGGTCCCACATCAGATAGTGTAAACGTGAAAGTTTAACTTTGATTTGAGATGTTATATTTACATTCAAAATATGGTCGTCAAAGGTTCCGATTCCTGCCATGTGGTAATCATTTGTTAACTAGAACTTCATCAAATAGACTAAAATACTCCATATTCTTTAAATGATAAATAATGTTAGGTCTTGAATTTGCGGAGACAATGCCAACAAGTTATTTATGGACTGGCGTGTTTCAGAAGATAACAGCGATAATTTTAGTTTTACACTCTACAGGTGATAAATGCAACTCGGAAGGGTTGTTTCACAAGTGTAAGCTTTCTTAATTCTGGACACAATTATGTATGCTTTAAAAATTGTTTTGCAGGATGAACTTCCAGGAGGAATTGAAAGCACAGACAACCTTCGAACTGAATTCATTGCATTTTTCTTAAACTTTCTGCGGGACCAAACTTTACATCTTCTACAGAATGCAAAATCTAGTAACACATCACCAGTTAAAACCCCAAGCTCCCACAAAGTGGAGACACCAGTACAAAAGCGAGCAAGTTCAAGTACAAAAAGAGTTCAGTTATTTTCAGAAAGTCCTGCTGATTGCTTGCGACCAGACATTGATCATGTTAGTCCCCTTTTCTCTCCCAACTCTTCAGTTGATTCTGCCCATATCTATCATCGTACTGGTGGTAGTGACAGAATGTCTCATAATGACTATCATCACAGAAAACGATGGGATGGCGACACCCCAAATAGACGTCGATCCTCATCGTCTCAAACTCCTGAAGCTCAACGTACGAAACAGAAGCTGAGTCTGGGTGAATTTCTCCTGACACCAGAATCTGGAAACTCAAGAAGACGACGATCTCCCTATTCATCCCGAGAAGCTTCCCCATCTCCAACTGCCCAGCCCCCCAATCGCAGAGCCCCAGGGAGGAGGAAAGGGGGATCGCCCCTCATCAGAAGTAATGAGGATGCAAGAGAAAAAAGTTCTCCTGTTTTCAGCCTCGTCAACATGAATGATTTTCCTCCAGTTGGAACAGCTGATGAAAAACGAGAAAAAAGGTTGCATAATAGTTATGTTTGAGAAATCATTTAATGCCTGTCATTCATATATATATACTATCATACATATATTAAATTATATCATACACATGATGAATAGCTGAATAATCAGATATGTTTCCATACTTCCAGATCAACTACATGTTACAAGTTACTTTGATTTCTTTTCTATCACAAGCAACATTGATGTTAAACTGTCAGATCATCAACAACTGAAATACTCTCATCAATCACAAGTTTGTACATAGCATTGGCAGGCTATGCAAATCTACTCCGTTAAATTTACAGGTTTTTTTATTCCTAAATTAAACATATTTCTAAGAATTGTTTTGTGGTTGCATGAATCATGATTGCTCCGATATCTGATGTTATGAACTTGTTTTCATATTAATTTTACAAAGATTTTGCTCAAATGTTTTATGTTATGCTTCAGTGATACCAAAAGTGGCCCAAGTAAATCTCCTGAAGCATCCAACCCTCGAAGAATAGCTCTAACCCCTGTGGCCAAGGTGCCCCAAGAACCAGGGTTATCTCCCTTTGCACAAGCTGTAGCTTCGGCTGAATGCATTGATGCTGTCGGGGGAGGTGGTGACAGTTCAGGACCAAAATGTGAACTTCCCAAAAAGATAGCAGAAAAATCTTGTGTCAGGTATGATAATTCATGAATGATTTGCATGATGTAGTTGGTCTTTGTGTCATTATACAATGTAATGGTATAGCAATGTGCTTAGAATGTGACCAGAAAATATGACTTGCAGACAAATTTGCCATCTTTTTGGTCAAAACACCAATTTCTATTGTGCAATTTAACCACAAATTATTTTACTCCAGAATTCATCTGTCATTTTTTGATGATTACAAGCTTTTCCACAACAGGTAGCTGTCCTAGTTTTATTGTGTTACCATGGTAATCTCACCCTGTGATATTCACTCCTTCCAGATCTTCTGAAAAACGAAAACCACGGCGAATTAATCCCACTCCAGTGACGAGGCTTTCCAATCAGGGATCATCGTCTCCCTTCTCTGTGTCTGTGATGGAAGTGTCGCCCCCTGTGAAAGCTTCGGGGGATGCATGGAGTTGCAAAACTACCCAGCATACACTTGTTGAAGAGAGGGAGCTACTCCGGTAAAACATCAAAATTTTTAGATGCATGTATCATTTACCATGTTTACTTCAAAATAAGGATCATAATAGTTATGAATCATGATCCTTTGATTCTTGTATTCCAAACTTCCTTTAGAGAAAGTAATGGTGTTATTATAGAAGAGGTATATGACAAGTAATGAAATAAGAATCATAATTATTACATATCATGTTCATCTGGCCCCAATTTCTCGAAACAAACTTAAGTTTTTACTCAGATTTCAAACTGAGTTTGACAATATGAAACAACTGAATTTTTAACTCAACTGCATTTTTAAAATAAAAAAAGCCCAAACAACTTAAGTAATCTGTCCACCAAACTCAAATTGCCAACTATGTTTGAGTTTAATATTGATTTCAGTTCAACATGGGAAATGCACTTTCTCAAATTTGAGTAAAAATTCGAACTTAAGTTAAAACTCAGACTTAAGTTTGTTTCGAGAAATCGGGGCCTGATGTTTTCATTCCAAACTTCCTTTAGAGAAAGTAGTGACTTGTTGCAGATCTATTATTTTCCCAATTCATGTTAGCATGCTTATTGTAGTCATGTGTAATGGGTCAGTGAGTTCGGTTTTTGCCGCTTTTAGCCATATCCTAGCAATATCACAGTGGGAGACACCACTAATTCACACATTGTACCAATGCGGAGAATCAAACCTGTGTCGTTGATGTGGGGAGCGGACGCTTTAAACATTAGGTTACCCCACCGCCCCTTATAGATAGTGTTATATTGGTTATTGTGCAAATGAAACAGGTTAATACTGATTAATACCACGATCAAGACGATTGACAGCACTTCCTGTTTTCCTGTTGAGGCAAGCATGTTGTGATTTAACAAACAACAGTAAAAAACATACTTTCAAAAGTTTTGTTTGATGTTTCATTTTTAAGGAATATTGATTTGTCTCCCAAGCCCATCGATAATCGCTAACGCAAGCGAGATCGATCAATTGAGAGATGTATCGTTCGAGAGTCATTGGTTACGAGGGTGCGACTTGTTTAATGCTGATAACAGGCGTAATGGAGATGGAGGGATTGTTAAAGCTTAGTTTTGAACACACTGAAGGCAATGTTTATTTAAAATTTTCAAATTACCTCTGAATGAAGGAAGGTGACAGCTTTGTGTTTTGATCCAAGTAATGATGTCAGGGCTTGATTTAAGAGATATTAACTTACTTGCACTGGGTGCAACCTAAGATAAAAACCTAGTTGCACCAGCCAAATTCCAGTTGTACTGACTTTATTGGAATATGTAATGAAAGAAATATGCTATTGAATTATTTAGATGTTTTATTCAGAGGTTTACCCACTCAAAAATTGACTTGCACCTGGTGCAAGTTAGACTAATAACTAGGTTGCACTTTGTAATATTGGGTTGCACCAGTGCAAGTAACAAAGCACTAAATCGAGCCCTGGATGTCCAATATCCATTTGCCCCATAAGGGTACTAAGCTTGCAATCCAATATTAACCTGTGAGTTATGACGTATTTTATTTTACTGCAGGCAAGAAAAGCTTCGTCGACAGAAATTGATGGAAAACGATCCATGCGCTTCTCCAAAATCTGCCAAGGACCACGATTCCGTTCCTTGTGTGACTCCAACCAAGACTGTCCTAGAGAGGAAAGCCAGTCATATAGAATATGTCCATGCTGATCCCAGTCAGGTGACGCACCGACATGCTCTTGATGTCATGGCGAATCTCTATTCCAGGGCATTGTCAGGTAAGATGTCTATGAGGTGGACTAAACTTGGCACCGAGTATGTCCCAAATCGACCTTTCTTGTTCATTGCACAATGGATAATCATTTGTTCATTGAAAATAACTTCATAATAGTTGTGCATTATTGAGCTTACACAGCATGTACACTGGTTTTTTATACCTTAATAAATGTAAAAGATATTGAAGTCTATTTTTATGTAGATAACGATTATTCTGCAGCCTAAACATTGAACAAGTTGGTTAACCCAGAAGTTCTCTTCAATGTTGTCATTAACATGATGAACATGATCATATTGGAGTTATCTCCCCTTCACAGATCATCTCTTTCCCAACCTGACGGTGGAGCTGTATTTCCTCACCCAGCTTCTCACCTCAGTGGGTGAGGAGGTCCAGGAAGACAAGGATGTCAGTCAGGGTGAGTCTGACCATGCAAAATAGTGAGTGAGTGAGTGAATTCAGTTTTATGCCACACTCAGCAGTATTTCAGCTATATGGCAGCGGTCTGTAAATGATCGAGTCTGGACCAGACAATCCAGTGATCAACAGCATGAGCATCGATCTACACAACTGGGAACCGATGACATGTGTCAACCAAGTCAGAGAGTCTGACCACCCGATCCCGTTAGTTGCCTCTTACGACAAGCATGGGTTACTGGAGATCAATGCTAACCGGGATCTTCACGGGTCAAATAGTGACTGACACCAGGTAATACGTTCAAAGATCACTCAAGCTTATATAGGCCTTGATTTAGATGTTTGGCTCGAGTGGCTTCAACATTGCATGAACCATGACATTGTGACCATCCAATCCACAAATCCAACCAATTCTAGCTCCTTCTGTAAAGATTGGTGCTGGTCATCTCTCATGATTTGAAGATAGACAGTCGGAGCACAGTAATCGATCAATTATCAATTGCATTTGTAAACACCACAAAACTCAAATAGGCAATAACGGGACACAATCATAAATTTGTGCAACTGAAACAGACACAGATTAATACCCTGATCAAGACAATTGAGGGCACTTCCTGTTTTCCTGTTGAGAATTGCATGTTTTGATTTCACAAACTTCAGTAAGAAACATACTCTTTAAAGTTTTTTTTATGTTTCATTTCTTATATACTAGGCACATAAAGAAACTGTGCATACAAAAATTTTAAATCTAAATTGATCAAACCTGTGTAGACCATAAGGATTTAAACTCAGAGATTAGTGACATGTATCCAACATGCATGCACGTGCCACGTTCCGTGACGTCAGTGGGTTCATCCTTGAGACGTGCAATACGTTGTTGCACATGCATTCCGGGAAAGAGAAACAGAGCAAATGAATGCCACACAATACTGTCACTTTGGAAAGCTCAACCCCTGCCCTTGCGATCGTTCAAAAAATTTAACGGCTATTGAAACGCATAGCATGCCAAGGCTCACGTCTGCACAACGTCATGAGGCCATTGGGATGGTCCGTGGGGGAATGTCTCAACGACAAGTGGCTGCACATTTCCACTGCCACCGGAACACCATTTCGGCACTGGTAAGACGCTACCAGAACGCAAATGACGTCATCGATCGGCCACGTTCTGGACGTCCACGTGTAACAACGCCAAGACAGGACATATGGATAAGGGTGAGCCATCTTCGCCACAGGTTTCAGACTGCAGTGATGACTGCCCGAACCAACCCAGGACTTCGCCGTATCCACCCCAACACAGTTCGACAACGTTTACGTCATCACGAGATCAGACCACGATGTCCCGCCATACGGCCTATCTTGACACAACGTCATCGACAAGCTCAATGAATGTGGTGCCGAAATCATGTCTGCAGACCCTTGTTTTGGTGGAGAAATGTTGTTTTTACAGATGAGTCTAGATTTAACATTTCCCATAGTGATGGACGTCAACGTGCCTATAGACACGTTGGAGAACGTTATGCACAGGCCTGTGTCTTGGAGAGGAATCACTTTGGTGGTAGTTCCGTGATGATTTGGGGTGGAATAACAGCACGCCAAAGAACTCCTTTGGTGATTGTTCAGGGCAACTTAACTGGTGTGGGCTACAGGGATCAGATTCTTCGACCTGTGGCAATTCCTTTTCTGCAACGTCATGGCCCTGGGTTAACATTCCAACAGGACAATGCCCGCCCTCATACGACAAGGGATGCTATGGATTTCTTGCAACACCACAACGTTGACTTACTGCCTTGGCCTGCAAATTCACCGGATCTGTCCCCGATAGAGCATGTTTGGGACGAGATGGATCGACGTCTACACCGTCTTCCTCATCCGCCAGATAACGTCCTTGACCTTGCAACAGAACTTGAGAGAATCTGGTGTGACATCCCACAAGCCTTCCTTGCACGTTTGATAGGCTCTATGCGTCGTCGATGCACTGCTGTTCTCAATGCCGATGGTGGACATACCCGTTATTGAGCTTGTGACATGGTCGTTTGACCCCTGTCCCGCTTGTGGACTCGTGACGTCATTGTGATAGACTTTTCAATTGAAATTCTCCCGACTTGTTATGGTCTCATGATCCCTCCATTAAAGTTTATATGTACATTTGACATTGATATCGTACTTATCAACTGGGATAATATTTTGACAATGCACAGTTTCTTTATGTGGCTAGTATATATATCGATTAGTTCCCAAACCCATCGATGATCGTTGACGCAAGCAAGATTGAACAATAGAGAGATGTTTCGTATGAGAGTCAGATTTGATTTGTGTGAGACTGACTTGCTGTGGTTGTCATGTTACAGAGTCAGATGAAGTGAAGTACTTCTCCTCAGTACACAATGCTGTGTACTTTGCCATCACTATCATGGAGAAACAGGTCAGGTGAGTAGATTCCTGGATGCGGCTGCTTGATCTTGTGTGTCTCTTGCATTTGACGAGTTCCTGCTCATAAGTTTGGAATTATGTACATTCTTTGCAAACATGTTTAACTAATTTGTTTAACGTTTAACTTGGACAAATAACAACTAACAATGCTGTTTTTGTTTGCTCACAAGGTAGGATTTACTGGTGGTGGTGGTGGAATTGGGTTTTACGTCGTGCTTGAGAATATTTCGCTCATATGACGACGTGCATGCGTGTGTATGTGTATGTGTATGTGCGGCTGCTTGTACTAGCCCAGACTGAAGCTGGTTTTATAGTGCTAGCCCACTGAGATACCATGCCGCAGTGAAGCATGAAGACCCCACTCAGACACATTATACTGACTCCGAGCCGACCAGTCCTTGTTGTACCCATTAATGCCGAGCGCCAGGCAGGGACCAACAAGTACCATATTTTAACGTCTTTTGGTATGACGCGGTCGGGGATCGAACCCTCACCCTTCCGCTCTCCGGGTGGACGCTCTAACCACTACACCACGGAGGCGGTCGTAGGATTTACTTGATGATTGAATCTTCACTGTAACATCACTAGAGATGTAGTTGGGAAGTATATCAGCTATGCTATCATTAGTAATCTTTGTAGTGTCAATGAAGAACTTCACTTCATGCCAGATATAAGCCTCCATCACAATAAGCTGTGATTTTGCTGTGGACTGTATTTACTGCACATACAGAAGATATAGAATTCAGGACATTTTCATGGTTTTATTAATTTTAATCAATGTTGACAGAAGATTCTTCTTATTCTTCTTACCAAATATGTAACAGTACTCTGGACATTTTGGATGACATTCCAGAAACGTCGGGATGTGAACTTGTGTGAATTAGGTATTTTAAATGGATTATATTTCTAGTTAACTCTTAGCAAAGAATTTCTGCCTTGTGCTTTAGAGCAAATGTTTCTCCTGTCCAGAATACTGAGTCAGTTGGACAAGAGTACTCTGAGGTTCCTGTCAGACAACACCAGAATCACTGAGTTCTCCCCTAATCTTCAACATCAGCTAAGAGAGGCATACGACAAGGCCAACACTGCCAGGGTAGGTACCATACAAGAAAGGTCAAAGACAAGGCCAACACTGCCAGGGTAGGTACCTTACAAGAAAGGTCAAAGACAAGGCCAACACTGCCAGGGTAGGTACCTTACAAGAAAGGTCTAAGACAAGGCCAACACTGCCAGGGTAGGTACCTTACAAGAAAGGTCTAAGACAAGGCCAACACTGCCAGGGTAGGTACCTTACAAGAAAGGTCTAAGACAAGGCCAACACTGCCAGGGTAGGTACCTTACAAAAGGTACTTAAAGGTCACAAGGCCAACACTGCCAGGGTAGGTACCTTACAAGAAAGGTCTAAGACAAGGCCAACACTGCCAGGGTGGATACATCATTAGAGAAAGGTCAAGGACAAGGCCAACATTGCCAGGGTGGTGCAAGACAAGGCCAACACTGCCAGGGTAGGTACCTTACAAGAAAGGTCTAAGACAAGGCCAACACTGCCAGGGTAGGTACCTTACAAGAAAGGTCAAAGACAAGGCCAACACTGCCAGGGTAGGTACCTTACAAGAAAGGTCTAAGACAAGGCCAACACTGCCAGGGTAGGTACCTTACAAGAAAGGTCTAAGACAAGGCCAACACTGCCAGGGTAGGTACCTTACAAGAAAGGTCTAAGACAAGGCCAACACTGCCAACACTGCCAAGGTAGGTACCTTACAAGAAAGGTCTAAGACAAGGCCAACACTGCCAGGGTAGGTACCTACAAGAAAGGTCTTGACAAGGCCAACAAGGGGTAGGTACTACAAGACAAGGCCAACACTGCCAGGGTAGGTACCTTACAAGAGACAAGGGCCAGGGTAGGTACTAAGACAAGGCCAACACTGCCAGGGTAGGTGTTATCTCACAAGACAAGAAAGGGGTAGGTACCTTACTAAGACAAGGCCAACACTGCCAGGGTAGGTACCTTACAAGAAAGGTCTAAGACAAGGCCAACACTGCCAGGGTAGGTACCTTACAAGAAAGGTCTAAGACAAGGCCAACACTGCCAGGGTAGGTACCTTACAAGAAAGGTCTAAGACAAGGCCAACACTGCCAGGGTAGGTACCTTACAAGAAAGGCGAAGACAAGGCCAACACTGCCAGGGTAGGTACCTTACAAGAAAGGCGTAAGACAAGGCCAACACTGCTAGAGTAGATATGTCACAAGAGAGGGCTAAGACAAGGCCAACACTGCTAGAGTAGATATGTCACAAGAGAGGGCTAAGACAAGGCCAACACCAGGGTAGGTACCTTACATGAAAGGTCTACAAGGCCAACACTGCCAGGGTGGGTACCTTACAAGGCCAGGGCACTGCTAGAGTAGATATGTCACAAGAGAGGGCTAAGACAAGGCCAACACTGCTAGAGTAGATATGTCACAAGAGAGGGCTAAGACAAGGCCAACACTGCTAGGGTAGATATGTCACAAGAGAGGCTGAGGGCAAGGCCAACACTGCTAGAGTAGATATGTCACAAGAGAGGGCTGAGATACAAGGCCAACACTGCTAGAGTAGATGTGTCACAAGAGAGGGCTAAGACAAGGCCAACACTGCTAGAGTAGATATGTCACATGAGAGGGCTAAGACAAGGCCAACACTGCTAGAGTAGATATGTCACATGAGAGGGCTAAGACAAGGCCAACACTGCTAGAGTAGATATGTCACAAGAGAGGGCTAAGACAAGGCCAACACTGCTAGAGTAGATGTGTCACAAGAGAGGGCTAAGACAAGGCCAACACTGCTAGAGTAGATGTGTCACAAGAGAGGGCTAAGACAAGGCCAACACTGCTAGGTAGATATGTCATTAGAGAGGGCCAAGACAAGGCCAACACTGCTAGAGTAGATATGTCACAAGAGAGGGCTAAGACAAGGCCAACACTGCTGGAGTAGATATGTCACAAGAGAGGGCTGAGACAAGGCCAACACTGCTAGGGTGAATACATCATTAGAGAGGCCAAGGGCAAGGCCAGGAATGCTAGGGTAGGTAGACAAGGCAAACAATAGTTTGGTGGGTCCAGTAATTGTCAAGTAGGAAAACTGTACTGTTTGAGAGGCATTCTAAAAGTTGTAAGCAATAGGAAATGACAAGTGTTTATGGATGATCAACAATGTCCATTGTCTTTGTTCGGCCCCCCCTATATATACCCTATATATATCCTGCTGTACTCATTCTTCATCTCATGCTTGAAAACGGTATAAGCTTCTATCAGTGTATGAAATAAGGCCCGTCCGACCGCCCGAGAAGGTCTAGATTCCCGACGGGCGGTCTAAATCTTTTCAGAGAGATCGTCCTTGGGGTACATTTGCCTATGAAAAGGAACAGTAAAGCTTTACAGTTGGTTGTTTCATAATTGTGACTTTGTATTATATTATATTACGCGAACTTTCCGTGGTTTTAAGCCGTGTTGCTCTGCCATGGCGTGGAAGTTTAAGCGTGCCATAATGGTCGTAATATTGCGTATTGAACCAACTATTACTTTCGTGGTAGCCTTCACGTATTTTTCAATGTTTTCTACTTGTATATATGCTGCTGGTCCGCCGTTAGCTACATGCTTTTCTGCGTGTTTGCTTTCAGGCCTTTTCATCCTGTTCGGTCTGTGGACAGAGCATTCCGCGAGCCGACAGGCATGACTGTCGCGTCGCCTGTCTAGAAAAAGACTGGCCATGGCGCGGACACATGTACCATTTGTCTTGGGTTTTCCCCGGGCCCCAAAGCGGAGGGCGGACGCTATTCTACAAAGAGATGCGTGGCGGGTGGGAACTGGCGCAGGTCCCCGTCCTAAGACTAAGAGACAGTCACGTAAGGCGAAAAAATCCCGAAGCCAAACCCCCTCTCCCGCTAGTACTGGTGGTTTTGATTTGACACTAATGGACAAATTGTTTCAGCAGCATATGGACTCTGTGGAAGTCCCTCGTTCGTGAGTCTGTTGGAGGTCTCGCCAGTTAGTTCCTCGCACGCACTCGGACGGGCGGAGAGTCAGGGGTGGGATCGCCGAGTTTCTCGATCCCTCAGCCTTGAGGCGTCTGTAGACCCGTTGCCTCTGGCTTGGGTCCGGACGCCGACGGCTGCCCCGAGAGAGGTGCTCCCAGTCCCCTCTGCGGAGTTGGGCGCAGGGACCCGTTGAGTATTCCTGGTGTTCCGGTCCCCGCGCCTCGCCTGCATGAGAGCCGGAGGCACCAGTTCTGCCTGGTCTGCCTCCAGCGTCTCCGGGACGAAGTCGATGCACTTGCAGCTTCCAAATGCGTGGAAGCTCTGTCTGCTCTTCCCTCTCTGTGCTTCCCTAGCTAGGCACTTCCGGTCGGGTTAGGGTCCTCTTCGAGGAGGGCCAGCCTCCCTGACTTCGGTGAGCGAGTCGATGGAGCATGGCGGAGGTTTCCGTTTTGCTTCTCGACTCTGGCGGGAAGTCCGGCAAAGAATTGCGAGGGCCTACCCAAGCCGCTGGTGCCTGTTGGCTGCTCGGACTTCGGCTGAGTTCTGCTTGCCAAGCGCAGCGTTTGCCCTCGGCAGCCCTCGCATGAGCGCAGCTCCGCATTCTGCCTTCGTTGGTTCCGGGGCGTGGTCGAGCCCCTCTTGTCTGGTACCCGTGTTGGGTTGGTGCGGATTTGAATGCGAATTTACCAACAGGGGAGGACTCCCTGTTGCAGTTGTTCCCATCGTTGGCCAGTGCGTGTTCACTTCCGTCGCCCTGGGGAGGCTCGGCTTCCTCGAACAGCTCCGGCAGCTTCGGCAAAGGCTTCACTCCACCGTTTGCCCTCGCGATCCTGCAGCAGCATACCCCGGACCTCACGAGGAGGTCTACGGAGCGTGATGCAGCAGGTCAGGGTGGTGGTCCATGAGGCCTACCTCTCCTCGATCCAGAGGTCGGCCCTGGAGGCGGAGGGAGCATGCTGGCGGCGTTTTGCCGCGCATGTCGTGCTGCTCTGACAGCTCTTTCGGAAGTTCAGGCACACTTAGCGATAGCGACTCTTCGCGGTCTGCTCATTCGGCGGTGATGTCGCGCGCAGTCATGGGGATCGCGCAGGCTGTGGCTGTCGGCGTCTTTCGCTTTTCGGCAGCGGCGCCTGACCTTAACTGCTAGCCCTCCCTTTCCGTCTGGGGCCACCCTCTTTCCAGGGGCCCAGCAGGTCATACGGGAGGCTGCAGCTGCAGCTACCTCCTTGAAGGACTCTAAGGCCTTGTTGGAGCACCAGCGGGTGTCTCGCAAGCTCAGCTCCCCGTTCCACCTTCCTACACCCGAGTCTGCCGGGCTGGCCGGCGCTTGGTAGGGGTAAGGAGGAGCAGCAAGTCCGCCAAAGGGTAGGGGCAAGGAGCAGTCCTCGACCCAGCTCCCAGCCTTTTAGCCCGGTAGCCGGGAGGTCTGCCCGACCTCCGTTAACCCATCAGGCTGCAGCTCAAGCCGCAGTGTCACACACCAGTCAGCTCCGCTGCTCGGGACACCGCCGCAGCTCTACCCCATATCCCAGTGGGGAGGCGCCTCTCTCTATTCCCCTGCGGAATGGGAGAAGGCTACCAACAATGCTTGGGTGCTGGCCGCGGTCAGCATCGGCCATTACCACTGTGGAAGGCGAGGTCGCCCGACTTCACCGGGCATACGCCGCACTCCGGTGCCGTCATGTCAGGCAAGAGGCGGACATATTAGCGCCGACAAAGTTCAGGCTCTGCTGGACAAGTCCGCTAATCGGCGCATTCCACCGGAGAGGAACAGGGCGGGATTTTACTCCGCGTACTTCCTCGTCCGAAGAAAGACGGCCGGGTTCCGTCCATTCTCAGCCTCAAGGGGTTGAATGCATGCTCGAAGTACCATCCTTCAAGATGGAGACACTGCGCATTTCGGTGATCTCATCTATTCAGCCCGGTGATTGGCTCCACGTCAATCGACCTAAAGGATCGTTTATCTTCATGTGCCCATACATCCCTCGTTCAAGCAGTACCTTCGGGTTCTCTTTACGGCCGGGATGTGTTACTAATTCAGGGGTGCCCCTTCGGCATATCGACTGCCCAAGGGTGTTCACCAAGCTCATGTTAGTCGGCTGCCCCTGGCTGCGCTTTCGCGAAGGAAGGCGTTGTTACCCTTACCTCGGCGACTGGTTGCTTTCGGAGCACTAACACAGCCAGCGAAGTCTAGATGCTACTCACACAGTGATAGACATTCTAACTTTCGACTGGGGTGGATAATCAACCTCAGAAATCCGACCTGGTACCCACCCAGGACTTGGTTTTCTTGGGATAGCGATTCAAACGAACAAGAATCTCGTTTCCTTTGTGGCAGCCCGACCGGATCACCAGAGTTACGAGATGGTATCTTCGTTCCTCTCCCAGCCCCAGGCACCAGCATCGACTTGGCTCCGTCTACTGGGCCATATGGCGGCGATCTCTGTGGTGTGGCGGCGAGGGTTGAGATCGTCCCTATACAGCAAGCTTTGGCTCCGGCTGTGGACTCACCGCGAGGATCTGGAGAGCAGTCTGACAGTCCTCGAGTGGTTGACACCTCACCTTCAGTGGTGGACAAATGTCGGGGAATCTCACCAGGGGATCCCCTTGGAAATCCCGAGCGCCAGCTCTCACAGTTCAGACCGATCGTCCCTCGGGGCTGGGGGTGTTTCTGGGCAGTCTCGTCGTCCGGACTCTGGTCGAAGCGAAGCCCTGCTTCACATCCAGCGATGTTGGAACTGAGAGCTGTCGCGGTTGGTGATTGGCTTCAGAGAGCATGTCCGGGCCAGGTAGTCTGTCTTCAGTTGGACAAACCAGACGCCATTCGTACATCCTGAAGCAGGGAGGCACGCGGTGTCCCAAAGCTCCTCCGGAGGCGTGGGACTTTCTCCTCTGAATGCGATCAGTCGCGACTCGTCAGGTACTCCCTGTTTATCTCGGGGCTGGAGAGCGTCGCGAGCAGATGCGCTGTCTCGCCCGGATCCTGGCCCCCTGCGAGTGGATGCTTTCGACAGGCAGATTTTCAGAGTAATCTCCCAGTTATGCGGAATTACGTTCCAGGTGGATCTGTTTTAGCGTCGGGTAGACGATCAGACACCTCCGATGTTCTGCTCGATACGGACCCAGAGGCGTTGGCTGCCGCCTTCCTGCTGGATTGGACGGGCAAAGTGCTTGGCTCTGGAAGCGTTCCGCGTTACCAATCATTCCCGTGTCCTTTCATTGGCTGTCCACCCAGCCAGCTTGGCTGCTTATTGCTACTGGCACCGCTTTGGCCGTCACAGAGCTGGTTTCGGTAATTCTCAGGTTTCCGCTCAGCCTCCTGTTCTATTACCTTTACGACCGGACATTCTCACTCAGAACGGAGCTACCACCCAAATCCACAGATTCAGTGGGTGGCTTGGCCTCTGTCAGGTCTAACCTCGAGGGCAAGCGAATTCCTGCAACAGTTGCAGACACAATTCCGGCTTCGGTGGGCGGATTCTACAAACGTTCAGTGTCGAGGATAGGTGGTCCCGCTATGCGGCGCTGGTGTTCAGATAGGGGCATGGCAGATCCCTTTTCTGGATTTAGTCCGGAGTATTGGAGTTTTTGCAAGCTCGTTTGGAAGAAGGCCTGGCGGCCGACCATTCGTGGCTACTCCACGCTATTTCCATCTTTTCACACCCCCTGTCGATGGTGCTCTTCTGGGGCAGCACCCTCTCTGAATCCTGGCGGCTTTCTTGCTGGCGGATTCGACTCGACCTGCGCCAGGCGAACCAGTCCACCTTGGGGATTTGTCAATTGTGCTAGATTGGCTGTCCGGTCCAACTTTCTCACACCTATCGGCTATTTCCATTCAGTTGTTAACTTGAAAGCTGTTTTTTCTGGTGGCGGTAACATCTGGGCGAGGGTCGGCGTGATTTACATGCTATGTCGTCCGACCGGGCGCTGACTATGTGTTTCACGCGGATCGTGTCAGTATTCGCCTCCCAGATATCTTCACCGACCGAAGGTCGATCTCTCTTTCATTGTGACAGCTCCTATCGAACCGTGACTCTTACCCAGCCCTCCACATGGGGACCACTCCCTACGAGCACTCACCCGTTGGATGTCCGTGAAGGCGCTCAAAGTCTATATCAAAAGCGAGCGCCCTTGGGAATCCGTCGACGACGGTTACCGAGCTGTTCTGTTGTTACGGTGGCGGAAGGCTGGGTGTGCCAGCGAAAGCAAGCAGACTTTGTCTGGCTGGCTAGTTTGCATCAGATATTTGTGCCGCTTATCAGGCTAAGGGCAAGCCTCCCCTGAGGGGTTGAAGGCTCACTTTCGGTCAGGGCAATAGCCGCATCAAAAGCTTTGCATCGGCACTCCCCATTGAAGAGATCTGCTCTGCCGCTATTTGGAGCCGGCCAAGCACGCGTTTATCACGGCACTATCAGCCTCGGAGCACGCATTCCCCGTAATCGCGGCGCGAGCTTTGGCTCGCGTTCGGTTCTCTCCAGTGGACAGTGTCCTGCCACCCTGACCGAAAGTGAGTCTTGGTTTATTGGTTTGTTTTGGCGGCTGCTGTACAATACCATGCGTATTATTGACATATCTGCTACTGTGAGCTAACTACATGTACCCCTTCGATTCTCTCAGGAGTTATTTGTCGAATGTGGCCCGGTATTTACATCCCCCTATGGTGCTCACTAATAGACACATGGTGGGTGGGGCTTTGTTGACATTCGCACCCGTAGCGTTGTCTCACTATGCTAAATGGAGGTCGATCTTTGAGTACACTTCCTCCCTGTCAGTTCCCCTCCCATAATGCCTCTCGAAGCTAACTGGGACAAGTGACAGGTGAGTGTTATGCATGCCTGTTCAATTTTTTCCATGATAACGATCGCTATATAAATTTACAGCTAGCCAGCCCGATGGTCTGGTAAAAATTTCAGATGTTCCATACATCTGAGTAAATTCACCATATTTGGTCTGGTTAAATCCATTTTGGGCTGGTAACATTTTAAAGTTACCAGCCCTGATCGGATTTTTGGCTTATTTCATACACTGCATCTATACTGAAACGCCGCAATAAGGAAGTTGATCATCCATAAACACTTGTCATTCAGAGGCAAACTGTAGTTGAAAACATTTTTGGGGTGATTGGGGTAGCCTAATGGTTAAAGCGTTGGCTCGTCAAATCATGAAATGTCCCACATGGGCACAATGTGTGAAGCCCATTTCTGGTGTCCCCTGCGTGATGTTGCTGGAATATTGCTTAAAGTGGTAAAACTAAACTTAGTCAGTCAGTCAGTGAAAACATTTTTGTCATGAAATGTCAACTGCATGTGTGGTAAGAAGTATATTTAGTACAGAGCTTCCAAACTGCTGATTGCGCAAATCAGCTGTATAATTAGGTGTGAAATTTGCCTGAAGATATTCTTTGTGAGTCAGTTCTTTGCATAGCATTGTTCACTTGTCTGTATTTGGATTCATGTATTACTTCACAGAACGAGACTGATATATATTCCAATTTACATATACAGTGTAGACTTTTAGTTGAAGAAATTTATTGGTAAATCCACAATTTGCTGTCCGTTTGCTCACAACTGCTTATGGTTGATAAATGTGTCTATATTTTCAGAGTATCCTGTCATTCCCAAGGTCACCAATAGGTGGCGTGTCATTTCAGGCTGACACTGACAACAGGAAGAGTTTTCCCAATGATAAATGCTTCCATCAGTTCAAAAAACAAAGGTGAGAAAGAGCTTTCATCGTCACCTTCTTGCAGACATTCAGATATGGTATGTTGCATGATCCCCAAGGAGTTGAGATTGATAATACGACGTGCCATTTGAGACTGACATCCAGTTATTGAGGGAAGAACAAAGCACCTTTGAGCAGCTCTGCTGGATATTGGCACTATACAAATATTAACATAATAATAATAATATTTAATCAAATGTATTACCTTGTGGAGATAATCAGATTAGAGTGAGTGAGTTTAGTTTTATGCTGCTTTTAGCAATATTCCAGCAATATCACGGTGGGTGACACCAGAAATGGGCTTCACACATTGTACCCATGTGGAGAATCGAACCAGGTCCTTCTGTGCTACTCTGAGCTAATGCTTTAACGACTATGCCACCCCACCGCCTCTGATTAGAACAGGTCTTCGGTTACTTATACTGGTTGCTAGATGTGGAGGGGCAGAGGGGTAACCTAGTGGTTGAAGCGTTGGCTCACTGTAATGAATGCGGTTCGATTCCATGGGTATAATGTGTGAAGCCCCACCACCTCCTGGAATATTGCTAAAAGGTCTTCAGTTACTTAACTCAGTCAGTCAGTTGCTAGATGTGCCAAAATAAACGTGTGGTCAAGCTCAGTAACCTGGTTGGTTGTGTGTCATCATAACCTTATGGCTTGAATTGTTGTTCACAATATTGACCACTGGCTTGTCTGGACTGAAATTAATTATTTGCAGGTCATCTCTCTTGCTGGGTCAGGTCAAGAAACACATAAGAAACGTGTATGGCCTTACACTTTGAATAAGCAAGACATAACTATAGCTTGATCTCATTTTATCATTTGTTTCAACTGTAGCATCTTCATCATAGTCAGTATCTCTGGGACAACGTTAGTTCATGTACGTTGGAATTGTCTGTTTACCAAAACCATGGAATTCCATTTATCTTCGAGTGGGCGAGTGAGTTGAGTTTTATGCCACACTCTGCAATATTCCAGCTACATGGCTCCAGATAAGGGCCGTATCGGCGTAGGTACGGATACAAAATATGCACGATAAGGAACAAAATAATTTAGAAAACGTAGCAGATACGCACCACAGCAATGGTGTGCGGTCGTAGAACCATTTACAGACATATTTATCTGAAAAATTATTGTTTTATTGTTTATTGACCTGTTTACACAAGAGTAGCAATGTTGTGATGCATATATGAAATGAAACACAAGATTACTGATACTCCATAAATTCCATTCAGTACTCTAAATGTACTGTTATGATTTTCCTGTACTCCTGTATTGAAAAAATAAGGAGTACGTACTCCTGATGTTGAAAAATTATCTGGAGCCCTGAGGTATATGGCGGCGGTCTGTAAATAATCAGACAATCCAGTGATCAAAAGCATGAGCATGGACCTGCGCAATTGGGAACTGATGACATGTGTCAAACAAGTCAGCGAGTCTGACCACCCAATCCCGTTAGTCGCCTCTTACGACAAGCATGGGTTGCTGAAGGTTCATTCTAACCCGGATCTTCAGGGGTGTCATAGCGTGGGAGCATGGAATTCTTCCTAGCAATGGAATTATATGCCTGCCTCAGAGTGTTCTCAATTTATTCCAGGGACGTATTCTACGAACTGATACGTGACTGGGAAGACAAACGCCAAAATACTGGCTGGTCACTGGTGGATGTTCATGGGGAACGGATCCGTTGGTTGGTTACATTCCGCACAGATCTTACCAATCATCTTCATTTTGCCCGCCTCTTCCTATCGCAGCTTATTGTGGTGAGTATACCATTGGGCAATTCCAGGCCTACCATATGGGTGGACAAATGTGTTTACTCTTAAAGTTACTTGCAAGGATAGTAGTTAGACCTGATATTGATGGATTTGGAATTTGCATTTTGGTTCATGAATCTTAGGCTTCTTATGCCTGCATCATAAAAAGTGTTTACCCAGGGATGGAAATACAGTATTTTACCTTATCCTGACTCATGCTAATTATGCTTGTCTCCTTCCTCTTGTGAATGATAGTGGAACACTTGAAATCCCTTGAAGTTCCCTTTAAAAAAGCGGACGTAAAATCATCACTCACCCAAGAGTAGCGTCCCTTTCCTCCCTTTGGCGCCCAAATGGTCACATGATCGGCCATATTTGTCACTCTCTCCTTCTTCGCCCTTCAGGATGGTTGTGAGAGCACCTGGGTCCCTATTCAATATTCATAATTCTAGTGAATTGCTGAACGTTTCTCAGGAGCAGGTCGATGTACCAGGGGTGAACGCCGGAGGCCATAAGAGACTCCAATCTAAGTTTGCAGGAGTCCAGAGAGCCAGAGAAAAGAAGTATTCCAGTATGAAGGGAGGAAGAGGCTCCCAGGGGTGCAAGAGGAAGCAAGCATTGAAGGCCAGGTTAGGAACGACTGGAGTCTTCCACCCCCAGCCATTCCTGTACAACCTTCGACAGTGGGTGGATGTCTTCAACGGTACTGGGAGAATTGGGGGATACTACAGGACGACTACGTATCCCCGATACTGCGCAGAGGGTACAAGGTACATTTGGAAGCCACTCCGCTGCTCACAAGCAACCCGATGGCCTTCAACTACGCAGCCGACCAGATAGAGAAACTGGACGATGCTACCAAGACCCTACTCGACAAAGAGGCAGTAGAAGAGATAGATCAAGATCTCATCATGCCTGGGTTCTACTCCCCAATTTTCCTGGTACCAAAGAAGAATTCCAAGGAGAAATTTCATCTCATCTACAACATGAGGAAGTTCAACCAGGAGTATCTACGCAGACCAGCAAAATTCAAGATGATACATCTTCCTCAGCTCCGACATCTCGGTTCGTCCAGCAGACTACCTCGCCAGCATAGATCTGCAAGATGCATACCTCCACATGCCGATACATCCAGACTCAAGGAAATACCTACATTTCCTTTTCAACGGACAGCACTTCCAGTGGAAGGTTCTACCGTTTGGAATATCGTCTGCCCCCTGGTTGTTTACTCGAGTGACCAAGCCCATCGTCACAAATCTACATCGTTGAGGTCTATGCAGTGCTTTCTACCTGGACGACGGGATTCAAGCTCATCAAGATCCTAGTCAACTCAGACTGCAACTAGACTTCACCATCAGGCTGCTCACTCAACTAGGATGGCTAGTGAATCTCCTCAAGTCGGAACTGGAGCCGAAACAAGATCTGCAATTCCTAGGAATTCGACTCATCACACCAGAGAATCATATAGTCGTTCCAGAGGATCGTTGGGTCAAAATACAACAGATGATATCTCAAGCATTGCTCTCTCCGTTGACACTACGTGCTTGGCAAAGCATGCTCGGTCTACTCACCTCAGCTCAAGACATGACTCGCAGAGGGAGATTACAGCTGCGCCCACTACAAGTATTTGTGAACACCCACCTAGGCAGCCTAGATCCGTTAATACTACCGGACAGCCTGAAACCATATCTCCTATGGTGGACTCGGAAGTCGAACTTTTGCGGAGGTACCTTTTTGTCAGAGCCGGTTTGTAACACTCATCTCTAAGTGGATGCCTCCCTACAAGGATGGGGTGCACACTTCAACAACGAAGTGGCAGCAGGGAAGTGGTCGAGTCAGGATCAGAAGTTTTTTTACACATCAATCTGTTGGAGATGAAAGCAGTAATCAACGCTTTACAACATTGGTCCAGCGTACTAAAGAACGCACGACTCATGGTACACACGGACAACTCCACAGTGGCGTTTTACATCAACAAACAAGATGTACATCGTGACATCGTACATCTGGGACTGAGATGGGATTTTATCGCCAAGAACCAACTCCCTGGTCAGCCTGACAGACAGTTCCACATCCCAGCACTATCTACAGTCCTTGGGCCACAGGATACGCAGGATCTATCCTTATGCCCAGTCAGAGCACTTAAAGTCTACTTACAAAGAGCTAAACCAAGGAGACGAAAATTCAAGCGCCTATTCATCCCCTTATCCACTGAGACGCCCACGGAAGTCTCCAGGACAACGATATCGATCTGGATGAGAGCCGTTATACTAAGGGCCTATAAAGCAGCAGGACGAGCCTCCACGAGCCTCCATTCCACATGATGTCAGAGCCCTGGCGTCAACACTTGCTCTGCATGGAAACTGCTCGATTACAACTATAATGGAAGGCTGCTTTTGGAGATCGAACACGGTGTTTGCCAACCACTACCTCAGAGACATTGCCACTGAAGATGTCTCAGGCATTCACCAGTTTGGGCCACTTGTTGTAGCACAATAACTAATGGTTCCACAAAGGCGCTGAGTAAATCTCACCCCTTTTATCACGAGACTTGTGAAAACCAATGCTCTGGAGAGCAATGGCTATAAGTCCATGCACACGTCTGGGACAGACTAGCATGAGTGATAGACCCTGTACTTGTACAGGACATACTGCATTACATGAAGAAGGGTCGAATCTCCACTTGATGCGCGCATCAAGAGATGGAGTTGCAATAGATAACTAATGGAATATTAGTATATCTAAAATCCACACGAAAATGTCAGGAGAAGTTTCGAAGAAATCTGACAAGTTGTGGTCCCCCATGACTCATCAGAGAGAAGTTGAAAGAATCTTCAACAGTGCCGTCATAAGTTTCCAAGGGGGGTAATACAGGACGTAAATCTACAACCAGTGAATCCAGAACGTGGCTTGACCCACCACCGTTTCCAACGGATTCTGCAAGCATAATTAGCATGAGTCAGGATAAGGAATAATATGTAATTTTCTGACTAAAATTGATATTTTATACTTATCCTGACTCATGAGGTTAGCCCTCCCAACCTCCCCTCTTATGGCACTCTGGATTTCCCTTTAAATCCGGGTGTCGGGCTTACATACAGGAGAGAGTGACAAATATGGCCGATCATGTGACCATTTGGGCGCCAAAGATAGGAAAGGGACGCTACTCTTGGGTGAGTGATTTTACGTCCACTTTTTTAAAGGGAACTTCAAGGGATTTCAAGTGTTCCACTATCATTCACAAGAGGAAGGAGACAAGCATAATTAGCATGAGTCAGGATAAGTATAAAATATCAATTTTAGTCAGAAAATTACATTATTTCGAAGAAAATTACATTATTTCGAAGGGGTGCCATAGGGCATTACAAAGATAATTGAGGTGTGCCTTTGTGAAAATAAGCGTGCCCCATACCTTTAAGTTAAACTTAAAACATCACAACAATTATGTCACTTGAGTTTATTGTTTAATGAATCAAAGAACATCATGTATACCTGTAAACTTGAGAGCTGGATTTCCTACTCTCTATCAACACTGCAAGAATGGTTCAGTTTCATTTACAAATGCTGTTTATTTTTTATCTTGATTTGAAATACATGGCCATTACTTTGATAAATCTGTGAATATTAGTGAACTGAATGTAAGCTACGCTGGATAGTCATGGTCAAACTAAACAGATACTTAGTGTTTTTACCCCTTTCCAGATGTGCAAAGGTGACAAGTCAGTGAGGTCTGACGGGGAGGATGAAACAGTCACACTGCTCACGCAACTCAAGAGGACAAACCCAGAAAAATTTAAGAAGTAAGGTTTTGTTTATTTGAATTGTTAGTGTCTAGCGTTTTTCTTGCAGCAGTAATGGTATCCATGGACCATTGACGGTGGTACTTTGAAAGAACTTGAGTTGATTTTGTACTGTTTGCTTTATTTCTTGAATTTTACTTAGTAGCATTATATATTTCCAGGTTTGGTGGATATTGTTAAAGCAAATAATTGTTTTCTGCAATCAGACTGTTTGGAAAACATGAGTAAACAAGATGATTAATAACATTGCTGCATTTTGAAGTGACAGCTGCCATGATATTGCTGGAATATTGCTGAAAGCTGCGTAAAACTAAACTCACTTCAAAGTAATTGCATATTTATCTTTGCACTCCATTTATAATTGTCTTACTACAAATACCTATATCCATGATAGCTTTGGTAACCGTGGTTACAGTGTAAACAGGGGTGGAAATAACTTTAAAATTGATAGTGTACTCGGGTACAGTGGCACATGTAATGTCACTTGCCCTGATAATTTTTCCACTATACCGACCTTTTTCCTGCTGATTTTTTAAATAAACAACATAATTAACATTGGAAAGTCAACTGGACACTGGTACAGTGTGATATACAAATTTGCTTGCCCGACAGAAAAAAACACTGGACTCTGACGTCGGGCAATGGGTTATTTCCACCCCTGGTAAACCATGGTACAAGTATTGTAGCAAATATGAAAGTCTAAAAGTATGGAGCAGGTTACTCATCTTACAAAAGTTGATTTGTATCTGAATGTCCATTTTCATAGTACCAAACTTTGCAAGACTTCTGCAGTGCAAGGTACACAAACAAAATTCATTCGAACTGAGGTTTGTTAAGTTCACTGCATTATTGCCTGAATCAGAGATCTTGTTATTATGTTATTGACATAGTATTTTATGGTGTGGATTCAGTCCTCTTTCATAACCGGGGCAGTGCGGCAGCCTTGTGGTTAAAGCGTTCGCTCGTCATGACGAAGACCGGGGTTCGATTCCCCACATGGGTACAATGTGTGAAGCCCTTTTCTTGTGTCCCCCGCCATGATATTGCTGGAATATTGCAAAAGGCATGATATTACTGTTGGCATCGTGAATAAAATAACTACAATTCCTAAACACTGGCCACCTGTTAAGTACAAAGATTGGTTTGAGTGTGAGAGAGTGAAAGATGTTATTTTCTGTTGAATTTGTCATGAAATCGGAAGGCAAGTTGGCAAGGATGGAAAAGTTAATCAGTTTGTCGTAGGTTCAAAAGGTTTCAGAACGCTTAAACTTGAAGTACACGGACTGAAACATTTAGATTGTATTTGGATTAGTTTGCTATAAATATCCCTGGAAAATCGGTATTGGAGAAAGGAATAATTTGAGGTCAGTAAATAAACAAAAATACTTACCTAGCATTGTTTTTATTACTAATATTTGTGAAAGTTACAATACAACTACAACTTTGACATTCACTTCAAATACTGCCCTTCAAGTCTTGTAATGTTTCGAAGTTCAGTTTAATAGACCATGAATTTATGAAATTACAATGGCACACTTGAATTATCATGACAGTGCCCAAGAGGCACACTTGAAAAAAACTTAGTTTCGATCCCTGCTGTAAGTAATTTGTATTCATTATAATGCTATCTAGAAAGTGATCAAACGTAACATGATATATTTGCGATGAACACTCTCTCAGTAAACTACAGATTCAGTTGTAAACAGGATTCAAACCCACACTCTCCGAGTCAGGCACCCATTTGCAAGCACACAATTAGGCGCCTGACTTGGAGAGTGTGGTTTTGAATCCTGGATGGGACTCAACCCCTCGAAGTACTAGAATCTGCACATTCAGGGGCGTAGGGGGCCCAGGGGGGGCAGCTGCCCCCCTAGAATATTTTATGCCCCCGCCATATATGGCTGGGGGCATATAGGGTTACCCTCCGTGTCCATCCGTACGAAACAGGGAATGTACTCTATCCACTTCTCCACAAAAAACGCTCTGTGGAATTCAATGAACTTATACATGGGCTTTCTTGGGACTCTAATGGTGTGCATCTCATATTTTTGTATTTTATTGTTTTTTTGTAAGTTTAGAGACATTTGAACTTAGGTACATTTTGCTGAATTTCTCTATGATGATAGTCAACAGAATTGAATGAACTTCTACATGTCTTTCGTAGGGACTCTAAAGGTGTGCATTTCATAATTTTGTATGCAATTTCTTAATTTTGTCACTTTTACAGATGTTTGAACTTAGTTGAATTTTGTTCTATTCAGCCTGTTCGTTCCATCCAATAAGGGGGTGTACGTTATCCACTTCTCCTCAAAAACTACTTTATGGAATTCATTTAGATGACGCATGTGCTTTATAGGGACTCTAAAGGCGTGCATCTCATATTTTGATTTTGTATTTTATGTATTTTTCCAATTTTAATGCTGTTTGAACTTACACAAATTTTGTTGAATTTCTCTCTGAATATAGTGTTATAGGGGATGAAGTCTATCCACTTCTCCACAAAAGCTGCTCAACAGAATTGATTGAGCTTCTACGTGTGTTTCATTGGGACTCTAAAGGTGTGCATCTCATACCTTGTCCATACAATTTCTTAATTTTGTCACTTCTACAGATGATTGAACTGAGTTGAATTTGGTTCTATTCATCCTGTTCGTCCCATACAACAGGGGGTGTACTTTATCCACTTCTCCTCAAAAACCACTGCACAAAACTCATTTAGCTTACATATGTCTATAGAGACTCTAGAGTGTGCATCTCATATTTTGTTTTTGTATTTTATAGTGTTTTGTATGTTTAGAGACATTTGAACTTAGACAAATTTTGTTGAATTTCTCTCTGATGATAGTGAAATAGGGGATTAAGTCTATCCACTTCTCCACAAAAGCTGCTCAACAGAATTGATTAAGCTTATACATGTGTTTCATTGGGACTCGAAAGGTGTGCATCTCATAGTTGCATAGATGTTTATTGAACTTGGTCGTGAATTTAAATTAATCACCAGAGCACACTCAGTGTAGGGAACTCTTCCTACAGCAGCGGGGGCATCCGTGTCCCTGGACACAATTTTTCTTGTTACAGATTATTTTTTGTACATCAATGTATTGATGTAACACTCCTTTGAGTGTCATATACCCTCTCTGCAGCCCTGAAGTCCACACCTCAATTAATGACGCAAAGATTCAGGCAACCCATCTTGTCTGACAGATGATCGGTACCAGAATGATGCACCTAATTACATATGATTACAACAACTATTAATAAACAAAATATGGAATTCAGGGCTATGACATAGACAACCCGGAACCCTATGAACTGATGTCAACATATATTTAAAATTTAGTTCAGAACATTATGTACAGATGCTACAATTTTGAACAAAGAAACTTTTTTAAAAAACATGGAAAAATTTGGTCAAACATAGCAGGAAAAATAATATTGTATACCAAAATGGAGTCATTTCAACTTCAGAAAGCAGGAAATTCCATCTTCTGAGAGCATCTAATTTTTAAAGATTCACAGCATCGAATGTGACATAAATGAAGCAACTGATTGGTATCTGAGTAATTCTGACTGGCGTAGCAGCAAGATTTTAATTTCTCCATGATGTTGGTGCCAATTAGTATTTTAAGGATTTGTGATTTTAGGTTTACTTCTTTCATTTTCCATGGGGTTGTCTCCCTTGAAATATTGCTATATTTAGAATTCCTTTGTTTGACTCGTCAACAAACCAAGATAGAATATGAGTGTTTGATCTCAAATTATTTTCTATATTTAATTTCATACAGATATACATATCTACAGTCAACATAACAATACATTGCCTTCACAAATATAATGTCAGAAGTTATTTTAAGTTTAGCTAAAACACATATAATTTGAAGAAAATGTATTTAGTCAAACTCTATCACACACTTGCATTTAAATTTCAGTTTGTTATTTATTATAAATTACACAAAATATATTCTCAATTTTGTTCTGGTTCAGTTGGTATGAAAAGAGAGGTATTATTTTTCCAGCGTGGTTGATGTTAAAGTAGGTCATGAGCTATTTATAACACAATGGCTGCCTACGCTGTATGCTGTACGTCCAAACAAGTTGGCCACAGTCAAGCAAAGATTCATATATTTCATTAATTTTTGCCTTCTGTGTGAAATCCAAACATTTTCAAATTTGATCATAATTTAAATATAATTTCTGACAATTTAGGGTATATATATTGACCAGTTTATCATCCTTTGCCTAATTTTAAATTTGAAGAAGAAAACAGGAATGTACCCACGTTCAGAAACATTGGCAGGCAGTACAACTGTCAATTTCGCCATATCTCGGTATCGCTTCTCGGCCTTTTGGCTAAGATCAAAGTGTAGTATCTGTTCTTATCAGCTTAATATCTGATACGTCCCCCATTGGGGGACATCGATATTAAACTGATTTTTGGTACTCGGCGAAGAGTCAGGGGCTTGCTCCGCCTTTGCCACGGGTTGACCTGGTATTGCAGTACCTCCAGGACCGGCCCACTCCCCCTGGGGAGAAATAAATAAATAAAGAATAGAATATCCCCCTCCCTAAGGATATTCATTCCCCTGTAAAATGGTTAAGTTGTCTCACAGAGAAATCTAAGTCTGATAAAGACTTTTCAGGAGAGGCACTTGGTTCAGAAAAACTGTTACTGTGGCATGAAGTAATATATTCTGTTCAGAGACAATTTCCAATATTTCTGTTCCTATGTTTATTGCGTTATTGTAAGACTGTCTCAATGTAAGTCATAATCTAAGTAAAATGTATTGAATACCTGAAAAAAAATCCCAACCCTATCAATACCCAAAGTAAATGATCACGTATTGGTAACTACTCAATGGTTAAAAAATATGATATGGAGGCCTACTGTACTTATGAATACTTGAAACCAAATATTCTGCGGAAACAGTTTTATGAGAACCATGTTACAAGTGGAAAGAAAATTAGAAGGTAGTGATTAAATGGATTTGTAAATTTTGAAATATTTGTCATACCATAGCAGGAATTCATCAGGCCATTTGTAAAATGTCAAATTGCATTATAATGCTAAACCTATTTCAGAGCTGCCTTCATGTTTGACATAAAAGATGGCATTTGCTAGATGTTTGTGTTTTTAAATTGATGGATAATTTACTTCCACGTTTCATTCAGAGGTAGACCCATTTGGCAGACGACTTACAACATGGTATACAGGACATTGATTGTATTAAATAACACCCTAGATTCGATGGGGATGATGCGAGTGATGTCATACTGTTTGTTTGTTTGTTTGTTTATTGTTTAACAACACACTCGTCAATATTCCAGCTATATGACAGTGTCATACTGACAGTTCTGTACCATATATACAGTAATGTTGGTTGTATTAAACACAGCCCCAGCTATATGACAGTGTCATACTGACAGTTCTGTACCATATATACAGTAATGTTGGTTGTATTAAACACAGCTCCAGCTATTTGATAAGAATCACTGTCCCACCTCAGTTATTCTCTGTAGTCTATTTATAGACATTGTTGTTGACGTTCTCACTACGTAATCAGCATGGCTTGTGGGTACAGATTAACTTAAACGTAGGGTGAACGTTTCACAGATTTAAAAGCTGATCTCAATGACAATATCTTACTGTTGTTTTGGTTAAAGGTCACATAAACCCTAGGGGGTACAAATACATAAATCACTGACTGGCATCGTTATAAATGAAACCCCGTCATTAAAACTACTCATTTCGACCTTTAATTGGCTTAAATCGACCTTTTTGACAACAGTGCACAATTCTAACCCGCGAACGAAATTTCAACCAATCAGAGCGGCGCGCCTCTGTGACGTCATATGAGGAATAGCTTTGAGGGCCGATGCAGAATTCATCTACATTTTAGGGGTTAAATTATCTTGTTTACAGGCTTGTATAAACCTGAAATCGTGACAATTGTTGTGGAAAATTAAAGCTGTATGTTCTCACAATCTACTGTCATTTAATTTTGTCTCCTGCTTTGCCTAGTTTCCAAGTTACAACTTGTTTTCATAGACGATTCTGTCAAAATCGATTGGTGTCGTTAGGCCCTATTTGTATAATGACTGATCCAAATTGATCCCATTTCTGTGTTTTTTTACCTCGATAATTAATCATGTCATGTAAAAATCTGTTTGTATTCTCAAAACAGTGTCGGCCCATAAGTTTTCACATGCAATACAGCAATCAATACTCCCTTGTTGTAACCCGTGTTAGGTGGTATAAACCTACACATGTTATTTGTCATCATTCATTTGATGGTCAGTTAATGAATTTATAACAGGTATAATTAGTGGTAACACACTTAGATTACCCGACAAAGGTTCCCATTTGGCATTTCTTGTGTCTGGAGTAAATATTCAACATTATAAACATCGATCAAAGGATTAACCGATAACACCCGATTGATTAATTACTTTTATCTTACACAGCGGAATTGTCAAAAGGTAGTGTTTATGTATGTAGATTTACTAATCTATACTGAATACACTCTGTCGTGTCTGTGTCTAGCGTAAAAACAACGTCCTTCTTTCAAAGGATTAACCGGCAATACATTGATTGATTGCCCATTATTGGCTAACTAAATTACTGTTTTTAAGAAGGCGGACATTATGCAATTAGTTGCCAGGTGTGCTATCTTGGGTGACCAATGAGACTATACACCAATACCTGAAAAGATTGATCACTTTTTGTATATTAAACTGTTAAAAGACACATCATTTGGAACAGTTTTGTGGATATTGATGGATACATTCCTCGAACAAGGTAATGGCCTGATATTGTTCCTATAACTTTAATCTGTTTTAATTTTAATATTTGCATTTTGTTTTATTCATTTGTCGTAGCATTCAACAGAATCATTGTTTTCGCCGTGAAGTGTAATGAGACAGACAACATGCACTAGGGTGTGTGTGCGAATTATGATTCACATTGGCAAACTATAAAATGTCTAGATATTACAGTTCTGTTATAAATTCACTATAAGTATCAGCAGATCGTCTGCTTTTATTTAGTTTCAAAATGCATACAAGTATGATAATAAACTAATTAGGATTATAAGACCAAATATACAGACGCACATTGACTATTGACTAGGTATGGACATTAACCATGGGAATGTAGAAGGAATTTGTCTACATACCTGGTGATGGACAAAATCCGTTAACCATACATATTTAACTACTTGTGGAATGTATTTTCTATCTTGATGAAGGAATTTGTCGCCCTGTCGGGAACATCCGCCAGTCTGAGGATATTATTTAGGTGACTTACAAAATCAAAACTACTTTCCTGGTAGTAAAATATGTATTTTATTGATGGCCAATAGGATTTTGCAGTGTGAAGAAATCGTTATCGTTATAAGTTGTGTCATGCAAAATCCGTTTGGTTATGATTCCAATACATATTTAACTCATGAGTAGAAAGTAGTCTTGATTTTCTAACTTGATGAAAACAAACTACAATCTCATTAATTCTAACAGATTTTTTATTTTTAAAATGGCGGTACTTCTGTCGGGAACATCCATCCAGTCTGAGGACTAATGGTATTTAGGTTTGTTTTCACCGAGGTACAAAATCAAAACTACTTTCTACTGGTAGTAAAATATGTATTTTATTGATGGCCAATAGGATTTTGCATGACATAGCGTATAACATAACAATTTCTCGTGGCAGCCAGGTGGGTGTGAATATAATACTACTTACAATATTATTGTTACTTCGACCACAAACTCACTTCGAGGAAGAAATCGTTATGTTACAAGTTGTGTCATAGAAAATTTTTATGGTCATCAATCATATGCATATTTTACTAGAATTAGTAAGTAGTTTTGATTCTTTAACTTCCGTGAAGCGATCTGAACACAAGTAAGATGTCGCTTCAGGCTTCCACAACGCCGCTTAGCACTCACAAACATAACCCATTTAGCACGAACTGCGGGGTCCTGTGGAAATCTGTGCATGGGGACACCATCGCCCGACCCTAGGAGCAATTGACGACAAAGCAACGATTCGGCATGTTGTCGTTGATGTCGAGAAATCATCAAGATGATGAGCGTGCTACACATTTTCTGTACAACTAACTGAAAATCGTTCCTCATATGACGTCACTGCAGTGCTCTGGCGACAGAGTTACGTAACCTGTCTGTGGTTTCGTTGGCGGGCGAGAGGGAGGCAGGCGACTTTTTGGCCACTTTTAATCGCTCGGTATTAATTAACCACAAGTTTTTAAAGAATAAATTTGGTGTTCCGCATAAGACTAACCACAAATCTTTCATATGTAATGGTTAAAAGAGTAACAAAAAACAAAGTTTAGTGGTTCTTTAAACTTTGTTGAGTTTGACCAAATTCTTCCAATCTGATGAGATCACATTTATTTCTGACCAGTTGTCAAGGTGATTTGACAGGTTAATGTCATGTATCACTGAATAGACATTTATAAACTTCATTCTGATACTACGAATACACTGCAAGTGAGGTTGCCTGCCATTGACAATATAGATGTCCATTATTTTTGATTGGGTTTCGCTTCTCGGCCTTTTGGCTAAGATCAAAGTGTAGTATCTGTTCTTATCAGCTTAATATCTGATAGGTCCCCCATTTGGGGACATCGATATTAAACTGATTTTTGGTACTCGGCGAAGAGTCAGGGGCTTGCTCCGCCTTTGCCACGGGTTGACCTGGTATTGCAGTACCTCCAGGACCGGCCCACTCCTCCTGGGGAGAAATAAATAAATAAAAATCAGAATATCCCCGTCCCTAAATGTATCACAGAGTAATTGCCATATTTGCATTATATTTTTCTTTAAGTATATTTTCATGAGTTTATAGCTTTTGTATATGGCTAAAAGTAAAATACTGCCAGGACCTTAAATTTGAACTCAGTCACCCACTTGAAGGAAATTGATTTGTGCCATGGACTATAGATATATATGTGCATTACCAATTGATTGCTCTTAAAATGTGGGGTTTTAGGCTCATGTTCTGGAACACAATGGAAAACAAACACAGTATGTTTATCTAATAAACACACTAAGGCCAGACCAATTTAATTTCTTGTTTTACGGATTCGCCGGTCATATTTTTCAAGAATACCCGCTGAAACAATAAAATCTTCATGTTTTTATTGGCCAAAAATGTAAACTTACAAAAAAAAATTGATTGTTTTTTTGTTCCATATACACTTCATAAAGTGCCCAAAATAAAATACTTTTAGTATTTAAAAGGAATATTACTTTGACTGGTGATTTTTATTTTTTTCCCTCCTCCCTTTAGGTTTTCTGAGGACAAAAATCCATAAAACAAGAAATGAAATTGGTCTGGCCTAAACATAAGTCATTTGATCTGAAGATTGCAAGACTTATGAACATATTTTTTGTTTAATTTTCCCAGACTACAGGAGCGTTTCATCAAACCCTTCAGTCTGGGTGGCCCATGTCCAACACCAAGTTTTACAGGGTACCAGGAGTTTTTCCGGGATTTCATCACGGCTGCTGGCAATGCTGTCTTCAACCAGCATCTCACTAACACCCTTGTTGCCAAGGTTACTGAGGTATGATCTTCTAATACAGAATTTCCTTACCATAAGAACATCTAAAATGTTTCTTCTACTGCTTAAGCTGAATTTTGTGCATATTCTGAACAAAGACCCTGTTTGACTTGTGTACTCTGCTTCAGTAATTCTTGTTTTAATATAGAATAACAATGCTCACATCACATCTCTCAATGGAACAAAACCCAGAATGGGATCCCATACCACTATCTGTGTCCATAGAGGGCATGGCAGCCTGGAAGAGACCTGGATGCCGTTGTACAAAGCGATCTTAACGCTAAGGTGACCGTAACTCCCATTCATTAGCATAGACTTAAGGTAGCCTTAGTGCTAAGGTCGTTTTGTACAACGGCACCCTGGTATTTTAGCATGATCTTTCCAGTCCTAGAATACCTTTGGACAACAAAAAAAATCAAGGAAAACTAGTGTTTGAATACCTTTAATATCTATATAGTGATATATCAGCAAAAAATATCCTATTCATGTAAATCTGTTAGAGTTTGTTATTATGTTGTGGCTTTGCTGATGAAATATCATGGAAACTGTCATAATACCCAGGAAAAGTAATGAAAATTCATCACCCATGAAGATCTGGGTTAGAATTGGTCTTGAGTAACCAAAGCTTGTCATAAGAGCGACTAACGGGATCAGGTGGTCAGGCTCGCTGACTTGGCTGACACATGTCAATATATCCAAATTGCGTAGATTGATGCTCATGCTGTTGATCACTGGATTGTCTGGTAGAGACTGGATTATTTACAGACTGCCACCAAATAGCTTGAATATTGCTGAGTGAGCTGCTAAATAACAATCAAACAAACAAATGAGTGTTTTGTAAGATCTGACTTGGATGGTGACAAAATGTAGGCATTGAGGGACTAACTGTATCATCATCATGCTATGATACTTTGCTGGGCCCAGACTTTGATATCCACAAGCTTCAATGATATTGCTGATCTCTCACTGTATTGTGTACAGCTGAACAGTACTGAGTTTGGAACTCCTGGCAGTGTTCGCGCCAAGTCGACCAGCTCCGAGACTGAGGAAGAGGAGGTAAGGAAGTAGACATGAATTTCTCGGGATTTGTTTTGAGAGTGGGGAGTGGGGGATGTATGTATCTAATACTCATGATATGTTTGGGGCGGTGGGGTAGCCTAATGGATAAAGCGTTGGCTCGTCACGCCGAAGACCAAGGTTCGAAATCCCCACATGGGTACAATGTGTGAAGCCCATTTCTGGTGTCCCCCGCCGTGATGTTGCGGGAATATTGCTAAAAGTGGTGCTAAACCAAACTCAGTCAGTCAGTCAGTCAGTCAGTCATAATATGTTTAGTAACATCCAATTCTTATTTTTATATATCAATATTTTTAATGTCATAGCATTATTACAAAACAGTTGGGCAAGTGTCAATAAATAACTTGAAGTTTTCATGTCTCACTACATTACTTCAAGTTTTCATGTCTCACTACATTACTTCAAGTTTCCATGGTAAACTGTGTCATTATCACTTCCAAGTTTTCAACGTAAGGTCTTTATATACTGCTTCTGACCCGTGAAGATCTTAGTTAGAATTGGTCTTCAGCAACCCAAGCTTGTTGTAAGTGGCTACTAATGGGATATGGTGGTCAGGCTCGCTGACTTGGTTGACACTTGTCATCGTATCCCAATTGCGCTGATCGATGCTCATGCTGTTGATCACTGGATTGTCTGGTCCAGACTCGATTTTTTACAGACCACCGCCATATAGCTGGAATATTGCTGAGTGCGGCGTAAAACTTAACTCACTCACTCGGAGTGCCTCCGTGGTGTGGTGGTTAGAGCCTCCGCCCAGAGAGTGGAAGGTCGCGGGTTCGATCCCCGACCGCGTCATACCAAAAGACGTTAAAATATGGTACTTGTTGGTCCCTGTCTGGCGTTCGGCATTTATGGGTACGACAAGGACTGGTCGGCTTGGAGTCAGTATAATGTGTCTGAGTGGGTATTCATGCTTCACTGCGGCATGGTATCTCAGTGGGCTAGCACTATAAAAGCAGCTTAAGTCTGGGCTAGTACAAGCAGCCGCACATACACATACACACGCATGCACGTTGTCATATGAGCGAAATATTCTCCAGCACGACGTTAAACCCAATTTCACCTCACCTCACCATTGCGTAGATCGATGCTCATGCTGTTGATCACTGGATTGTCTGGTCCAGACTGGATTATTTATAGACCGCCGTCATATAGCTGGAATGTTGCTGAGTTCGTTGCTAAACAACAACCAAACCAAACTATACTGCCTCAGCCATACTAATGAAAAGAATTTGATTTGTGATTTAGGATCAACATGAGTTGTTTGCTTCCTGTTTGATGACACTGCGGCTTCTGGGGAAATTCCTGGGATTTCTAACATTCCTGCCATACCAGACCACGGAACCACTGCCAGACTCCATGAGGGTCAGCTATGCTGCTCACAGGAACACAGTATGTTGAGAGCTACTAGTTTTTGATGGTATAAATTACTTAGGCCTGTAATGCCTATGTTTACTGACGTTATCATTAACATGTTATTGTACATGTAGTAAACTTGGACAAAGTACTGTGACTATTTGTCCCAGTCCACCCAGCTGTGAATGGGTACCTCGTAAGGATGAGAAAGCTGCAATAACTTGGTGCGCCTAGTGGCTGCAAGAGTTGTATACTCCCCAGGGAGTTGAGATTGATAATAAGATGTGCCTTTGAGATTGACATCCAGTGATCGAGGGAAACAATACCAGTGCCTTGAGCATGTACTAGTTGCATGGATATGCGCGATATATAAATATCCTATAATAATGATAATAATAGTAACATGATAAATATGCGGACCTCGCCTTTGAAATGTCTCGCTTGCATCCCAAGTACACTGTCGTCAGGCTCCCCATTGTTCTCGGTGCCCTTGGTTTGGTACCTCCTGATCTCTTGGCGCAGATCAGGAGAGTGCCCAGGTTCTCCACCAGGAGCACAGCCCTTCTGACACTCTGGGTAATGCAGAAGGCTGCAGTGTTGGAGAGCCTTCATATTCTCCGGAAAGTTCTTGGTGGGTTCGACTAGGCAGTATTTTCTGGGAGAAGTCCCATTCGCTGTCTGGGCTGCGTGTAGAGGGGGTGAGGGCCCTGAGCTGATGATGAGCCTTACCAGCCTGACTGTGCCAGGATCACCCAAACCCTCTCTGCTGCATTTTCATCTTTAATCTGTTAAAAATAATAATAAATAATACTAATAATACTTATGCTATGGACATGTTACTGGATTTAAACCATGGACATGTTATTATGACAGAGGGTGACGTCATAACTGTAAACCATTATGGCATCATACGTCTAGCGGTGTTACACTAGTGTAATATTGCCGTAAAAATATTACACTGCAGTATCTTCCACGGGTGAGTAATAAATTCTTGTACTTAAACCATGAAGTTGTTGAGTTTGGGCAAAATATTTTTCTTTTCGTTTATTTTATGCAGCTTATCTGGAGCTGTAATTGCCAAGATTGGTGAAGGTGTTCAAGAGAATGTGCGATGTCTCTCATCCAGGTAGAGAGTATTCAGATCACAGAAATCTGTTTTATGTTGTGGACGTTTTTGCTGATGACCACAACTTAAGTCAACAAATTGTTTTCCCAGATTCCATCTCCTCTGGACTTTGTTGCCACAGTACATTGTGCCGTCACCTGCCGGAGACTTGTCTTCACCATTCCATGGCTGGTGGAGTTTGCCTCCCAGATGGACCCTCTAGCCCCCACAGTGCCAGTGTACCAGGGCTTCCTCTCCTGTCTTAGACATGTTCTCAGGTAGGGGAGACAACTCACAAAATTACAGCCAACACTACCATTTTGTTTTGCTTTGGTTATTCAGAAAAATCAGATTGGTATTTTGTTTGGTAAGACCATGTTTTAAAATGAACCCAACAAACAAAACTGGTAGAAACCATATGCCTTTTCTAGTCAATTATTTCAACCATATTTGTTGATACATTCAGCAAACTTTTGCAATTTCTACTATAGTGACTTGTATGGCTGTGAATTGGCAAATATTTTTATTGTAATATATTGTGGTACAGCTGTTTGTGTTGCGATATATTGGGAGCTAAAGTGTATGACAGTGTGTGACGCTGATTGTACACACAGATCCTATTTTCTACATACTGAGGCCGTAATTATCAGTTACATGGTTCTGAAAACTGGGATCTGAAACTTAGATTGGATAGTTAGGGAGTTTTTCTTTCCTTTTTATACAACTTACACTGCATAAAGTATGCCGTTTTGTCAATTGATTACGGAGCGAAACATCAGTGTAGGTCTTAACTTAAACCATAGAGATTATCTGCTATATCAGAGATAAACTTGCCACATTTGTTAACCAATATACCAGTTCATTTGAAAGTCGCATTACGGCATTACTGATAGACCGGTAGACTGGTAATACTGTGCCGTCCTTGAAGCATTAAGGGCGGTAGGGTAGCCTAATGATTAAAGTGTCAGCTCGTCACGTCAAATTCCCGGTTTCGAATCCCCATATGGGTACAATGTGTGTAGCCCATTTCTGGTGTCCCTTGACCCATGAAGATCAGCAACCCCTTCTTGTCATGTCACTGAAGGCTACTATGCTTGTCGTAAAAGGTGACTAACGGGATCGGGTGCTCAGGCTCGCTGACTTGGTTGACACATGTCATCAGTTCCCAATTGCGCAGATCGATGCTCATGCTGTTGATCACTGGATTGTCTGTGCCAGACTCGATTATTTACAGACCGCCGCCATATAGCTGGAATTTTGCTGAGTGTGGCGTAAAACTAAACTCAATCACTTACTCTGGTGTCCCTTGCTGTGATATTGCTAGAATATTGCTGAAAGCGGCATAAAACCATACTCTCACTCACTCACACACTTGAAGCATTGACTTGGGCATTAAACAATATTCACTTAGCCTTTCAGAACATCTGATGGTATTTATAGGGTGATATGTATGAGGATTAATTTGCATGAAAGCAGTTTGTACTTCATCTACCTATGGACAAACTGATCATTGTATTGCAGCATAGCCTGGGAGAGAGCATCCACAAACAAGTGTTTCTATGGAAATCTGATGGTGGTCGTGTTGATAAGCTGGCTGTTTGATGTAAGTTGACCTGTAATGGTGATGTTCTTGTGGTTCTGTGGTCATATTGCTGTATGTAGTCTAAAGCCTTACCTCACTCACATATTTATATGAGATTTAGATGAGTAGTTATGTACCACACACACACACACACGCACACACACACACTCTATCATAAGAAGCCACTTATTGAGTTGGGAGGTCAACCTCGTTGATTTAGTTAACTGCATGTTAATGTATCCATATGGAGCAATGTTCATGATGTCAGTCAAAGGATGGTGTGCTTCAGACAGGATAGTTGGGTAGCCCAGTGGTTGAAGCGCTGTAGGGCTGGGTTCGATTCCCTACATGGATACAATGTGTGCAATCAATTTCCAGATTCCCCAGCCATGATAGTGCTGGAATAGTGATACAGGTGCTTAAAGCTCATCTCTCCTTGTCTGTCTGTCTTAATATAACTTGAATGTTGCGGAGGTTGGCAGGAAACAACAAACTCACTCACTCACTCACTGACACTTTCAGACTCCAATGATGCCTGATGGACTGTTCTTCAAGGAAGTAAGTGAAGAGGAACATGGGACCGACAGGGGAGACACCATACAACTCCTACCTCTGGTGAGTAGCAACACACCTTGTACAGGGATACAGTCTATATTGGGTACAGTAAACGTGAATGTCAGGTTGCATCACCACAGAATGTAACAAAAATAGTATAAAACAATGCATTGTACGAATTGGATAGGTTATGAAAACACTTTTATGTTTTTTCTGTCAATAAATGCAAAGGACTCTTGAATTCTGTACAAATGTAAAACCTGCAGTGATGGGTATTGTTTTAGACAATTAAAGGAACCAAGGGTGTTTTGTATCATTTTACAGCCGTGATTGTTGTGATGTGTTGATCTTTTGTTTTCAGGATGACCTTGACCTTGTGTCTCAGGATCTGCTGTACACATGTTGCCCTTATGTTGGTGAGTAATGGCAATGCAGTTATCTGAAAGAGTTGGTTGTATTTTGTTCAGTTTTATTCTCACTATGTTCTGAAAGTTTTAAATGAAACAACTGGAACTGTTTTCAATGATAAACACACTGTCATCCATTAGTATGCCTGGCCAAACGTCACTTATTTAATGGCTGCAATGTTGGAATATTTCAATCCAAATCATTTATTCATCCAGACCTGGTTAGAGACCAAAATTTGGCCAAATAAGTTTGAAGCAAATATCAGGAAAAAATAAATCTGAAGTTGACTGGTCAACTTGTTCAACAACTTATTGTTTGCATTTGACAGAAAATAGAACCGATAAAACAGAAGTGACTTGAATTTTTAGATTTAAATGCTTGCTTTCTGTGATAATCCTTGGTCCCTGTTCCACAAAGGCATCTTAACGCTACCACTGTCATACGTCTATGTTAAAGTTTGGGCGTTATGATGACCTTAGAGCTCTGGTAACTTCATGGAATAGGTCCTTGAGTAGTCACTTCCTAGTGGACTGGCCTGTGAATGGTGGAGTAAGAGTGTGAAGGTTTCTCAGAAGTGTCATGGTCTGTTATTGAGTAGTCACTTCCTAGTGGACTGGCCTGTGAATGGTGGAGTAACAGTGTGAAGGTTTCTCAGAAGTGTCATGGTCTGTTATTGAGTAGTCACTTCCTAGTGGACTGGCCTGTGAATGGTTGAGTAGTTTCACATGGTCTGTTATTGAGTAGTCACTTCCCTAGTGGACTGGCCTGTGAATGGTGGTGTAACAGTGTGAAGGTTTCTCAGAAGTGTCATGGTCTGTTATTGAGTAGTCACTTCCTAGTGGACTGGCCTGTGAATGGTGGAGTAACAGTGTGAAGGTTTCTCAGAAGTGTCATGGTCTGTTATTGAGTAGTCACTTCCTAGTGGACTGGCCTGTGAATGGTGGAGTAACAGTGTGAAGGTTTCTCAGAAGTGTCATGGTCTGTTATTGAGTGGTCACTTCCTAGTGGACTGGCCTGTGAATGGTGGAGTAACAGTGTGAAGGTTTCTCAGAAGTGTCATGGTCTGTTATTGAGTTGTCACTTCCTAGTGGACTGGCCTGTGAATGGTGGAGTAACAGTGTGAAGGTTTCTCAGAAGTGTCATGGTCTGTTCCAGCTGAGATGCGCAACTTGATGATGGAGTTTGCTGTGGGGACCAACACTCGAGGTACCATCAGGAAGATCACCCCTACGGCTGCCAACACGGGGCAGACGGCAACATTCACACAGAAACAGCTGCAGGTGAGAACTATAACTGAAGGATGTACACACAGGACAGTTCATGCAGATGAATTAGAATCCCAGACTACCCTTGTGATGTTTGAAGCCTTTCCTTCAACATTAAGCTGACATTGTGAGAATGCCCTTCAAGTAAGAGCTGAACTCAAACCACTCATTCATGTTGATTAATGTAACAGTGAGTCAGTGAGAGATGATAAGCCTTAGCATTAGTGGTGATCCGATTAATTGAAATAATCGAAGATTGGTCGCAGTCACTAAAGGACCAAGCAGTCGATCATGTTTTCTCATAATCGAACACAAACAATTCTGGAACACTTGTTTGCATTAACAATATTTTTCACAAGGTTGGTTTTGTCTGTTACATTTCATGACCACTACAAGCTCGTTCCAAGTCATGATTGAATTTATCTTCAAGATTCCAAGAAATTAATGTTCCTAACCTACTACTCATCCTTTAAAGATGTGAAATTTGCAAATGCATTTTGTGCAATTTGCAAAAAAAACACGAAAGAATTACATGTTTTTTTCTGCATTTTTTTGTACATTAACAAAAATAATCAGGAAAATTTCATAAATGACGCTTACCAATTATTTTCGGTGATTGATCGGTTGTAATGAACCAATCATCAATTATGAGATTTTTACCAATTCCCAGCACTACTTAGCATATTTGTCAGTTTTGTATGCACTAAACACACTTAAACTTGTTCTTCCCACCATTTGTAATATCGACATTGATACCAGCCGCCAAGATTCCATACCAGTGATCTGTTAATTAGAAACTATGTTGGAGCAAGAGGACTCCACTGTACCTAGGTCATGATCAGTTGATATTCGTAATTTGTTTATCTGTGCAGGTTGTTTCCTTACAATATACTTTTACTCTTCAGAGTTGCGTCTCTTATATGCACCAGCATGTGCTGGTTTTGTTACAAATATGATCCTGGTTCTGTCAGCTCCATATCCATGGATGGGTTTATCAGAAATTGTAAATATTTTTGCATCACTTTTCAAGGGGAATACAAGTGTTCTCTTATAACCTCCTGAGACCGCCTCCGTGGTGTAGTGGTTAGAGCGTCCGCCCGGAGAGTGGAAGGTCGTGGGTTCGATCCCCGACCGCGTCATACCAAAAGACGTTAAAATATGGTACTTGTTGGTCCCTGCCTGGCTCTCGGCATTAATGGGTACAACAAGGACTGGTCGGCTTGGAGTCAGTATAATGTGTCTGAGTGGGGTATTCATGCTTCACTGTGGCGTGGTATCTCAGTGGGCTAGCACTATAAAAGCAGCTTAAGTCTGGGCTAGTACAAGCAGCCGCACATACACATACACACGCATGCACGCCGTCATATGAGCGAAATATTCTCAAGCACGATGTTAAACCCAATTTCACCTCACCTCACCTATAACCTCCTGACAATCGATACTTAATTACAGACTCAGCTAGAAGAGAATTTCTTCCACAACCACCCGTCCTCTCTCAAACGTACTGTGGAGTTTGTAGGGGAGAGAACTGCATCCAACTTCATCAAACTGTTCCGAAGCTCCATCCTCCCGAAGCAGCTGATGGCAGCTAAAATGAAGGTCAAGGACCTGAAGGAAAGACTAAAACTCCTGGACCAGGACAAGAGAAAAATTGTAATTTGTTCAATGAGTATAATGATATGTGTAATGAGATATAATATATAATTACCAGTGAGGTTATGAATCCTGTTGGCTATGCTGAGTTGCTTCCCTTGAGCGCACAAGAAAGAAATGATTATTGGGTGAAATCTCAGGTTATGTTTCTAGGTTTGTTAGCTCCAAAGCTGTGCTCATGGGTTTTTAATCAAAGTAATCAATGTCGCAGATCTGCATCACTTTCAGCTTTCCTCCCACATTCAGCTGATGTACCTTAAATTTTTACCTTGTCAGACTACCGCCTCCGTGGTGTAGTGGTTAGGCGTCCGCCCGAGGCGGCGAAGGTCGCGAGGTTCGATCCCGACAGCGTCATACCAAAAGACGTTAAAATATGGTACCGGTACTTGTTGGTCCCTGCCTGGCGCTCGGCATTAATGGGTACAACAAGGACTGGTCGGCTCGGAGTCAGTATACTGTGTCTGATTGGGGTATTCATGCTTCACTGCGGCATGGTATCTCAGTGGGCTAGCACTATAAAAGCAGCTTAAGTCTGGGCTAGTACAAGCAGCCGCGCATACACATACACACGCATGCACGTCGTCATATGAGCGAAATATTCTCAAGCACGACGTTAAACCCAATTTCACCTCACCTTGTCAGACTTCTGTTTTTGTGGAAATTTGTGGCTGGGTGGGTTGAATCCCTGACTTTATGTGCTGGCGATTAGGTGCTTTACTCTGAGAGTGTGGGTTTGAATCATGGCTCGCTGACATGGTTGATGCTTGCCATCGTATTCCAATTCTGTAGATCAATACTCATGATGTCAGTCACTGGATTGTCTGGTCCAGACTCGATCATTTACATGTGGCTGTCGTACAGCTGGAATATTGCTGAGTGAGGTGTTGAACATCAACCATACCAACAAACATAGCCTCAACAGGGGTGGATATAACCCATTGCCCGATGTCCGATCCAGTGTTTTTTTTCTGTCGGGCAAGCAAATTTGTATATCACACTGTACGGTGTCAGTTGATATTCCAATGTTAATTATGTTGTTTATTTAAAAAATCAACAAGAAAACGGCCGGTATAGTGGAAAAAATTATCAGGGCAAGTGATTTTACATGTGCCACTGTACTTGTAGCAATTTTAAAGTTATTTCCACCCCTGCTCAATAATTTGGTATTTTCACCCACGCATCACTACTGAACCACATATCATCCACATGTATTTACCAGTAATGAAAGAATGTAGTGTATACAAACCATTGATCATGTTGGCTTGTCGTGATGATGTTGCTGATGATGGCTTGTCGTGATGATGTTGCTGATGTTGGCTTGTCGTGATGATGTTGCTGATGTTGGCTTGTCATGATGATGTTGCTGATGATGGCTTGTCGTGATGATAATGCTGATGTGCCTCTGCCTCTCCAGGGTCTGCAGTCGGAGGAGGTGAACAGACTGGTGCCGCACATCTACACTGATCTCAAGACACTGGTCAATGAGGAACAGAGAGAGTTAGTATTTGGGCAAAATGTCCAGATTTACATGGAGAAATATAAGTGTTATCCTGGTTGTGTGATGGACAACAGGGTTTGATTCACAAATATTGATGCAGTTTTCATCGTTATGTGGCGAATATTAATGTGGCATGGTTAATGTGATGTAAGAAAAGGAAAGCTGCTTGTTTCTTTCCCCAAATAATAATGTTAAATGTTCTTGCTCTTAAATTGATCACACTGAATAATTGACTTATAAATAAGGAATTAACCTATGAACAATAAAGCCAAAATGTTGAATCGTATCGACAGCAAGACACCCACAAATCCATCATTTCAATAAGATGTCAATGTTCATTCACCTATTGACTTGTTAGACGAGGGCAATACAAAGCAATCCTTGAGCTAAAACAATCATCGCTGCCTTTCTTTAACATAGATTTATGGCAATCATACTGCTAAGATTGCTTCGTGGTACAGGCTTAGCAGTTTGTTGCTTTTCATAAGAGGGTAAGATGTGTTAAATAGTATCCCGGTGTCAGGTGTTTTTGACGATGTAAGACAAAACATATTTTTTTTCTTAATATCATTTAAAGTTTATATTTTACTAAACGTGAATGATGAAGGATATATTCATCTATTTCACGCCAAAATATCAAGTATTCCCTACAAAAAATAGAGTCGATAACATTGTATCGCCGAAACTATTGCCGCTCTCCACATCCAGGTATTTTGTAAGGGTTTTCGACGATGAGGCATACTTTTCGCTCCGCACTGGCAGGGAAGTGTTGTGATCACGTGGCTTCCTATTTACTGCCTGTCACAAGCAGACGACTGATCTTACTGAAATTTTGCTTATTATTTCTTTATTATGTAGGCAATTGATTTTGCATCTGAAGTGGTATTGCTGATCTCGGGTAAATAATATTGATGTTTGTGTGCTTTTTATATAACTTAACTTCCGGGATTTCCATTGTCAATAAAACTTCTCACGACAGCAATTAGGCACCTGCCTTACCGATGAAACTGCTTTTGCACTCCGATCACGCACCTACTCCCCCGATATAGCGCAAGCAATGCAATCGTCAAAATCACCAGAACGTCGACAGCTCGCTTTGGGACATGATCTTTACTTCCAGCCCCATGGGTTTTGCTAATACTCAAAGATGTGTTCTTGAAAGAGATAGATTTGAATTAGTTACAATGTTTCCTCAGATTTTGTCAGAAGAAAACACTGGCTGCACTGAAGCTGCTGTTGCCCGAGGAACAGTCAAGTTCAGTGGTTGCCATGGCAGCAGATATCTCAAGTCATCAAGCAGAAAGTCGAATCACACATTGGATCAGCACCAATATCACTCTAGGTGGGTATCTGTGATGGTAGTCAATGAGTTATATCACACATGGGATCAGCAGTAATATGACTCGAGATGGGTATCTGTCAGTACTCAGCTGTATCACATATGGGATCAGCACTTACATCACTCTGGATGGGTATCTGTGATGGTAGTCAATGAGTTGTATCACGCAGGGGATGAGCACTTATATCTAAGTAAATTGGTATCCATGTTGCTACCACACATGGGATCAGCAATTACATTGTGCAAATACTTAGGTACATCTTGTATATTTTGGGGAGCGGTGGGGTAGCCTAATGGTTAAAGCGTTGGCTCGTCACGCCGAAGACCCGGGTTCGAATCCCCACATGGGCACAATGTGTGAAGCCCATTTCTGGTGTCCCCCGCCATGATGTTGCATATTGCTAAAAGCGGCGTAAACCCAAACTCAGTCAGTCAGTCAGTCAGTCAGTCAGTCAGTCAGTTGTATATTTTGTCAATTCCAGGTATGATCCAAACTGAACTTACAGGATCCAGCAGCCGGATCCTCTGTACCCACCTGTTGCTAGGCAACCATAATTCCCAGACTGACCCTGCCACAGAGAAGGCAGACATCAGTCGACACAAGGAGAATGCTCGTGGTCTGTCTGACATCATCTGTGACATCAAGGTATAACTTCCCTACACTGTGAAAAACAGGACGTCATATAGGTGTTTTGTGTAGCAGTACTCACCCTTATACTCCATGTTATGACAACAGCTGGGTTTCTGAGTATTGCATTGCATGTCCAAACATTTGTCACTCCACTGGAGGTCATAGTTCAAATATAGAATATAGATGCTTAATTATGCATTGTACTGTGTTGTGACTGATCAAGTTTCTTTAATTAATACTGCGAAACATTTTAAATGCTTCTATCACAAAAAGAGTGCTTGAAGTACTACTGTAAAATATGTTTTGGTTCAATACATTTATTGTTCCTTATCCTGACTCTTACTTATTGCTTATCTCCCCTTTCTCCCGAAGTACATTGGAAACTTCTGTCCTATGTTCCCAAGAACAGTAAAAATAGCTAACCCCAAATGGGCCTCTCCTTGCGCATGCGCACCAGCAACCCACTTGATCAGCGGTAGCTCATCACTCTATCCATTTTCGCCCTACAGGATGGTCGGGTGGATTACCTCTGTTCACCATCCAAGTTAATCCTGTTCTATTTCGACCCTTCCATAATAAAAAAAATATGCTTGGTTTTTAATCATATATCCTTTTTACATCATAACTATTTTGTTGATATACACTTGATACAGCTTTTCTGGGTTTTTCTATTTTTAAGTTTGAAGTAGCTTTCCTGTTGATTATAGACTGATAAGTGTCATTTAGATGTAAACGCATTGTAAATCTCATGTCTATGAGAAAATATCCTTTGCCTTATCCACCCTAGGTTATCAGGCTGTTGTGAAATAGTGATGATATTATGATATACCCAGTATAGCTCACTATAGCTTACTGCGGTAACATTCACCGACTCATTTACTATAACGTGTTTGAGTGGCATTTACTATAGTCTGTTTGCAGTGAAAACGTACCGATGAATTTCACCTTAAACAAATCGGTAAATCAAATTATATGAAATTAAGATTGCGAATCCTCATAATTTTACCTTGCCAAATGAACATTTAAATCTCAGAATTTTATTCAACTTAGGATAAAAGTTGTTTAGCAAATGATCATAGTTTCAAATCGCTATTATTGGTTTGTATTACAAGGGGGTAAATAGATGGAACAGTAGATGGAACAGTGAAACAAATGCACGTGCTGTACGTAATGAGTGTTAACTTAGACCAACCCTACTTGTTCTTGGTGTTTCATCTAAAGTGCATAACCCCTTGTAATACAAACCAATAATAGCGATTTGAAACTATGATCGTTTGTTAAACAACTTTTATCCTAAGTTGAATAAAATTCTGAAATTTGAATGTTCAATTGGCAAAGTAAAATTATGAGGATTCGCAATCTTAAGTTCGCTTTAATCAATTTACTTTTTTATTTAGAGTGAAATTCATCGGTACGTTTTCACTGCAAACAGACTATATAGCTGACCATCTGTTGCAGGATATGATAAGATGTCTACTGCTGTCCACCTCCACCCAGTTTGACCTGCCCAGCTGTCTGGACCTGCTTTCTGAGTCGAACACAGCCCTGGTGGAGAGACAGGTAGGACTGGGCCAAAGTGGGATGTTTGTTGAAACAGAAGGGAATGAAAGAATGACCTTTTTCTGTATTCATTTACTAACACTGTATATTTGTTGTCATTATTTATGGAAGATTGGGCTGGTTAACTGGTCTGAGGTGCCACATTTTGCTGTACAGAGTTTTGGACCTTAGCTGAACCAGGATCCTGTGGTCTGTCAGTAAATGTATGGAGAACAAAAGAATGCTGGTGACATCTATGAAACTCTGCTCCTGTTCTTCTCCAGACTTGATTATTTACAGACTGCCACCATATTGCCAAGTGTGCCGTTAAACAACATACAAAACAGTTCTTCAGCTTGTTCAATATTTGTTTCAGGATCTTGTGCCACTTGTTGTCAAATCCTTAGCTCAACTGATCTTCAACCTAGCTCTCACAGCTGGTAAGTCTGGATATAAATGTCTAAACAAGCACTATTTTTCCTTATCCTGACTCATGCTTTTTTGCTTGTCTTCTTCTTGCGAACATAGTGGAACGCTTGTATCTCCTTAATTGAAGCTCCCTTCAATGTAAAATCACTAATTGGTACTCACCACGAGTTGCCTCCCTTTGCCCTTTTGGCGGGAACAGGTGTCGCCACCCTCTGGCCTCATGCTTCACTCTCTCCTTCTTCGCCCAGTGAGCAGGATGTGAGAGCGCCTGTGTCTCCTTACACACTATATCCTTTGATTTTTCTTAGTTAGTTACCTCTTATAGTTTACTATAAAGGTATAGCTAGTATTCTTCATTAATTTGTATTGATAATTAATCGTATTTCTACTGTTTATTCACCTGAGTTCGTGATTGTTCAGCTAGTATTACGTTGATGAAAATCTGTACTATTTGTAGATTACGTTTTTCCGCTTCCGATCCGCATGTAGTATGCCCTAGTTGTTCTACGCCTTGTGCGTTTGATTCACGTTGCAGTTACTGCATTAATTTAACTAATTCTGCCTTTAATAAATACCATCTTTGCGTCTTGAGGCGTGCTGCAGATAGATCCATAAACAAGGTTTAGACATGGCGATACATCGAATTCCCATCCAGTCAGCTGCTGTCGATCGACCCCCTCCCGTCTGGTGTTCTGCTAGAGACCCCATCGGAAGAGGGGCGTGGGATGCAGTCCGTCACCTCTAAGAAGCGACCGGCCTCCCCAGACATCCCGTCATCGCAGATAAAGTCCAAGAGGGCCTCAACGTCTTCTCAACGCAGACTTCGTACCCCCAGGGCAGCGTCATCCTCAAAGGAAATCTACGAAGTCGTCAAGAACTTTCTCAGCCGAGATCGTTCCAGCCGCAGAATTGGGCCTCTACGATGACCAGCCGATCATCATCCCCGACATAAGCCACAAGAAGAGACCGGTGACAGCTACAGTGACTTCAGCAGAGATCACCATGCAGCCTGATGCCTCTACACTGATGTCAGACGAGATCCTTGAGGGCCCCACCGTTAACATCGCAGAGAGGGCACCGTCTACTTCGTCGCAGACCATCCCAGAAGATCTGATGCGGCAAATCATGATCATGATGGAGGCCACTACAGACTGGAGAAGCAGCCAACCCAGGGTCGAGCCTTGCGAAGGCTCCAACGTGAACAACACCCCAGAGGCACACCCGTCAGCGTAGCAGCCACGGCAAGCCACCTTCGCGAAGGAAGTCTGAGACCACCTCGGCGAAGGACCCAGATGTACAGCCTTCGGCCTTAGCGGAGATCATCACTTCTTCGGTCATCCTCGAATCACGGACTCAGACCACCAGACCTCCACGGAAGCCTTCGCGAAGGTCATATCACCGTTCCCCAGGACCGGACGCAGAGGAAGCTTCGCGAAGGCATTCGCGAAGGACACCTGAACCCAGATCGTCATCATCTAGAAAGTCATCAAGGGACTACACAAGAGCTTCGCGAAGCTATCAACGTTCCCCTCACAGGTCTCCGAGAAGGTTAACCCACAGACGTAGATCACCAAGACGATCTCCTCGCCGTTCACCACGCCGATCTCCGTGTACATCACCACGTCGATCACCACACAGGTCTGCACACAAGCCTACAACCAGGTCTCCACAAGCTCAAATCTGTTAATACATCCACACACCAAACAGGTGCACGGAAGCCCAGAAGTATTCCAACTTCACGTATGGACTGTATTAAAATGTGTTTAAACAAGAGAGGATATTCTGCCAGGGCGGCAAAAGCGGTCACGCTTGCCTTACGGTACTCTACGCGAAACTTGTACGACGACAAGTGGCAGTTTCGAAAATTATGCAGCAAATAAGGGATTTACAGCGAGAGATGCTACACATCCTCAAGTGGCAGACTATTTGTGTTACCTTCGTCAAAACAAACATTTAAAAGGCTCGACATTATCAACATATCTTGCCGCGCTTAGTTCTGTGCCTACGATGAGAACGGGTGTCAAATTGACTAAGTCGCCAGAGTTACTGGCCTCACTACGTGCTTTCCGATTGGAGGACCAAAAGCGAAAGTTCCACGCCCCAGCTTGGGATCTGAATGTAGTGCTACAACACCTCACAAGTGAGGCTTATGAACCATTGGAATCGACAACCTTTGAATTTCTCTCACAGAAAACACTTTTCCTGTTATCTCTAGCCACGGCAGCCAGAATGTCCGAAATTCACGCTCTAGATTATGAGAGGATACAGTTTGATGACAATCAAAACACAGCGCACCTGGGATTAAGATGGGATTTCATCGCCAAAAATCAACTACCAGGTCAACCAGACAGGTTATTCCACGTCCCGGCACTATCTTCGATTCTCGGATCTCAAGATACACTAGACTTATCGCTGTGCCCAGTCAGAGCTCTCAGAATCTATTTACGACGTTCCAAAACAAGGCATAGATTGCTCAAACGATTATTCATCCCCTTGTCGACAACAACTCAGACAGAAGTCTCTCGTACCACCATATCTATATGGATAAGGACTGTCATACTTCGTGCCTACAAGGCAGCAGGCTTGGACCCTCCAACAGCATCAAATCCCCATGAGATCAGGGCATTGGCTTTCACTCTCGCCCTACACGGTAACTGCTCATTGAACACAATTATGGAAGGATGCTTTTGGAAATCTAACATGGTGTTTGCTAATCACTATCTGAGAGATATCACCACCGAGGACGTATCTGGCATTCACCATTTCGGTCCCTTGGTCCTCGCTCAGCAGCTGACAGTCCCTCGTAGGCGTTAAAAATTACCCTCAAGAGATTATTATGTATGGTATACATACATTATCTAGCTTATAACTCTACGGAGTTCTAGGGCTATGTATATACTTAGCTTAAGTTATTCAGCCTTAAGCTTATCCTGATATTATGGTCAGTTGTACAGCGTCTCTAGCAGAGTCGCTTTTATATTTCATTATTTATATCTATGTAATATATCTCAGTATATTATTAATGTAATACCCCAGTTATGGCATTATATAACCTATGGTTTATAATAGAGGAAATATCCTAAGTCTATGCCTTCATGAAGTTCCCGTAAGGGGTTATTACAGTTATATCTATTCAAATCACTAATTATAAATCCAAAGTATTCTGTTTTCCCACCTCCGGTTCCGTCAGTTCTACAAGCAAAAAGCATGAGTCAGGATAAGGAAAAATATGTAATTTTTAGAGTAAAATTGATATTTTATACTTATCCTGACTCATGAGGTAAGCCCTCCCATCCTCCCCACATAACACTTTGGATTTCCCTGTAAATTCAAGTGTTGGGCTCGCAAAATCAGGAGAGAGTGAAGCATGAGGCCAGAGGGTGGCGACACCTGTTCCCGCCAAAAGGGCAAAGGGAGGCAACTCGTGGTGAGTACCAATTAGTGATTTTACATTGAAGGGAGCTTCAATTAAGGAGATACAAGTGTTCCACTATGTTCGCAAGAAGAAGAAGACAAGCAAAAAAGCATGAGTCAGGATAAGTATAAAATATCAATTTTACTCTAAAAATTACATTATTATCCCCTGCAACGCGTTTGGCGGGGGGGTGGGGGGTGTGTTATATATTAAAATGGACTCCGTCCGTGCACATTTGTCTTTTCCGGAGCAGAACTCTAAAACCGTTCAATATTTCTCCACCAAACTTGGCACATAGATAGATCTGGTGGTGTACTGGTGCCTTTTGGTAGTTTTGGAATTCTGAATAAAATATTTTAGGCATTTCCATGGCAACAAGTTGGACTAAAACAGAAATTAGTGGTAGTGCACTTTTCCGGAGCAGAACTCTAAAACCATTAAATGTTTCTTCACCAAACTTGGCACATACATAGATCTGGTGGTGTACTGGTGCCTTTTGGTAGTTTTGGATTTCTGAATAAAATATTTTTGGCATTTCCATGGCAACAAGTTTGACATAGACTGAAATTGGTGATAGTGCTCCTTTCTGGAGCAGAACTGTAAAAACCTTTCAATACTCTCCTTCCACTTTTCTATATACACACCTAAATATTTGACATAATCATAACTCGTAGACATAATCATGAAGAGTATTTTGCCATTGCGGGGGATATTGATGACTTTGTCTTCTTGTGCCTTTTGTATGAAGACACTTTTGAGACTAATAACTAACTATAATGCAATGTCACCTTGAATCATCCAGCACATTAAAAGAGTATCAGTATTCATGTTATATCTTAATGGTGTGATGCAAGCAACTGCTTGTCATATTTAAGGTAGCAATCAGCATACAATGAATCTTGTTTAAAACAAGATTAATGGTGTAATGGTCAGCTAATGTTTATGACCTGGATACAGATTTGACTTGATGATTAGATGGACAGACAGACAGATATATTATTCAGTTACAAAGGTTAAAAGAATGTCCTCACATGTTAAGTAATTGAGGGTTCTATGTGAATGTTTTCATTATGAATAAGTCACATATAATGTGCTTTTTAATATATGTCATTCCATGTATACTTTATATGCAATTATTTGTTACCTGGGTAAAATTGTTTTACCTAAACATGGACAAAGATTTTTAGATAGAACAATATGCACAGTTAGATCACACTGACACAGTTGTTCTTCCAACACATAGAGCCTTACAATCATTTTTTATCTCACCTTTTTTAACTACTTCCTTCGATATGCTGCTATTTCGATGACCTTCCCTCAAAACAAACAAAGCTTGACAGTCTTTCATACCATTCAATATGCGTGAATGCAACAAACGTTTTGAATCTTCATCAACAACTACTAGAATTATTCGGCCTCTTTACCTATGTGGTTAATGTGTATTGAATCATATCAGTTTTATTGTGTGTATATGTGTGTAACCAGCATTCATTTTGTACATGTAATTATTGTGTATATTTTTGTAAATTGTGTGCATAAGAATTTCTTCAAGGATAATGAAGTCTTGTCTCATCTCGTCTTAGGTCAATTTTGGCATAAATCACTGGATTTCAAACTGAGTTTGACAATTTGAAACAGGTGAATTTTAACTGCATTTTTAAAATAAAAAAGCCCAAACAACTTAAGTAATCTATCCACCTAACTCAAATTGTCTACTATTTTTGAGTTTAATATCGATTTCAGTTCATTCCGGGAAATGCATTTTCCTGCGTTTTCTCAAATTTGAGTAAAAACTCAAGCTTAAGTCAAAACTTTGACATAAGTTTGTTTCGAGAAATCGGGGCCAGGTCTCTGTTAAAAGCTGCAATATTGCTGATTCACCATTAAGGTATAATCACATCAGGACAGACTGAGCGTATCTGTGACCTACCTATTGTGTGTTGAGAGTTATTCCCCCTTCTCCAGTGCTTGAACGGCCAGGGACTGTGTCTACAGACATCTGTACAAGGTGCATCAGTTTGTGGAAGCTACAGCTGGGAAAGGAGACAGAGTTTGATGGGTTGTGTTACGCCAGAGTCATCAACGGCTTGTCCAAAAGTCACAAATCGCAGGTACACCTATAGTTCTCAGATGTCAATTTTTAATCTTTCATTTTGTCTTCTTCTATCATGTGCATGTAGATAAGTGAGGAATTCACAATAAAGTTTCATGTACTGACATTGTATGAAATAGCTGGCTGTCTGCTTTCCAGTAGATGGGATCATATCTTTAAGGATATGGGCAATTTATTCCTGCGCCTGATGACCCAGTAAACTATGTCAGTATTTGCATTGTGGGTTACATGTGAAAACTCCCATGAAGCACAGAAAAAGTTTATTGGTGCAAACGGTTTACTCAGGCTAGAAAACATCATATATTTGTCAACCTGGACTGGAAAAGAACCAATATTTGACAGGCCTGCTCTGTAAATCAATCAATACTAGCATGCACAGTTGGGGGCCTGAAGTGTAAGTGTCCTATAAATTCTATTTAAAGGCATGTTTAAGTATGAACATATGTGATCACTACCTGTGTAGAAGGCCTAAGGTTTGAAAGCATGTGTCTACTGTTTACCATATATAATTAAATCTTGTATTTTATTTAGCATGTCAGGTCCTGCTACACACAGTTTGTCATTGCTCTCTTGGAGGAGAAGATTATCGAGCCAGCCACTTTCAGGGATGCTTGCCATAGGGTTATCAAGATCTCACAGGTGAACAATGTAGGAAGGGTTGCCAAGTTGTCTGGGGTCACACAATTCCCTTTGCAAGAAATCTGTGATTGTAGGTTCTTGTTAGTTAGTTGTGGAAGATCTCTCAGATCTGTACCACAGGTGTGCCACTACCCATGCACACATTGTTCGTTCTTGTTGTGCAGAAAGCCAGCCAACTAGTAGCACCTTGGTAGTTCGAGTCTACCACATCGTATCCGAATTGCATAGATCGATGTTCATGCTGTTGATCCCTGGATTGTCTGGTCCAGACTCGATTATTTACAGACTGCCGCCATATAGCTGGAATATTGCTGAGTGTGGCGTAAAACTAAACTTACTCACTCACCCAGTCTACTAACTTTACAAACTCAGCATTCCCAAGTCTGCCCATGTTGATAACTGTTCTATTTGGAGATGTCAGTTAATAATCCCAAATCGATGTTTAATGTTTCGCAATTCAAGTTGCTGTTTGGCTGATATTTAGCGTCAATGTAGAGGGCGTGGCTTCTGTGCATTCTATGTAAAATGTTTGCATTTAGAAAAATAACAGAACAAAGAAAATCACAAGTTTGAAGAATTTTGCATGCCAGAGATATTTTGGGCAAAACTTGTTAACAGAATGCTTTCACATTTGAAGATTTTCTTTAAGATCATCCATGTTTTGTTTCAGTCAGCTAATCTGGACTTGGTGCCTCTAGGACAGGTGGTTGGGGACATTTTTCAGCATTTCCACAAAACAGAAGCCATGACTTCCTGCTTTTGTAAAACTCTGGAACGGCTGTTTCACATCTCTGCTGAGGGCTCCCAACTTGCAAGGACAATTCTACCCCTGCTGGACAAGTATGTCCCATTGAAGGGGGAGGAGGATACGAAGCATCCAGACAAAGAACCTCGAGAGATTGAGGGAGGAGAAAATGATGTGTTCCTGGTCAACAAACGGGATCGTGTTCCTGGTGATGCTGTTCATCTCCAGGATCAGCCTGGTCAAAGGAAGGGCATGGGGGCAGATCATGTCACAGATGCTGATTACGTAACAGATGCAGATTGTGTCACAGATGCAGATTGTGTCACAGATGCAGTAGAGTTGTTAGAGAACAATTCTCAGTGTGACAGTGTGGAAGAAAGTGATTCTAACACAGGACATTCAGGAAATACAACAAAGAAACTCATACAATTGACAACAGGGAAAAATCATGTTGAAGCGGTGAAATTTGTAAAACAAGTATCATCGGGGATCTCTGAATCTCAAGACGAGAATGCAAACAGAAGTAAAGGTGCAAAGGGACAGAGTCTGAAAACTGATACACCCAGCCACTGTCTGGAAACATCTTAACCCCATGTTGCTTGTAGAATATGAAATCTTATAGGAAAGGAATTATGTAGTTAAAATTAACAGTCACTATTGAGTATAATTGTTATACAGACTAATTATTTCCATATTTAATTGCTCGTTAATATAGTTACTAACAATGTACATCGGATGTTCTTAACTTTCAGCTCTATTCCAAACTTTTCTCACGTGGTGTATGTAGGTAGGCAGATTTTTTGTCGATCAACTCTCAATCACAGATGGCGGCGGTGGGGAAACCTAGTGGCTAAAGCATTTGCTGGTCATGCTGAAGACCCGGGTTCGATTCCCCACATGGGTACAATGTGTGAAACCCATTTCTGGTGTCCCCACAGTGATATTCTTGGAATATTGCTAAAAGCGTTGTAAAACTAAACTCACTCACTCAATCACAGATGATCCAAGGACATTTGATGTTTGAATGTTGTGTGGATGCAAGATTTGATGCCTTTCTTCATCCTTGTTGTAAGAGCTGATTAGGGATTGGAGTGCCTGGCTCTGTGCTGTGTCTGATTAGTGCTGGGTATCTCTCACAATATGAAGGTCGATAATCAGAGCAATCGATCAATGATCGATTGTAACTGTAAATCCCACCACAAAACTCATAGCGGCAATAACATTACACAATCATAACATCCAAATGAAACAAGCAGTGATTGATACTACGATCAATATGATCGACTGAACTTCCTGTTGAGATATGCATGCAAATATGTTGTTTATATTGCAGCTTTACGAGTCAGGAAACTGCATCGGTTGTTAGTGTCTCAATTTAACAAACATATCAATAAGAAATATACTTTATAAAGTTTAACTTGATTTTATTTGTTCATGAATATCGATTAGTCTCCCGACACAATCCATAATTGTGGATGCAAGCCTGATCAATCGATTGACTGATTATTCTATCAGTTTCTCCAGCACTAGTCTTTGTACCCAGATTATATGAAACAGTGAATGTTCTCAGCCACAGATTTGTCGGATTCCATTATTGATGGGATTTCTCTGTCATATATGGAAGTGAGAGAGTATTCTTTAATACTGCTTTTAGCAATATTCCAGCAACATCACAAAATGAGATCAACCATTTTATCTTTGTGGAATCAAACCCGGGTCTTTGGCATCGCAAGCAAACGCTTTAACCACTAGACTACCCCACAAATACAGGTGAAAGTTCTGTGAATGGAGTGACTGATATGACATAGCATGTGAATAATAAAATATATTTTACCTGCAGTTATTATTACAAGTTACAAGTCAGGCACCTAATCACCAGCACATAAAGTTAGCCATCTAACCCACTCAGCCACAAGGGGAAATAATATGTTACATTTGCCCACTTTCTATATGGCATTGTGTATTCGTAATATTGACCATGTTAGCCTCCTGTTTTAGTGTATCAGAAATATCGTATATTAAGAATAAAGTGCTATATGTATTGGATTGGTTTATGCAATGATACCATTCATGATAAGCCTCACAATCTGTTTTAATTTACTTACCGGTTACTGCAAGATGTGATGATCTATCTTGTCTTTCCTACTCAACTTTGATGAGGATATTCCAACTGATCCTCTGTATGAGAGTGTGGGTGGGTTGGGAAGGGGAAAGAGAGAGAAAACAACATAAAATATTTTACAACAAATGAGCTATGATTAGTTACGGTTTCTCTGTCGCTGGTGAATGAATGGTGTTGATCTTTAGTCTTTTGCAAACTACTTACTGGATTCAGTAACAATGGTCACAATCTGTACCAGTAATTCTGAGTATAAAGTGGGTTGTTCCATATACTTATGGACATTTGAAAGTTGAAAGTATCAAATATCATCCCAACACAGAAACTCATCTGAAAGCAGCCAGTTTCTCTGATGACATAAGGGTGGTGGGGTAGCCTGGTGGTTAAAGCGTTGGCTTGTCACGCTGAAGTCCCGGGTTCGATTCCCACCATGAGTAAAATATGTGAAACCCATTTCTGGTGTCCCTGCTGTGGTATTGCTGGAATATTGCTAAAATCAGTGTAAAACTAAACTCACTCCCCCACTCAGATGCTGTAATGTATTCAATGTGCACCAAGAACAGTGGATGATGTCATATTCTATTTTTCTCAAGAACAAAGAACTGTGATGTCATGTGGTTTCAACTGACCAATCAGCATTGAGAATTGTTAAAATGTGCATCCGAACTTGAAAGGTATTGCAGTTGTTCTTCCCATGTTTGTAATGAAGAAGTATCTGTATCAATATCGAGCAGTGGATTAGCATGAATGGGTTTGACTAAATAGATTTTGTATTCATATGTTGCGATGGACTAGCTCACCATGTATATATACAGTTGTATGCCATTTCTTTCTACCACAGATCTTTCATAAGGTAACAACAACACAATAAACAAGGATCCAGTTACTTCTGAGTTTGTTGCTTTGTTTTGTCATGCTCTTCTTCTGCCTTAAGAAGCAGTGAGGTGGCACAGTGGATATGGCAATCCTTGCCAGGCCTGACATTGTGTGAAACCGAATGGCTAGAGTGATAAGAACCTCAGGTGTTCATAAAAATGACATCTTTTATAGTGATACAGTTCCTGATTTGATAAATGACAGGTTACTGTGGTGATCATGGAATATTGCTGGATTTGGATTTGCAATGAATATATGTTAGCATCATATGGTTACTCCTTAGTTTCATGGTATAAATCTATAAAATGAACCTGTGTCACTGGAATTTCTTCCACCAGTAATGTGTCATCTGCTTAACTGAAACAGTCCCTAAAGTGTCTGGCTCATTCCTTGGATTAATTGGTGTATATATCTCTTCAAGAATTTGGGTGGTGGGATAGCCCAGTGGTTAAAGCATTTGCTCATCATGCCGAGGACCCGGGTTCAATCCCCTCATGGGTACAATGTATAAAGCCCATTTTTGGTGTTCAACCAGTGACAGCTGATCAACTGAAATAGTGCTGAAAGTGGTTTAATCAGTGCTTGGTTTCTCTAAGATATTTTACTAAAACAATGAGCATGTGTCCCTTAGGGATTCCCCCACCAGGTATGTGACATAGTCCCTTAGATCGTTAATGTAAATCGTGCTGAATGCTGCTCCTTCGGTGCTTGGTTTCACCTGTGTAGATGTGTCACAAGTCATATATAGATCATCGTCTGAAATATACTACCCATCAAAAGTTTAGACTCACTTAAAGCACTCACTATATGTTATGTATATGTATGTGGTTACATCGAAGATGAATTTCTCCACCAACTTGGGGGAACCAACTGAAAACCTTATGCAGATGAATTGCACAAGGATGATGCTTCAAATTGAGAAAGGCATGAGCAAATGTCGTGCATGTGAACAGATTCGTTTTGGTGTAAAGTTTTGTTAAGAATTCGCCAATTTTCACAGATTTTAATCATTTACTGAACTCATGACAATAATCTTTTCAATGTTACGAATATGTTTTACAATACACCAGTTCATAACTAAACAGTACCTTTAAACAGTATGGAATATTTTGCAAAAAGCTAGTTTAGAACAGTGGACAAGTAAGTGGCTACATTTACACTAGTGAGTCTAAACTTTTGATGGGTAGTATATAATGTAAGTCATCCCATAAAGGGAACAATGCACAGACTGTGTATGCTCGTGTGCGGCTTATTATATCTGCGAATCGAAGTACAATCAGATAGCCTAATGATAGAGCGTTAGTCTGTCTCACAGTCCCTGAACCACATTATCCCCCTCGTGCCTAGCCCTCACTACAACGCTAAAGCCCTAAATGAAGCAAGTCTAGATTTCCTCCTGAATCTCCCAACTCACTGGGGCTCCTTTTCAATTTAAATGGGTTTATTTGTTACTATCAAAATTATATATATTCAGGGACTAAGCGTTAGTCTATTAGAGCCTCTGCCGGATGAGCGGAGGATCGGTGGTTCCATTCAGTAATTGCATTATACCAACAGGAAAAAAACAAGATATCTGTTAGGTCGTCTAGCTTTCCGCTGGCTCTGTAAAACTTCCAGATTTTATTGATTGTTGTTTAATGCTGCAGTCAGCGATATTCCAGCTATATGGCGGCGACCTTCAAACAATCGCGCCTGGACCAGACAAACCAGTGATTGAGACCATGGGCATCGATCTTTGCTGTTGATGTTCTGTCAACGTTCTGACACGTGTCAACCAATTCAGCGAGCCTGACCACTCGATCCCGTTAGTCGCCTCTTACGACAAGCATGCGTTACTGAAGACCAGTTCTAACCCGAATCTTTTATTTTATTTGTTTATTTGCACATTTGTTTTCAAAGTATATAGTGATTATTAACCGAGTGTGTTTCCGCACACTCGGTTAATAATCTCTTATCATATAATCATTCTTAAAATAACTCTTAAAAAGAAGCAAATCGTACGTGAATTTATATATGAAGAGAATCGAGCATTCGCGTAAGAATACTTAGCGGTACACCAAGGTGAAGGTCGTTCATGACGTCGGCATATGGTTGTGACTAATCGCTAATACAGTGCAAACATAACTCGTGCTTATAATAAGATCTTTCTGTCTAAAAAGATCAACAAAAGGGTTTGCTTGGTAGTGTTTCTATTTTCATTGCGGGTAGTCACCTCATCAATATCAGTTTCTGATATCTGACGGAATCGATTCGTAGTCCTCTTTGTGGTGATGGATAGATTGAAATCCTTAGTTGGTACCTTTCTTAGACGACAGCCTGTCACTCGTGCCTCATAATCCGTACCTTCAATTTGAACGAAGTTCTCCGTTTCATGGTTTCCAAAGTCAATTACTGCATTAACGACTCCAAAACCTCTGTCATCAAATTTTACTGAATCACCAATTTTGATGATGGGAGCAGCCATGTTTGTTTACAAACTCGTCCACGCAACGTAAACTCGCGACATCAATGAAATGTTAAACGTTTTAGGATTCGCATGACATGTATGGAGTTTTGAGAAAGAGGTTCGTGGATTCACTTAATTTGCATAGTTATCAGATTTGGATACCAAGTTTATCAGCTTGCT